GGGGGGGGCGGGAAGATAAAAGAAACAGAAGAGCAATCCTGCCAAAGCCAGCAAGTATAACCGTAGACATTCAAAGATATGATTAATCCCACCTTCTCACAGCTTCAGCCGCATCCGCTTCCCTCGTAGCGCGGTTATGACGACTGGTTTCATCCCAGTGTTTCGTTCCGAGTCTGGGCCTTTTGCGCTGCAAGCCGAGAGTTTAATTTTCCCTTTTTAGCTGCCGAAGCTTGTTTGACAGCTCGTTCCTAAAGCGGGTGAAAACGCAGGGGATTAGAACAAATTAATACACACTTATCCTAAAGAGTAAAGAAAGGCGAAATAAAGAAGAAGTGTGTTCAAGCCTGGGGGAGGTAGGTTGGGGAGGGGAGAACATTATGTAATGTAACGGTGAAATGATGAGTAACTACTCACCTCCGCAGCCCGCGCAGCCGCATTCCGCGGATCATCGTTCCCTCGACTTGACCCCTGGCTGCCGCCTAGTGTTCTCCCAGCGTTGGCCTGTGAGTTGACCTGGTGCGGCAGTGGGGCGCGGGGCGCCTGGGACGGGTTGGGATTTGTTCCGAGGACGCGGCCGGGATGCGCAAATGGTTCGGTTGGGTTGTAGGCTTTGGAGCAGAGGCTTCCCATGGCAGGTGACACAGGTGGGGTGTGAGGACTGGTTGTTTTGACTGAGGGAAGCCGGTTTGTCCTTTCTCCTCGGTTGCTTTGTGTCGAAGACGCAGAATGCAAGTCAACAGTCAGGAGCGGGGATCCGAGAGATCGAGGTAGGTAGTTAGAGGATTAAAGTACCGGCCGGGGTGGCGAGAGGATTTGGGGTTGGGAGATTGGGCAAGAAGAGGTTTAAAGAGATACATATGATGGGAAACACAACTGTAGAGAATTATGCTATATATGGATATGATACGGATCTGAGATCCTGCATTCGTATCCTCTGCAAAGCGGATCCCACGCAAAGCGGAGTCGCGCGCGCGCAAGGAGGAGCAAATTAGGGCTTGAACCTTTTCCCCAAAGAAGATGCCAGTTAGGGTTTGGTGGCGCCGTGCCCAGCCTCATCACGTGACGGTATTGCCTCCCGCTTTCAAGGATGAGGTGAGGTCCCCACAACGCGGCGCAGAGAGCAGTATCTGCCACTGGTTGCCAGGGAATCCGGGACTCGAGCATTCGATGTGATGGATCCCGCGTGGATGTAGAAATCTCCTGCAATAATCCTCGTGTTGAACGGTTGGTTGTATGGTTATCGATCAACAGCAGCGTCGTTGCTGCGTTTCATTTTTTTCACGATCGGGACTCACAAGGTCCTCAAACGTTGCTTCTGCCGCTTTCGACCTCCTCCCGCTATTTCTCGACCACCTACGATCTTCTCTACCTCCTCAACTGCATTGCAAAAGCAACCGCAGGGCGTATGGTCTGTGCAGCTGGGAAGAGGAAGCCCCTGGGTCTGTGACACGCTCATTTGTCGTTCGTTGTCTGATCCGTTAGCTGGCTTGGGCCTCATTTGGATCCTCCAGAGAGCTCAGAGGTTCCAATATCCGCTCCCCTCCTTATTCCCTAGAATCGACCATTGTTGACCAACCCTTCCTATTGATGCCGCGGCAGCAAAAGGAAGGACGTAGGTTCCACCTTGAATGCCAGGAATCTTTCAAAATGGCCGAGAAGAACTCCCAAGTCCTCCGCAACTGCGTCGACCCAACTGCGTGTTGGAGTGTTTCGCCCACCGAACATTGTTCCTCATATCCTTTGTGCCAAATGACGGACCCATGCTGTGATGACGACAACTGCTCTGTCGAATGTTCATCTGTGTGTGATGGCTTTGTTGCCTGTGATTCCTCCACCGTTTGCTCAGATGCTCATTGCGATGATCAGGACTGTCAGAACCTGGCCGCAGTTTGTTTCGACCAAAGCTGTGTAGGGGATGGCCGCACTGGCATCGATGACGGAATATGCAGCATTCTCAATCAAGACAGCTCCTTTACTTGGAATTCATCAAACCTCCTTCCGTCTGCGAATGCAGCACATTTCAATCAGTCGTTTCACCAGCCTGCGACCAGCCTCTGCCATAATTTACAGTCCATGAACCATTTCACTGCATCAGAACCTTCGTTAACAACCAAAAACTATGCCTTCCAATTCCATCGAAACCAGGATTCTCCCCTACGGCAATCTACAGTAACGGAGCCATCGACTCCGTCGGGGCCGATTTTGAAACAAATTATCGATATTTGTCCAAACCTAGACAACTGCAACCATCAATCCCACTTCGGGCCCGTTTTTTCGGATTGCAATCCAGATGAATTTCTCGGGTTTATACCAATGGAATTTCAGACACAGTTCCATTCCTTATATCCACAGTTATATCCACGGTTTAACGGTGGCTTGAAATTGCCCTGCGAAATGCAACCTCAGCACGTTCATAAAAATGTATCACACCTAACTCATAATTCTAATCGCCCTGTGTCGTCGAGTTTGGACTCCGTGAACTTAAAGTCTAGCTCGCCTTTAAGTCCACCTCCAAAAGACAACGATATCACACGCCCGTTCACCAGTCCAGAAGTTGAGACGACGAACGAGTCTCACGTTTGCAGGTGCATTATCCAAACAGATAAATCACAAAATACCATCTGTGGAGAGTTGTTTCCCGATGCTGGCAAGCTCCAGGAGCATTTAGTTCAAACGCATGTTGGCATGATTAGCGGGTCCCAGGGGTATGGATTCTACTGCTGCTGGGAAGGCTGTCATCGCGCCGATGAACCCTTCTCGCAAAAATCAAAACTGCAAGGGCACTTTCTAACACATAGTAATTGTACGTCTACCTTCTTCGCCGCGAGATCTACGCAATTTCAATTGCTCTTCATGAAATTCACAAGTATCGTCTAACCGTGTTCTTCAATTTAGACAAGGGTTTCCAGTGCTCCGTCTGCGGGAAGCCGTTTGCCAGACAAGCAACTCTAGAACGCCACGAAAGAAGCCATCGCGGAGAGAAGCCGTATGCTTGCAAGTTGTGTCAGAAGGCATTTACCGACAGCAGTGAACTTAGTGAGTGTTGCAATTTCGCATTTTTTGCTGTAATCTTTATGCTAAATCAAGACTAGAAACACACATGAGAGTTCACACTGGTGAAAAACCTTTTAAATGCAACCACCCCGGTTGTACCTTTGAAACTGGAGATGTAAGCTACCCTGTATTGGTCCGCCATTCTGTTCTAGTGTGTATGCTAATATTCTCGAATCCAGTCATCAAATATGTCCAGTCATAAACTCAGTGAGTTGCCCAATCTCTCTGCGGAGAGGTTTTCCATCGATGTATCTTCTAAACTAACAGTTTTTCCCCCTTTTTTCAAAAAAAAAAAAAAAATTCAGCTCACGGAGTCCGAAAACACAAATGCCATTTTCTTGGGTGTTCGAAAAGTTTTACCCGGCCAGGTATGTTCGCGCCCGCGATTTTCTCATTAGAAGCAAATTTGAACGGAGTCTAATTTGGAATCTCACATTGCAGATCAGCTAAAACGGCATATAAAAACAACCCACAAAGAAGATCTCAACCATTTAGTCCCGCTTCCCTCGCCCGTAGCCAATCAATTCCCTCTCCCTCAGTTTCAGCCCCCGTCGGGGCACTCGTCTATATCCGTTCCTTATCTCGGGGCCGCTATACCATTAACAAGCAAATAAAAGTCCGCTGCTAAACGAAATACGGCATTGTTCTGATTACAGTCTCCCGTTTCTATCGTTAGAACGTCATACATTTCGTTTTCTTTTACCCTTAGTAATTAAATCGGTTGGCTTTTTTGGTTAGGTTTCTTAAGGAGCAAAAGTTTAAAAAGAAGGAAACGAGGTAACGGCCTTAGCTTTTTGTATACTTTACCCAAATCCCCATATGTCAAGATACATATGTTTTTCAACGAGTTTCCGCTTGGTTCCAGCCATTTGTCTGGTTTACTGGGATTGTTTTCGGGACCCACACCCCGTTCCTGCCCCTGGTAGGGTTAGCAGTTTGCCACTGCAGTTGGCTTCTACGCCTTCTTTTGAGCATTTGGAGAAATTTGGAGAATGCAGTAGATTCATCTCTCGAGGAGCTTGACTACCATCTGAGAAAGGAAGAGGCGATCATGTATATATACACTACAACCTGTACATGAAATCGTTATACCCATTTGCAGCTGTCATTGAGAGACATAAAACGAAAGACAATGGCGTAAGAAATGTTAACATGTGAAATTTTTATCATTCGCGGTAATGAGGTTCTATATATTTTATTCCTGCATAGACGGCAGTTGTGTGGTTCTCGAAAACTTTAACTAACTCGACCAGATTTTCGTTGAATATGATGGCTTCATGCGTCTTCCTAAATGCACAACTAACCATGGAAGCTACATACTCAGGGGGACAAATACCGATCTGGATCGATCCGAGGAACCGTGATATATAATTTAAAAAAAAAAAAAAATAAAAGAAAAGGAACTTAAAAAAAAAAAAAGAAGAAAAAAAACACAATTGCACAACAGCAGATCCGATCTATCCCTTCACCCAAATCTTCACAACGGATACCAAGGGATCTGAAGAACAACAACGTCCTCGCCTCTAACGCACTAATTTCTGGGCCCTTCCTACATCAACACTCCCGAACACTCTCCTCAAGCAGTTGCACCGCATTCCTCAACTCCCCCATCCGCTGCCCAACCCTCCTCTTGATCTCTTCCCGAATCTCCTCCGGAACCTCGTCAGGATTAAATTTCGTACCCCTTTTCTTCGCCTCCGTTCCGGCTTCCTCCTCCCGCTGACCCTTATCTCCCGTTGACCCGTCATTAGTGGGGACATCCGGGTCTCGGGTTTGTGGTGGGGATACAGACCATTGCTCCAGATCTGAGGGATGCGGTTTTGAGCCTGTATACGCGGCATAGACACAGTCTAGATCATCGAAAGCTTCGCGGAGAGATATTCGGTCGGAGACGGCGTAGATTGTACAGGCAGCTGCGGATTCAGCGGCGATTTCGAGCTTGGTGTGAACTTAGAATTTTTACTTTTTTTTCATTTTTCATTTTTCATTTTTCATTTTTCATTTTTTTTTTCCAGGGGAGGGGCAGGTTTGGTTGTTGCATCATTTTCATGTTTGACGTTTGCGTACCTCGTCTTTTGCAATTTCGTACCTAATTTTCATTGAGACGAAAAAACAGTATTAACTTTAGTTAGCTACGCACGTTCGAGTTCGTATGTTTCCGATAACCATCACACGCAGAGAGGGAGGCGGATTGAGCAAAGACAAGACGAAGAAAGAGGCTCACAAATCTTCAATTTCTTGAATATAATCATCAGCTTTTGGCCGTTTTGTTTGAGGTGTGGTCGAATTGTTTCTTCCCAGATAGCGCGGATACAGTGTCACTGTAGCTGTTACCATAGAACCCGTGTGTGCAGAGTTTCTGTCGACCTTTGGACGACGACTACTGGCCAGACATAGATGTCTTGGAGAGGCCCGCAAACTAAGCGAGGCCACCCGCCGTGTCGGGTGTGACAGGTGAGTTAAGATGTTTGGCCTGCAGACAGCCATTTCCTCGCGAAACAGGTACAATTGCCGGTGGCTGGTGAGGAGAGGAGTTTTTGTTCGCAATTGATCTTATCTCCTCCGTACAAAAGTCCCAGTTGGATAACTAGCCGGTTTTCCGGAGTCAAAAAAGTAGTAACAGATGAAAGTCAAATGGCAACGCAAGTGTGGCCCAAGCTGCGCATCTAGCCCCCGGGTACCTGGAATAAGAGTAGGAATGCAATACCACAATCCCTTCTGTTGAGTTGTCCAATGTGGGTTGTTGCCGGGCAGATGATGACGTCAAGGTTTCTCCCCTTCGTTCGTCGTTTGAAAATCCATCTGATTAAGCGGCTCGTCGAGCACAGCTAGTTGACTGCACACCCCCAAAAATGTCCACCAAAACGCCGCAAACGAGCTGATGTTTATTTGCTTAATTGCTTCAGAGTTCACACACTCATGTTAGGACATGGAGTTTTGTATGTAACTTCGCATGGGGGTGAGCGAACGATCCATTGCTATAAAAGCTGTGTGAAATTCTCAGATATTAGCGAGCTGAGCAGAGTTGGAACGAAAACAGTGGTTATTCACTTGTTTATTGGATTGTCCTCTGATACACATAACAAGAGTCGTGGATCTCAGGCTGGATCATCTCAATATTTCTTGATATGAATTAACAAATCCCTCTTAGGGTCGTGAGAAACGTCTTCCTAAACCGCAAGAATGACAACTATTTTTAAAACCGCGCCCTCTCGCCTCATCTCTTCACTCGTACCTTGCGCAAGATCCTCCCACCACCTTGGCACCTCATCCACAATCACTACGTCGCCTATTAAATATTTGCGTTTGGCAACAGGGAGCTTGATCCGTTCTTAGAAGTGGGATTTACTTCGTTTTTACACCATGTCCTTGGAAACGACGGGTTAACTAGCAGCCTCATCCAGCCGTCATCAAATCCCTCGGGAACATTTCTTCCAGCAATGGACGACCCCCCCCCCCCCCCCCCCCCCCCCCAACCAAACGGTCACTCCCTATTCTTGTTGGACTACGTCGGAAACCTCGATCTCTCATCCCGCCAACTCCTGCAACAGTGGCTCCGCTCCAGAGCTGATATTCCTGACACTGCTGGATATATGTCAGAGCGTTTGCTCAATACAACAATCCTGGGGGGTGCGGCATGCAAATTTGTAATCTTGTAAGATTGAACAATACTTCAGAAAGTCCCCACATAAAAAGTTTCCTCATCACATATACAGATGTCTGCCAAAATGATCGGGTGCATCAGTTCCATACGCGTGGTGTGGGAGGAAGAAACCAGTCCGCTGGGGCCGGTGCCAAATGCCGTCGGAAGGGGGAGGTAGAAACCCCTCTCGCAAAACTCCCCAGATGAACAGGCCGCCGTTCCGAGTATTGCATGCTTGATTATTCGAATGTCGAAGGTCTGAATCTACAGTGGATGAATCCCATAAACACGCCCAGAGTAGCAAAGACCTATCCGTTACTGGTCATACACATATATGCTGGGGGAAAAAGGAGATATATGAAGAAAATCCCCTAAACGTAAAATGCATCCTATGATCAGGGCACATTGGTGAAAGGAAGAATATTCAGAAGCACAAACGAAATTGAGAATAGGAAAGTCATAACATCATTCAATATCGTAAGTCATTGTCCCGTCCGCTATGTAGCATCACATCACGAAGAGAGTAGGGAGAAGACAGGTGGATCACATGAACTAGATATAGGGGCGAAAGAAACATGTAATGGAGATAGGGCAAAGGGGGAAAATAAGATAGAAAACGGCCCAGATTAACAGATCCTGGTTATAACAAAAGGCAAACCGAAAATCATATCATTAAATCATCATCATCATCATCATTTCAACGCGACAATATATTATATCGCACAAGAAAGGTTAAACTCTTACCGCAACGCATTCATGACATTCAGGGTCGTCTTTCATAGCGATCATCCGGACTCCAACTCCTTGCTCTGCGCTGCCTTTCCATCCCTCTCTCCCTCATCTCCCTCATCTCCCTCCTATGCTTTAAGTTTGCCTTGAACGAATTCTTCTCTGCATGGTGATTGGCTGCATCCTTCCACTCATCAACTACTCCCTTGATTCCAATCGCTGCCAGAGCAATACTCGCCGCGTCTTTCATATTATTTTTGGCACGTTGTCTCCGTGCCTCGTTAGCGCTGATCTCGCCGTCACGAAGCTGGGCAATGCGTTCCTTGCGTTTCTTGAGGCTCTTGACGACGCCGTGGCCGGCATGGACGGTGGCGATGGTCGCAAGGCCGGTGGTAAGGACCTCGCGCCTGAGGAGCTTTTTACGAGTACGCTCTTCTGTGTCGGTGCTAAGGGAGGAAAAGTCAGAATCAGTGTTATCTCCACCGTAACTGGTGGAATGACGGTGATGGAAGGCCTGTGGAGAGGACCTGGGATGGGGGTAGTGCTTGGGAAGAGCAGAAGATGTGCCAGTGCCGCCAGCGACGGGCATCATGGCGCCTGTTTCGCGGAAGGATGGAGAGGAGAAAGTGGGACGCAGGCGACCTACATCTCTTGAGTAGCTATCACGGGAATGATTATGCCGGTGCCGCGACCGATGCACATCCGAATACCCATCGTCTGAGTCGGTACCACCGTCATACCGGCGTCTTTCACGGTGTCTGTTACCATGGCTGGAAGATTGCTCGTCTCCTAGTCCCAACGCAACTAGTCCCTTGGCCAAGTACGCTGAGACACTCTGGCTTCTCTTCTTACTCCCGCGGGAACGACGTGATAGGCCCGGGCTCCCTTCGGAATCGGATGAATAGCCAGACCTTGCCTCACGGCCCCGCGACTTTAAGCGAAAATGATCATAGGCAGATTTGCCAGCGGCAGCCAGGAGCCCTGCGGAAGCTATATCTTTAGCTCCGCGACTTTCTGAGCGGGCTCGTCCACGAGACCGGGAACGGGGGCCATTGACCAAACGGTTGGTGGCTAGTCCGGCCAAGGTGGACTCGATGAGATGACGTTTGCTGTGCTTATCAGACTGCCCATCAAGGAGCTTATTGACACCACCGGCACCAATAGCTGCGGTCAGTATTCGTTTTCCTTTCTCACCACTCCAGCCTCCAGGCTCCTTGCGTGCGCGAATCGCTTCTGCGGCACCGGCAGTCAATGCAGCTTTAAGGGCCTGGGTGATATCCTTCTGGTTATCATTCCTGTCAAGGCTGTGGGAGCGGGAATAATAAGAGTATGGCTGGCGACGATGATGGCTTCGAGAACGATCATAATCGCGATCGTAATGGTCACGATAAGATCCACGGTCGCCGTCATGACGCCTCGATGCATGCGATCCGGTGACACTTCCCAAGCCAATGGCAGCGAGAGCCTGCTCGCTGAAAGACTTGCGGCGTCTGGGTCGCGGGGATGGGGTTCGGGAGGAAGCACCTGAATATGGTCGTCGGGAATGGTGATCACGATCTCGGGCACCTATATATTTTTGTCAGCTTTCCGACGGTCCATTGCAGCGAAATATGCTATCACCAGTGGTATCGCGTTGGGTGAGTTTTCTTTAATATATATAAATAAAATAAAATAAAAACAAAGTAAATAGAAATATATGATTCACTGATGCTGCAAAACTTACGTCGAGTTGATTCATCTCCCTGACGGTGTGAGCGCCGATGGTATTCATCTTCCGTATAGTAGTTCCTCCGGCGATCCCGGCCACGCCCACCTAGGGAATTGGTACGTCTCACGCTCGGCTCATGCACGGCTCTCCGTTCATACATGGCACCATGGCTATTGTCGGGACGGTAACCAGCAGTGGAGGATCCAGGCGGGAAGTCTCGTTGGATCTCTTCAACCTGGGAATCCTCGGTATCATCAGGGCGGACCAAGTCAGTGTTGGGGCCCCAGCGGTTGTTCGTTGGACGGGGGCTTGCGTGGGACGATTCGTAGAAGTCGGCGGTGTGAGCTCTTCTGCGCTGAGTGTTGTACGGATGGTTTTCGTAGTAGGACGCCATGGCGTTAAAGTATTACTGTTTTCGCTCCGAAGGGACCCGGTGAACTCGGAGCGTCTTCGTTTTTTATTTCTTTTATTGCTTTTTGTGTTAAACACGTTGGACCTTAAGACTCAAAAAGCAGAAGAGCCTTGAGACGATCCGCAATCCAAATCCAGATTTTCCCGTCTCTGTTGGAATCAATCTATGAATGCTTTTTAGCCCTTAATTTTCCTTGCTTTTTGTGAGAGATGTCGATGAAGGTTGGAAATCCACCCGAGTTCAAGGCTGGTTGTGGAGGACGAACAGATAGATATAGTCTGGTGTTGCTCTTGCTGGCCTAGCCTGCAAGCTAGCAATGTGGGGTGTTGCAAGGCGCCCCTTTTTGTTTGCCTGCTCAACGTACGAAGCGGTGGGCTGTGACAGCAAATGGACTGCGAGGCTGCAGCGGGATGTTGGGAGATCAATTATATCAAGATGGGCAAAGAATAAGGAGCGAGGGCCAAAAATATCAAGAGTATTCGTCATTTATGATCTCGGGCAGAAAGTTCTCCACGATAAGGGCCTAATGATGTCGGATGACCTCAGGAAAATGGCAGAGAAGGAATGGAATGTTTTCCTCTCGGGACTAATTATCAGGATGAGTTAAAGGAGGGCGGCGACCGGGTGCGGGTGGTGATTTGATCTCAATCATCAGGTTGCCCCGGTTCCAGATGCAGGGCGAGGCTGACGCGAATTAGCACAGCAAACAGCTCCTCCAAACAAAAAACGTAGACAGTCAGTGATGAGAGGAAGATGAAGTCATATCGACACTCTATCTATTTATAACTACCATGAATAAACTGATTTTATCCAGAAGAATTCCTCCCTGTAACACAACCAGAATCACAATTTATCATACCACAGCATATTTGTTGTAACTGGCGGTTATACCCGTATGACGTCATAAGCCAAAACAGGGTCCGTCCTTTGCCCTAAACACGATGATCGAGCAGTTGGTTATATGAGGTTCGGATAAAGTCGACCTTTAAGCCAATTAATAGGTAATTAATTCCAAGGGGGAGGGATCGGTGTGGGGAGATCATTGATAACTTAGATGTGTGTCGTACGCATTGCGATGACTACTCGCCCTTGGAAAGCCACCTAACTACTCCTCCTCGTTCGTCTTTAATTAATCTAAAGTGTCTGCTGAGAGAGCTCACTGTTTTCCGATCAAAAATCATCTTGTTCAGGATGGGGCCAGAACATGAGACCATCTTTGTGCACACTGAGGAGATGTCGGAGTCCTTTCCGCAAATTGTTCAAGGACCAGATAACGTTAGATGGCGTGGATACGGATGCCTTCGCTTGATGCTGCGTGTATGTTTGTATGGGCGATTATTCTGAGCCTCAAGCGAGATACAAACCCTCCTGCGAAGCCGGAGGCAAGTCCCCAGTCCGATTATTGCAGACCAATTGTGAAACATGGCAACATTTTCAGCGATTCAGTGGATATCACACAGATTAAGAAGATAACTCATGGCCGTCCAGCAAGTCCCCAAGTGGCCTCTGCCAAATTTTGCTTAACTACCTTCAAAGCTTCCGGTGGCTATGATCCTCAGAGAATCCCACAAGTAAACCAGTTGGATCTTCGGTTTTGAAGAGGGCACCACTCAACCTTGCATCTCTAATGTAGTTAGTGAGTGGTGTTGGCGATGCTTTCATGATCGCATCCGCGTTTCTCCTGGCAAAGTCAAAGCGGCTGCCTTCTCAATACCCACTGCTCAGAGTCAGAATCAGCCTGTATTGTGGTAGAAAAATTGTACTTACTGGTGAAAGATCATGCAGCTGCTGAGCATGCAGTATGGATGAGAGCTTATGGTGTCGTATATATCATCTGTACAAACACCGTTGCCATTATGTTTCCAACGGCAGCAGAAGGTATTTTGGCCAGATTCCCATGAATTGAATGGTTCCGCTGAAGATTATGGTGTTTCAATGGCCACATACAAGCTGGATAACAGCAGGCAGAGTATTGGCGAGTGCTGATGCCTGACGAACGCGTTCAATAACTAAATGCTAATGATAGATGCGGCAGATGTCTTACTTAGAAGAGTATCAAGCTACTAAATAGATTTTATATCCCATCTAGATAACATGAAATATTTAAAATCAAGCAGCCAGCTGAATTCAAAGAAGCAATTTCAACTATATGGAAAGATAAAAGGGAAACGAGAAAAACTCCCAAGTTCTCCAGGCTCCGTCTATTGCTCATGCACACCCGTGTTTATATGTAAATCCAATACCCACACCCTAAAAGCCCTATTCTAACAGATAACAGATCGATCTGCAGAACATCACAGCAAGGAAACACCACAACAAGATCCACAAAGGAAAAAGAAATATCAAAGTCAGGTATACCAAAACCAAAAGGCCCTTAATACCGCGCGTGTATAGGGTTTCAATTCTCATCAAAAACTTAGCCCCAAAAATCCAGCAGAACGAAGGCCTTCTTAGTCCACATAATGTCGTCTTGCCTAAGTACTCCACATCCATTAAACCTAGCCAGGTTAATGCAATTGTTACCACCGCTATGTTTTATCCCCTGGAAAGAAGGAGAGAAGAGAGAGAGGAAAGATACAGAGGAAATTCAAGCAATGCACGTAAAAATCCATCCAGGGATGTGATGTCAGCTCGAGTGATATGCTTGTTTCCATGCAGATACAACCATGCTAGAGCAGAAGATGACACGAAAGAAAAAGGAGGAGAAAAACGAGTGATAAACAAAAGAGGGTATCGAAGTGATCAGAAACAAAAGGATGAGGTGTCTTCCAAGATGCGACATAGGAAGAGAAATGCTAGCAAATAAAATAAAATAATAAAATAAAATAAATAAAAATAAAAATAAAAATAAAAACCACAAATAATAGACCAGGGTTCTGAGAGGAGAGTGACGGGGTTACAGCCAGATCCACCCAGATGAAACGCGGAATATTCCAAATCTTCAGAGGTCGTAAGTTGGAGGTTCATGGCATAGTAGCTTGCATTGAAGGATCCATCTCATGTTAGAATCTGAAGCAAGCATGACGCACTCAAGAGGTTGAGGAAGAAAGAAAGCGAGACTCGACGTTCCCTCGTCCCTCTTTACCAGCTGATGATCTGGTGTCCACCTCTTGCACGATCGATAAGTTACTCACTTTTGTCAAGCCACGGAGTTCCAGTAAGAAGCAAGACTAGCGGAGTTGACAAATTCTTTTCCTATATCTCGTTCAAAAAATTCAGTAGTCGAAAAGTATTTTTCCACCTGTGCTTCGTGTTTCGGGTTGAGCCGACTCTTTTCATACTTTTTGACGCTATTTTTTTTTATTATTTATTATTATTATTATTTTTATTTTTTTGGTCGTCTTCGTCCAGGTTTTCCAGATGTTTGGGCAATGTGGTGAAGCGAAATGCGGAAGATGGACAGAACAGAAGTGAAAAATACACAAAAGGAGAAAGCAACGGAAAAGAGAGAGAAAACAAGAACCGAATCACCGCGGCTAGTCTTCGCATTTGCCTTCGTCTGGTTTGATTTGTCAAATGCCTATGCAGAGTAATCCTTCTGTTGGCATATCAAAATAGCGTGAAATGCGATGACTGAAAAGGAAGAAGAAGAGTAGGCTACAACGAGCGCCAGGTGAAGGTTGTGTTGTGTCTCTAAGCCCCACATCATCGTCGGTAATAGTCTATATTCGATTTCGCCGCAGCAATCGCGAGTGCATCCAATCCTCCCGTAATGCTATCAGAGCGGGAAGGGGCCGGTCTTCGTCCCGTAGTCGTTTGCGATGCCACCTGGTTTAATGAGGAATAGGGCCGTCCGCCGTGACTGCGTCTTGTGGATCGACTTTTGGGTTCATCCGATCTGTCATCGATTGCAGGGGAAGAACCATGGGACTCGACGCCGAGATATTCTTCCCGACCGTACTGTCTTCTGCAGTTCCAGTTTGCTAGAGCGGCGGCTTCTTCTTCCTTTTTCAACAACGCCTCTTCTGATACGGATAGACGATGGGTCCGTCGATGTTGCTTCATATTATCCTTTCGAGTAAACGCCTTATTGCAAATTGGACAGTGGATACCCTTTTCTCCCGTGTGCTTCTTGCCGTGCCGTGCGGCGTGCCCGGAGGTTGTGAACGTTGCGGTGCAAGCATGGGATGCGGCATATGGACATGGATATTTGTTCTTCCTGCTGACGTTGGTCGTTCTAATTTCTCCAATTCCGTTAAGCGAGGTTTGCGGAGAGGCGGGCTCCACATGAGGGATCTCGCTATGAGTAATTTTTTCAATGGAAAGCTTCTCTATCGGATGAGGGTAGGTTGGGCCACGACGGCTGGCGGAGGAATAGGGATTATCGAAGTGGTTTATATGGGCTTCGTGGCCGTACGAATAGATTGAATGCTCGATGGCTCCATGGTGTGGTCTTGAATCTAGATGATTAGCCGGAGGGGATCCGGGGGATAAAATATGTTGGTCTCCACGCATATTTTGATATCCACCTTGCGGGGGCAATTGGCGAACCTGCTGGTTGGTGTATGCCACTGCTTGCGGCCGATACTTCACCGGATTGATGGGTCGAACCGCAAAAGATGGGTTATCGTCGTTGTTTAAAATAGATATCATTTTAGGTTTGCGCTGGTCCATATCTTGGTCTATTCCACTCTTCTGCTGGGGGAATCCCTCAATTATAGAACTGATATGCCCTATTCACAGACAAAGAATTGGACTAGGTATCTATACCCTAGAGATCGACACATTAGAAGACCGCATGAAATAAAAGTTGACACAAATCCACGTACCAGCTTTTTAAAGTCAGTATATGTCTTTGACTTGTGTAACTGCCCCCGTGGGGACGATGTACAGAGCTCGTTGTCCGCTCACTGAACTGTATGAAGCAAAATTCGAGCTTGAGATTGGGTCGTGTGGAGTTCTGCGGTCTCCGATAACTGACGAAATCTCCCTCGAGAAAAGGGCCTTGTGGCGGAAAGAATTAAGCAGGAAAGATATCCACAGAGCGATAGATCCCGGAATATGGGAAGTTTAGAAATTGGGGTCGTGGTTGAAATATTATCGTTTCCGAACGATATATCACCATTGACAATCAAGAACGATAATAATCAGGGTCGAGGCTATCAAGGGGAAGGGATTGGAAGGCAGCGGGAGCACAATCTTGGACAGAAATTGGAAACCAGTCCAAAGCAGGTTGCAACACAAATGACAGAGAAGGTTCGTGCACACTCAGGTTAAACAAAAATCATTGAGCAGAATGATATAGATCAATAGGAGTCATCGAAAGGAAAATAAGCAGAGCGGATAAAAAGGACGGGTTGGGGAAGGTCTATAAGCGCAATAATCAATGCTAAATACCACCAACCAAAATTTATAATAATAATAATAGTAGTAGTGTAGTAGTGTAGTAGTAATAATTTAATTAATTATTATCTTCCTTTTCTTGACTTTTTCAAGGAAAGATCCACGTAGAGCGCTGGTGCAAGGAGGGAAGGCTAACAGCTCAAATATGACCCAGAAATTATCGGAGACGTGGAGGGGGGAGGGGGGTACATAGTCTGTTTTGGAGGAGGGATTCAAGATGAAACAAGATGGTGGAAGACGATCTAGAGGCGTCTTCTACTGCCGGATCCATGGAGAAGAACCATGTAGATATATCGTTAGTGCTGGAGCAGAGTGTAATAATGATAGTTGAACTAGAAACGAAAGAACCCTCAGCGACGTTCTAGGGAGTCAGATTTGCGCCAGGGGCTATCCCATCTTGCCCTGCTGCTATTGACCGGGAAAATGCGAAGCAAAAGCAAATAAGAATAGGAAGAAGATACGCGTGGGGGGAGAAGCAAGGCGTTTACCATAGACTCAGAGCAAAGGAACTCCAGCCTCACTGTGTTATAAATCTGATTCCGCCTCTGGCTCTAGCCAGAACAAAATACTGGATTATCACAGGATTCCGCACATTTCCAAATGGTAAAGAGTTTTGCACCCTGCTGCTGCTGCTCATTCTCGGAACTGCTGAACAGCCTCATCCATGATTTTTCTTTCTCTTAAATGAATGAGGTTGACGAAGCGATCAACCCATTGGTCACACTCCCGATCAAGTGCGAAAACAAAAGGAAAAGGAAAAAGAAAATAGCATCCTTGCTGGTGTGTCAAGCAACTTGCAGCGGTCGTTAAGATATTGGAAACCAAGAACTGAAAGCTGAAGCTGTTAGGGGAAATGTGATCCACAGATGTGTGTGGCGTTAGAAGACACATGGTAATTCATGGTTCATGGCTGCAGACCAATCCCTTTCAAGGTTTTGCCCATCGCGTTGACAAGCAAGGGATGATTATTGGAATCAATACGATGAGCTAGAATTTGTTTTGCGGGCACCGCAAGCCACTTGAGAGGGGAGGGGTTGGGTTGGAATTGAAGCATCCATAGCCCTCTCTTGTCGCCAGGCATGACGACAATCCACAGTTGGCTCATCCCTTGAACCATCGGGATTTGGGGGGGGGGAAGATCCGACGACTGGGTAACAGTCGCGTATGAGGCATCGAGGTTCTAATTAATTAGCAAACGCCCTCTGTAATGTGAGATTAGTTCCGGATCAAATTCCAGTCAATAACGTGGTTTTCGAGCACTTAGTGGGTTAGGGCTGCTTTGGTGGGGCGGGTAGGGGCGAAAGTGCCCATTTTAGCGGTGGTCCGGAGCGATTTTCACTAATATGATTAAGGGATCCGTATAGTCTTGGTGGTCCCTGAATGCTGAAAGCATATATTCATTTAACCTTGTGGCTCCGTTCAGGCGGATGGAAAAACCTCCGGTGCTCTCTTGCAACGCTCGCAAAGGATGCCGTTAACTTCAGTCTGGTCCCCCAAAACCGATGCTTGAGTTTACGTATTTATCTCCAGACTCCCAGGAGTATTTTCATTCCCCCGGATGGGCTCCTGTTATTTGTTGTTGTTCCTACACATATGTTTTACTTGGCAATGCAATGATAACTCACCTGTTGCTGTGCATTACATGTACGTATAACTTAGTTGCCAGGGCTATGAAGACCTGCTGTCATTCAGGCCCTCCCCCCCCCCCCCCCCCAACCCCTATAATCCTTGGGATTCGGGTGACCCCACCCCTGTTCACTTCAAGTTCATCTGCTCCCCCAAAACAGGGCGATCTCGTCATGGACAGCAGAATTCGAACACAAGGGTCCATCTCGCGCGTGCCAAAAATGTGATTTCGAAAGGTGACAGAGTCTTATCCATCCCTCTAAGGCATAACTACACAGAGGTACGGAGGACGGAGGACGCTTCCATGTTTTAATCGTATTTCCCAGTAGTAAGTAAAATACTCTGTAGTGCTGTGAGCCTCTATTCCCCATCGCCATCTTCGCCGTCGGACAATGTGAGAATCACAAATTTGCCCCGCAGAATCCCACTGATGGAGCCGTCCGTTCCAATCTCCGTTTCAGCCTTACCAGTCGAGAAAGCGGAGTTTTCCGTGCCAGCGATACAGAGGTTGAAGATGGTTAAGCCGGTGTGTGTGTTTCCCGTGCTTTTGGAGGTCCTGTGTATAAGTGTGTGCCTAGGTATACGCACAGTAGATAATGCAACCATTGCACATGAATTCAGATGAAACCGTGATCTGGTGGGTTGTACAACTCTTCTCCTTGCCAACTTGACCGTCGTATCTGCTTAAGCCCCCTCGCCCACTTTCATAGCATGACACGCCCCGAGAGAAGCTGCATGTCGGAAAACTGTGAGCATGTGAGATATGTGCAGGACAAAAGGCATCCACAATATCATTTGTGGTGCCATGGACATGAATTTTCGACTCGACCTCCCTTTTTTAACTTGGAGCGTGGGAGCCATGCGGTATTCGAGCTCACACCTCCCATGGAATGGAAAGATCCTGCTTTTTGGCCCCTGGCTGCGAAAAGAAATACTTAGATCGTGTGATCCATTTCTTAGATTTCGGACTTTTGGCCAATGATTCATCCCTTTATCCACTTCCCGTAATCGACAACATTGAATAGCCGACTTCATCTGGCATCAAACCGTGTTCTGCATTTCTGGTTCCGCTGCCATGCCCCATTTTCAGACGTGATGAGTCTAAAGAGCTTCCGATCTGCAGGAGCCTCGGGAGTGGGGTAGTTATGGACTTCTCGCCATTCGGCGCCAAAACAAAAACAAGTCCCTGTTTTCCTTTTGTTTCTTTTTTCTAGGGGTTGCGCTTTTGGTGGTGATTGCATCCAAGAACTCGTGTGATGTCCACGAGGCAAATCATCGGAAGCTAGATTGATAGTTGGCTTCTGTTGCCAGCCACTGCGATTATAGGTTTATACATACTTCCACAATGGGTAGCGGTTTGTCCTGCGCTTTTCCTTTCACTATTGCCCGCCGCTTACAGCCCGTCGGCAAATCGGTATTGGGAGGGAAGGTTTCCATGTATGACCTGTACTCCGACCATAACATGGCCCTACTTCCACCCTGGCAGTAAGGGATAACTAATTACGAAAGTTTATACTCCGCTAGTCGAAACGGAATGCCGATCTGGCCTAACTATTCACCCACTACGCCAGATTAGCCAGTTCCAATAAATGCCATTTGGGGAGAGAAGGCTTTTATGGGATTTTTACAATTCATTTCCAACAGAAGAATGCCATGATGTTGGGTGTGGTGGTTAACCCCAGCTACCCACAAAGCAATCGCTTGTCTGCTCTGATGCTGATAACTAAAGCCCTCTAGCCTGTTGCGTTCTCCTACGAGACATCAGACCCAAACAACCAAGTATCAAACGAGCTGCAACTGATATTGCGGTGGGTTTCATTAATACGTTGCCTGGCAGTTTTGCAATGTAAGAGGTAAAAATGAGCCTGTCGGAGACATCGAAGGACACCTCACAGTGACCGCGAATCCTCTATTTGCGTCAAAGAGGAGCAATAAAATGAAAACAAAAAGAAAGGTGGGGTTTTTATTAAGGACACAAATCAACGGCAAAAGATTTCCGTTCCAGTACCACCCCAAAAACACGGTTAATGACAAGGTCTTCGAAAATTACAATGGCCAACCCAAACAAGACAAGAGGGCGGACCGGGATCCAGACGTTGTGTCAATCCTTCAAAATGGCATGTTAGCAACCCAATATCCCAACGTAACCTTTCTTGTTCACGGAGCATCAATATAACCATGGGTGATGAAACGGTGTTGTGTTTGATGGAGTAGGAGGCTCACCATTCAACATCCATGCAACCTGGAGCTCTGCTGCCTGGCACTGCTCAAGGGTTTCTTCACTAAGCCGCATATCAGTATCAAATCCCTTTACATTCCCATGACGATTCATGTAATATTATATGGCTATGCTGCGTAATGTTAACAGGAGTTAAAAGGAACCCCCCCCCCCCAACCCCCCCAACCCCCCATGTCAGAAACTCTCCTGCGATTAGATGCTCTGAGGACTGACGGGTAGCCTCAGCTGCTCTATCGTCAACTATTAGCACCTGCGGAAATTGAAACACCGAACAATTTCAGAAAATTTCCTACCTCACATGCATTTCGTATTCGGGTCATTTGTTTGCTCCCACTCATTGTCGGCGTCGGGTCCCAGTCCATAAGCTGACACGGATTTTTGGTGGTGTTCAAGAAAGGGAAAAACTGCATGACAATCATTGAACTAAATAAAGTTCAGGGTCGCAATCAGGGTCTCCTCATTCCCATGTCATGGATCTTATCACTTGACCGCTTACTTCAAAAAGTCAATGTTGCGGTAATTAGTTAGCATTCAGGGATTGCTAACGGGTCTTCCTAGGAAGGGCTACGGTGGTGTATTTGTAACGATTCTCTACCTTTTCCAAGGTTGACCATCGTGAGCCCTCATTCCACGCATATTCCCCGAACTCAGGATATCGTGTGGAACACATATAAAACCATCGACGGTATTAGTCCTTTCTAAGGCGAAAAAAAAAACATCTGGATTATTAGGGGAATATCCATCAATTTTCTGAAATTTTTCCAAGAAGATTGAAATATTGACTAAGAACTTTACAGATCTCTGTTGGTAAAAGGACAGGGTAAAGCTGTTAAAACATGAGACGCAGAAAACAGAGACTCTTCAAGGACCGGGATTGCTACTTTACCTCCCAGATGCTCAGGCATAAATGTCTTAAGTTTCACCCTGAAACCTGATAGTTCTGATGGGGTACCCAGCACATTAATAAACACTTTCGATAAATGAGTTGTTGTCAGTTTTTCAAGTTTCTCCTTCTCCTCTTTCTATTAAAATGGACCACATTGATTTTCATGTTTGAACGATGGCAGTTTTCTTCAAACAGTCTAAGAATATTTATTGGATTGTGTCTATATTTGGAGGCTTAAAGTGGTTGTGTATAGTCCATACAGATGTGAAAATGAACATCAATCTCAGGGGGTTGTGTAGTTTAAGGGAAAAGAGAAAATTATTCAACCTGAGGCATTTTTCAACAATACTGTTGTATGCTGTTCGAGTATGAGCAGAGTTTGTGTGCCATTTACTGGGCAACAAACGGTGAGTGATTTAGCGCTGATTTCCCATCATTCATGAATGAACCCTCAATTGGGCACTTAGGCACCGTCACCTCCCTGGAGATTCTGACGTAATCAGGTTGTATGAGCATAGCTTTGTAAGATGGAGGAACAGTTTACATTCTCGGTGTCTATTCAATACACCCATAGAAATGTGGTCGTCCATGGACATCTTGAAACGAGCGTTACATTGAGGGCTTCATCTAAGACGCGAGATATCAAATTAAAAGCTGTTGTGCTTAAGAAAAGAACGTTGGAGATCTAGCCCACAGCTATTTGAAGGATTTTTGGCTAGTAAGTTACATGATAATTGCCTTCACTCTTCAATGGTTCTAGAAGACATCTAGAATCGTTCTTTCCGCTAATCACCTTCATTGCCTGTTCCCTCGTTGGTTTTCTATATCGTGTCCACTGGCCGTCTGAAACAAGCCACAGTTCTGATCTACAGATAGCTATTTGGATATGATAACAAACAGAATCCTTCAGACCAAGACGAGGAAGCCACTGCTTCCATTATTCAGTAAATATAGTTAGTAATCCAGGGCTGCCTTTCTCCCAGTCGCTGCTAGGTTGTTCGGAGAACTAACCCTCCGTGTGTATATCACATTGCAAGCCACTACAAACGGAAAGACAAAGGGGATTTAATCAAAAGCAAAGAGCCGTGAAAATATTCCAGTGCATTGGAGGGAGCGCAGGGTGATGTAATTATTCTTGCAGTTCGATGGTAAATGGGAACTTGTAACTTCCATGGTCAAGGAAATAGCCCTCTAACTTTCCCAAAAGCAAGTTCCCGGACTGACAAAGTACTGATATTGTGGCAATTTCTTGATGAAAAGGTCCCCCAACGCATGTCATATTGCCTCGAGAGACCCCCATCATCATCCTGGTATTCTTGATTTGCCTTTTCGGCCGGGATGGTACTTGCACCATGAAAAGCTACGTGGCCAGAAAACCCAGTCTTTGCCGATATCCGTGACGCTATATTTGTTATTGATTGGCGTTACTGCTAGGTTTAGGCAATTATAAGAGACGCCGTGAAAGTTGAGGTTATTGATATGGTAAGAATTTGGAGAGCGCATTTGTGAGCAGTTAACTCAGGAACTTGGCATCCCAAGATGGAATGTTTGTGTATACACAAGCCGTTTACAACACAAGCTGGCTGACTCGAGCTTTTCTTTGCTAGCAATCAGCCTGTCCTCTGGTGCAGCACAAACAATAATGCACTGAGTACGGGGGTTGCAGGGACCCAGATTGCTGTGTCATCACGAAACCCACCCCCCAATTAATGCAGAAAAGTTGGTTTCCTCAGGGCTCTTGGCTCATGCACTGGTTTCATATTCGGAGACAGATCTTACCTCCGCTCCACGTTTTATACAATTTCAGCGCAGAAAAATGAATTGCTTGATCAAAGAGGCCAATCTTGAAATCCTGGGCTGAAGTCGGGTTACCCAGTAAGAATGCGTAATTGCCCAATGGGAGAAACCCTGAAAAGTGGAGCATGTCCGCTTTACTCACCTTAAAACGTGGCCGCTAAACCAATAACACACTAGCCCTTAACTTTCCACCCTTTCATTACTTCCAGAAGAAACCTAGAAGAAGTCTAATTAGACGAAGGCTATTTAGATTCTCCGCCCACCTTCTAGACCTCTGCCATGAAACGCCAAAGAGAATAGGGTCTGCTTAGCTATCATACTATTATATGATTTCCCAAAACCACTCGAAAACCAGGAAGAGAGAGCTTAAGGAGCATCTCTGTGCAAAAAAGCCACGCAAAGCCACGTTCCATACAAAGAAGTGCGCCTTGATCAGGTGAAGATTCCTGAGCAATCGGAGTGAGCCGGGGGACCAAGACGAATAGCTTCTCCATTCCAATCCAATCCAGCATACTTCCCTGGCAAAGCATGTATCCTGCTGACTGCTCCATAATCTTGTGCACTATTATGTCAAATATCGGAGAAGGTACTGTAGTATGGAAAAGTATCCACGTGACGTCTTCTCTGATCGCATTCCCACTTAGTTCTCCGTAAGGCTAAGTACTATTTTACTGCACATATTGGAATAATCCACAGCAAAAATGCCTTGAACATAAATGAACACCTGAGTTAAGTACGTGCTAACATTATTCAATAATTATTTAATAGCAGTATATATATGGACAATTAGGGACTTTTTTCCCCCCATGATTCAGAATCAAATTTCAAAGAATGAATGGATGTCATCCCACCAACTTATCGCCATCTATTGTTTCATCCAAAGTCACTCCAATCCCCCTCGTATCAAAGAGCTGGGCTTACTGTTGCGCAAAATGGCAGTTTCATCAGTGGCTTAGCCCACAAGGCCCCTGTTGATATGTGCAAAATATTCGATGTGGTAGTTATTCGAGGCAAACTCATTAACGATTCTCATAGTTCGATTTGCTCTCAAGAACATCATGCATTCATCTGGTTCAGTGATATTAGATGTCCTTTATTCTGACAGATAATACCAAAAAGATGCGATCATACACCCTGAAGGATAGCCGCGCTTGTGGGTGAGTAATATTTTCTGAGCGGGGCATTCCGCGTCTTTCTTTGGATGTCTGCCAACAGCAGCGCCAAAGGTGCATTCGGCAGTCCGGGTTTCGATGTCACCTTGTCCTTTGGAACTAGGATACAACTGACTTAGCTCCGGTAGATGTTGCTTGGGTCCACCGTGAGAGAAGGGTGATCCCTGCACTCTCTTGCTGAGTGCGAATAGGAGTAAATAAGCTATGCTTCCACACTAATTCATGATTTCCACTCTGATCAACTTTCCAACAACTATTACTGGCTTCTGAGCCAACATCGATCATGAATTAGGTCTCTTATTTTCAGTTTTCAGACCTGTTATGCACATGAAAGCCGTCATTATTAAAGATATACTGCAACAAGCATTCGCAAAAGAGATATCTCGAATGGGAAGTATATGGATTCTTTCATTACAGAGGTTAACCCACGTTTGATTACACGGCTTGGTATCCCAACTGCTGGTTTTTATTTAAGCATCCAAAGGGGCGTGTGATAAAAGAAATGCCATCATAGAAATGGGATTCAGACATTCCCAATACTTTTCAAAGAACCAAGAAGTAAAGGGAATTTGGGCATGAAGTTCGAAGAAATCAATCCATGCATGCAGCTTTTGAGTGGCACAACAGAAAAGCCATACTTGTTGGTCTTACCAGGCAGTGCTGCAGGGGCTGCCAACATCTGAAGCTGACAAAAAAAAAAGATAATCCCCACAGCGTTTCTGTCTCTTATCTTTATTTTATTTTATTTTATTTATCTATTTATTTATTTATTTATTTATTTATTTTACAAATGTCTACCCCTTTCCCCGCGTTTTACGTATTTTTATGCATCATGGGTCACATCTTCAATCGTGCTTCTCTTACCCTCAGCCCCAGCTAGTTGCGTTTGAAATCCCCAGTCGAGCATGTCGTTTCTCTGACAAACATAGACTTTGCCAGACCCTGGACTAGTCCAACTAATTTCTTACATCACGTATTTTCCGTTCCTTAAGCCGTCGAATTCTGGCTGCGCTTGAATAGGCGAGGATCGCTTGAGCCTTAACCAATTATGCCGAAAGTCTATGTCATTTCCTGCATCCACGTACATCATGGTGCAGGTTGGGTCCATCTCTGAATCCTCTCACCTTGCCTCGATGGGGAAAACAACAGCATCCGCGCCACTCTTCTCCACACGGAGAAATCCACTGGCAAACAAAACCTTGGAGGGGATGGCTGAAACGCATCCAGAAATTTCATGTCCAGGGTCCCAGGTTGCTTAAGCTCAACCCACAGATTATCGGGGCAAGGATTCCCAGCAATAGCTAGTTACTATTGAAGCGGAGATAAGAGAACTGCTTGCAATATCCCGCTGTCTTCCTGAGGAAAAACACCTTACAGCCCCCCACAGTCAACGCGGATTATGGAGAAATCGCAAGAATGCCACATAGATGATAGGGCGTATAAGATGGGCGATCATCGCCAGTGTCTAGCTTCAAATGGCAGCTACCAAGAACGCCTGTGGAAAGCAAAAGAATCAGGATACGAGAAGAGGGTCTGGAGGGGAAATATCTAGATCCAGTCTCAACAATTGGCTCATTGCTGAGCCCTTGGATTTTGCTCGTAAATCGAAGGAGCAAACTAAACTTGGATTTTTGGGTAGAAAGGTTTTTTATTTATTTATTTATTTATTTTACACCGTTTAAGGGTACTGAGCTTGAAGCTTTCTAAAGTGCGGAACCTTTCCCGCATAACTAATCTTCGGCTTACTCCCTTTCTATCGCCTGCAAATGATGTTCAGCAATATCTCTTGAGACGATGGAGTGGCGGAACGAGCACTAACATCGCATCGCTAGCTCCAGATGTCTCTTGGTCAATCCATCAATTATCTTGCTGAAACTTTTCATCATCTCCTCTCGCCGTCTGAAATTTTCCAATCAAATGCGACAGCCATTCAGGCGAAGAAAATGGCGTATCTTGACAGCAAGCAACGCCTCTCTTGGCTCTCCGGTTTTCGTTTCTATGTGGTTTCACCTAGAAGCTTCAGACTTACTAGGAAGAATTGTAGGGAGCATGGAACTCCGCTTACATGGTCCGAGTAAGACTAATATCGGGATTTGTCTTCGGTACTTTTAAAAACTTGACCCTCATTGCCCTTCATATTTTTATCTTCAATAACGAATGATCTTTCGATAAAAGGGACCTTGCTCATAGCAAAACCCAAGATTTGATATTATTTACTAGGATCTTTACCCCTCCTCGACAGAGGCAAATAATGGCATAACTTCTAACGAATCGGAGGTGATGGATGTGTGAAAAGAAAAAGGCCTCTCTAGTCCCACTTTATTATTCCCCTCTTTCTTATTTTCATATTTTCTCAATTAATCTGCCTCATCCTGATGGTTAGATGGACAAACAGGGCAATGCTCTGCATTTTTGCCGTCAAATGTCTGTTGCAAACTGACCCGGGGCATTTTGAGAGAAAAAAGAAAGAAAATATTGGCAACCTTTCAATATTCTGATTAGTTTTATGTTATGATTATATTATAATACTCGCTGACTGTTGAGTTTCTGCTTTTCTTTCCTTGTGGCTGATCCCTTATTTGGTCTGGCCAATTTGTGTTAATAATTCATTTCAGTCATTTATCCCTCACTGGTTCATTTCTCATGCATTCTTCCGCCTACATTGCAGGTGTGGGCGCAGTCTTCCCTGAGATGAGAACCTCCTTCAAGAGGTGAAAATATCCTTTCTCTCTTGGGCCCTCGCATTGTTGACCGAGCCGACCCTCCAAAAATATGAGGGTCTGTAATTACCTCTGGGAGCTGTTTACTTGTGATTTATTAGCCTCAACCTGCCAGAGTTTGGGTGTTGATTGATGACCATGAACTAGATTTGGGAGCGCGCAAAATTGTCACTGAATATTGTTTCTCATTCCCTTTGTCGAGGCGGCAACACCACTTTCCACATCATCATCATCATCATTCATAACGCTTGGAGACTCAGGGAGAACTGGATGAGAAGGCTCAGGCCTCTTGCTAACTCTCTCTTGTCCCGCCCAGCGTACTCTCACCAAAGAGCGCCATCAAATCATGTAAGAGCATGAGAATCCCATCTCAGCTTCTGGCTACCCGGGGCTTATCCCGTACATGACTTCTCAGTTGATGATTACTATGACTCCTTGGACGGCACCAATTTTTCATCTAGCTGCAGGCGCTTTTGTGCAGAACGATAGACATCAAGCAGCTCCCGGAATTCACCATGGGCTGCGCTTTGTAGCAGGTAGTAAAGGACCATGCAAAACTAGACACGCTATCCTAGAGAGTCCTTACTTCTTCGTTTGGTCACAAGAAATTGAGCTCCAGGGGTTGGATGGGGTGGGCGGTCTGGAGGACGTTTTGGAGATCCAAGTTCAACTCGAGCATTTTCAATGAAAGTTCAGCTAGTGATCTGAAAGCATTGGGGGTTCAGCCACGATGCCTGTGTGTCTGCAAGTCATGCCGTTATCCTTTTTCCTTTCATTTTCGTCTTCCTCCATGTTCTATCTCCTATTGTGTAATGTAACAGTTGAGCTAAACAAAATAGAAAAAACGGGTGAAGAGTGAAAAAGGGAAAAAGAAAAGAAAAGAAAAGAATAAGAAAATTTGGATATTACTCTTTCGATTTTTGATTCCATATATCTAATTCAGAAAAGAGCGGCATAAAGACATCCCCGTACAGGCCAGTGATGTTGAACACCATCCCCGCATTGTGGATTAAGTTCTATTGTTCCTTCTACTATTCATATGGGTTAGCGACAACAGGAAGATGATTATCAAACCCATATCATACTTTCTACGGGCTCAAAACATTACTATTCCAGTACTATTCCCCTCGTTTCCTTCTTTCTCCCTGTTTCTTGCCATCTGCAAGCCGAAGACGAATATCGGTTCATATAATATTAGCCACAGCATCATCAGAAAAAGTGAAAAGTCGAGCTAGGCAGCAACGATTTAAAAATCAAAAAGCAACAGGCATCTAAGTAGTCATTCAAATAAGAAGCGTATGGAATTCCTTGTCTCTACTTAATTGACATGAATTTGTATCTAAATGAATCCCACTGAGAAGTTCAGTTGAACAAACCAAAGTCAAAAGCGGCAAACACGAAAAGGAAATTCCAAATATTTCTTTTAAGGATCCTTTTCCTCCTGCTCCTGACCCATGTTCCATTTTCATTCTGACAAACATGTCAAAGCTAATGACATACAAACACACACACACACATTGCTGAGAAAAAAAACAATGGGGAAAAGGGAATAACGAAATAAGGAGGTTCATTCAAACTCATTTTAGTTATGAATCTAGAAGACACATAGGTAGACGGATAGAAGAGATCTTTGACCCTTCAGCTTACAGTATAGTGTAAGGGAAATCAAGAAGAAAGAGACAAAATGGAATAAAGGAGAGGGAATTGGTTATGGACGGAAAGTGACGGGCGACTACAACGCAGAGAGGCGGGAAATGCGAATACGAAAGACAAAAAAAATAGTTGCATATCATGATATGCAACGAAAAAGAGACATTGACGAAGATTGGATACATTAACGGAAAGCCGTTTAACGAATTCGAGTGAGCCGGCCAAAGAGAGAAGGAGAGAGATCGGGGTAGAGAGATAATGACAATGGTTTTTGACTAGGGGTGGATGTTTGAGTGACATTGTATATATACTGCATGAAACTGACTGCCGCTCTGACCAAAAAAAAATAGTGGTAATAGAAGAAAAGAAAAGAGAAAAAAGAAAAAAGTAAACAGAAAAAAAAAAGCAGGAAAAAAAGTCAAGAAAATAGGAAGGTATTACTGATACAAAGAATTGAAGTAATTAAAGATATGAAAAGGGGAGACGCAGCTGGTCATGTGGGGATAACGCAGTAGAAGCAGCAACACCAACTAGAATGATAGTACAAAATGAAAACCTTCATCAGAGTTGGCGTTGGTATCGAAGACTAGAGAGGTCTACCGATCCATAAAATTGTGGTGGATCACGGTTGGATGGGGATTAATTGATGGCAGATTGACAGGGGAGGGAATATCGGAAGATTTCAAGATTAACCATTAAAGGAGGAAGATAGGACCAGAAATTTACTGGCCATAGGGGGCAAAATGATATTCGACGACCTATCGTGCGGCGGCCCCAAGGTTAAGCCAGCTTATATCTGAGTTCGCGGCCTTCTGAGGCTGTGAGCGGTCTTGCGTTTGCGAGCTCGAAACCTCTTGATCATTAGTTGGCCACTGGGTAATTGGACGTTCCCGCCTTGGCTGAGTCGATAGACCAGGTGTCTGGTACAAGCTGCTAGAATAATTGCTGCTTGGAACTCGGTCGTCGCGGAATTGGTCTCCCGTGGAAGGCCAGCCTGAGTTTTCGTGTATGCTTGCCGGGACGCCGGAGGAGTACTTGTCGTCTTCATAGTAATCAGAAACGACGCTGATGGAATCTCCGCTAGAGATTTTTGCCTTCAATCCCTGCTGGATGACAAGCGTTTCGCCGAATTTTGGTGGGTGCTCAGTGCTGGGGCTGCCCGAGGGAACGCGACCGACATTTTGAGTTTGAACATTTAAAGGTGTGACGTCCGTCGAGAGCTCAGGCCATCCGCTATTCCTGTAGTCTGACTTGGACATTAGGGTAGAAGCGGACGACCTGGGAGATATGCTTCCACAAATCTGCGTATCATTTTCGCCCTGGAAATATTTACTCCATCCTTCATCGGTGCGTCGATCTCCTCGAGTAGCTTCCTTGTCCCCAGAAAGTGGGGTTGAATTCTGACCAGGAAGGTTAGTTGTCTGTATTTGTCGAAGAGGCGCTCTGCCCGTTTCCTTTTCCGCTAGCCCCAGCGTTGGACTGGGCTGGGCAGGAGTAGCAGCTTGGAACGGTTTGTCAACAAGTTGACCAGACATAATCGCCCATGAATCGGCTGACGGGACGGGTCCTCTCGCGATCGGCTGTATGGAGCGTGTCAATGGCTCCATTCCTTGATCTTGGAAGCTTAATCGGTCCTTATCCTCTTGATATCCATTCTTGCCCCGCTTCATGAACCGATTCCGTCGCTTTCTCCAACCGATGAAGAGAAGGATGAATATCAGAACTGCGGCCAAACCCAAAATTGCCCCAAGAGTTGCGCCAACTATGGCCAACGTCCTCTTGTTGGAAGTATTGGGTATTAGCTCAGAGGAGCCAATAGAGGAAGAAGTCGACGTTGGCTCAATCGATGCAGACGTAGATGGAAACGTTGAAGTGGTCGTGGGAACGCTGCTCAATGTCCTGTTAACTCCCAGAAGCAACTCTGTCGTATCAACCCAGCTATTTTCAGCCTGATCAAAAATACTCAACGGTTCTTCATCATTGCCGCCAGAAATAACAACCAGTCCATTCCTATCCTGAGCAAGTGAAAAATCATTTCGGGTGATGTTCGGGGCGTTCTTATTATTGTATTTGGGAAAGTTTGTGAGAGTAATATCGCGTCTTTGTCTTTTCGATGGCCCGGTGGCTCTGCCACCGATTTCCTCACCAGGGGCCGCCGGAAGGCCGCCTGCACGTAGTATCACATATCGTGACACTGAGTTGGGCGACTTACTGACATCAAAAACTATGAGTACCCTGGAACCATCTGCGCCAATCAACATAGAACATTGAGTTTTCGACTTCGCTTCCAAAGGCTTTGCTAGGCTGACTCCGGTGTCTCGCCATCCTTCGATTCTGCTGAAGGTGAATGTCCGGGTGTTATCGGGACCACCTCCAACCATAAAGGCAGCATCATCGCGCCAAGGGAGCAGTAATGGATCAACGGATGGAGTAACTGCTGAGTTGAACGCCTCCACTGTATATGGAGGAGCAGCGGATATCAAGAAAGTCTGGCTAGATGGGTTTGTACTTCCATCCTGGTTCCCGGCAAAGACCAAGAGTGAGGAGATTGAAGTAAGGTATATCACATCATGATGAACGCGATTCTTGATATCCGTGTTGTTGGCGCTCAGCGTCAATGTTCTCCATTTATTGTCTCCCAGCGAATAGAGCTGAACGCCACTGAAGTCAGCTGATTTGGACTTTCCGCCAATTACATAGATACCAGGTTCATTCGGATTGCCATCCACTCCTCCCAGAGTGCAGGACGCCTCTGATACAGGCTCGCCCATACGAAGTGTAGTCCATTTTCCGCCCAGCTTCAATGGTAGCGATAGAAAAGCATCGCCAGTGTGAATGTAGAAAGTATTCTCGTGGACGACGGAACAATGGCCCTTCAGTTCGACTGGTGGTTTAGGGAAAGACATCTTGCAGTGCAAGGGGATAAAGGTCGCCCAGTCTTTAAAAGATAAAACGGGATCTGGGGGGGGAAGGGTTTGGTTGTCCAGAAGCTCTACTTTGAACCGGCGAAGAATAGGTGTTGTTAACGTGGCCTAAGAAGATTGTGACGCCGCTCGAAAGATGGAATTATCTCATGGTGTAGAAGATCGATTTTCAGACACACACCACCCACAAAAATGTCGCAATTCGTTTTGGAGAATTTTGCCCAACGATGATTCCAAGCGTTCGTTCAGAAACCAGACAAAAAAACGCCTTTGTCATGCACCAGACTGATACCAATGACCCGATGAAAGGAAAACGAGTCTTAGCACGTACTGGGGACTGAATTAATGTCCTAGCAACAGCGGCCCTTCATCCCAACAGCGAAGTAACAGTGATACAAGCTAACTCGACGCGTCAAGAAGAGTTTTATTCCGTAGCCAACCAACACCACCGACGATCAAACCACATACGGTCTCAATGGTCCTCTCCTATTGTCCGAAATGCAAATTCAAAAAGGGGAAAATCCAGCTTGCGAAGAAGAGAGAAAATATATCAATTGTGAATTGAGCCTCAGAGAGGGGACATGGAGGCGTGCAATGGGAGCTGTCAAAAGTCAAACAGAACAGGGAGAGGACAGCAAAAATCTTCAGAGCAAGAGTATCCAGACCGATTGTATCTCAAAACCAGGAGAGAACAGGGGATATAAAAACAAGCAGAGAGAGGTATAGAGAGAGGGATAGTAGAGGGCAACGAAGAGAAAAAGGGAGAGTGGGTTAAAGGAATGGAAGGGCCGTCAAGGAGGGGAGAAAGGACACCAGCCGGACACAAGAGGGACGGAGCGGCTGTGATGAGGTGAGATTGGGGAGGGATCAGGAGACAAAAGGGGAGAAGAAGAGGGAGAAGAAGAGGGAGAAGAAGAAGAAGAAGAAGAAGAAGAAGAAGAAGAAGTGGGCAGAGGGGAGGCAGAGGGAGGAGCCAAAAGGAGACGGGCTGGGACATGAAACGACGGGCTGGTATTTTTGGATGCTTCTGGTATTGCTGGTACGATCAGGCCAGGGCACGATCTCTATTCTCTGGTAGCTCAGCCTGCTCCGTACTCCGTTCCATGGTAGAAGAAGGGCAAGATTTTCATTGAAATAAGCTCAATGCACCCAACTCTTATGCTTCCTTCTGCCCATTTCAAACCAGTTAATCCCCGTTTCTTTTAATATTCAAGTACGGTGTGTTCGCGCTGGAAATAAGCAGACAAGACGATGTTGGGAAAGTTCCCGCGTCCTTGCTGGAAATATGGGCCAAGGTTACATGGGATCCGTAACATTACGATTTGGTACTCGCCAATACAGCCGCGTCCCAGATAAGGTTGTGCTCAGGAACAGTACCGGATAAACAGTGTGCTAGATACAAGTAAGTAACTAAACCTGGGGTGATTCCAGGCCGACACCACGGTATTTAATACTTCATTCACAACGACTTGGTTGAAATCCTGCTCTTACTGCCAGTGCTTGGACTTAAGAGAGGTGTATTTTAGTTTCTTATTTCAGCCGAGCAGTAGTTAACTATTGAAGGACTCTTGGCACGATCGTGATCTTCACTCAAAGCATGCAAGAATGTGTGGATGTAGGTAGGTGATTTATTTGTGTGCGTATGTGTGTGTGTGTGTGTGGATTTTCCCCCTGCCTGATCACGTTCGGGACGCCTCTTGGATCCCCGACAATGCGCAAACAAGGGGCGGGAGCGCAGCGTTGACAGGATCCATACCTGCTATTAACTAGTTAAACCGTTATTGTGGAGCACCTATCTACCCACTCATGGGCCAGGATATAGATTCTTTTCAAATACCCAAAGGAAAATCCAACAGGACAACGAAGGCCGGGGGGGTGGGGGGGGAAACCTCATCTTCATAGAGTATTGTGAAGAGAAGGAGAATGAAATCCCTTCCTGACAAACTAAGTCCTTCCATGTTATAGTATCGATCCATGGGTGTTAATCGCTTCCAAGGTTTCTGCAAACGGGTAACACCATCACGAAACACCCTTAACCCCCCCCCCCCCCCCTGGACGGCGGAAATCTGGGACAGAAGAAAAAAATGGATCTAAATAGAATGCGGTGTAACCAAGGTCCCACATTCGAAATCACAATTTGAACACTGTGAGCAACAGACTGAGTCCTCGGAGGGGGAAGAGAGGGTTTTTTCCCCTTCTCTTCTCACTCGTGTTGAACACGGGACATAACCGGTCCGACTGGGTCTGCCGCGAATATGGACGGGCCATAACACGTACCGCGAGTGCCCTGTATCGATCTCTTGAAAAATTGGTTAAGAAAGCAAGAAAATGGAAAGGAACCAGAATACCCTGATTTTTGTTCTTGGGTTTCTTTTTCCTTTTCTTTTTCTTTTTCTTTTCCTTTCTTTCATTTCTTTCTTTTCCCCTTTTTATTTCGAGATTTTGTTTTCTGCCGCTGGGAGTGGGGGAGGTTGAATAGTTTTGTCTCTGGCTTCCATGTCTCGCATAACTAAAAAAAGGGTGGGTTGTACAGAAAGCGGGGGTGGGAAGAGAGAAAGATAAAATTGAGACAAAATAATTGGAAGAGGCGCATTTGCCAGCTTCTTTTCGTCTCATCAGTAACTTACCAGCCAGCGAGATTCTCCATCGAGGCTGGAGGATCTACCCAACGAGAACGCACGCTCGTTTGCACAAATGGCTACGCTGGACCAAAATCCACAAAAGGAGCAAGAAAACTTACTGGTTCTGGTAAACATCATTCATCCCAGCTGGCTGCAGAGGTTTTTAGCTCCTGTCCCTGCTAATGGCAGCGGAATGGATACAGGCCGTACCTGACGGCAGCTGACAGGTGGGGAGGGGGGAAATAAAATTAAATGAAAAGAGAGAGAGAAAAAAAAAAGGGGGGGGGGGTTTCTTGAACTCAATATGAAGTAAATATCTGCCGGACCAACCAGAGGAAATATTTTGTGTTGTCTTTCATAATGAAAAGCTTTGAAGGATCTATCGCCACCAGCGGTTAATAACGGCCTATGGATGATTAGAGATGTCGCAGTTAGGTTAAATTTGCCTTCAGCTTCTCTGCGCCTTGAATCCAGGAGATTTTAGCAGCCCCATCCAACAGGGCTGGTCATTATATAGTTTGTCGACGGACAGAATGAATGGCTGGGCAATAGTTAAGCTAGTTTTAAAGGAGAGGGAAATGGAGCTGGGAAAATAGGGTTTGATAGGTATGCCCTGGCTCCGGACGGAATATTTGATTAATGTCCACTGAGATAAAGATCAAAGATTCATTTTGATATATGACTACATGAACCTATGCTTATTTCGCAGAATACGTTGCGAAAGAGTGTCAAAATAGCTCTTTGCAGAGTCTGGGGCAACGGCGGTAGCTGTACCTTTAACAAGTTGGATGAGCGAGATGCGAAAAAGCGCTCGATGGTTCCTACGTATCCGTCATTGTGCATCCCACAACGGTACAAGTACACTTTGTCGCAATAGGATAGCTGTGCCTGAAAATCTTTTTGTTAGGCTGTTGTGCGTTTCATGCTGTCGATTGGCTTGTCCGGTGGTTGCCGGAGCTTCGCAACAATGACTCAGTAGGCGTCGAATAGGTTGGCATCGTGGGATGGGTGCTTGCCGCTATTATCCACAGCAGTTTACGAGCTGGAGAGGCATCCTTGTTTGACAAATGCTTGCCGAAGAAAGGGGGCTTAAATAATGAATTAAGATGGGCCATCTATTATCCATTCATTGTGGCCTGGTGTGTGGTTGGTCGGCTGTTTGATATGCCACACCTGCTGCGAAGGCACGAGATGCTGAGGGGTGGTTATGTAAATGATGGTGATTCGCCATAAAATTAGTAGCGAAATGAAGACCCGTTAGACGATGTTTAAGGACTTTCTAACATGACAAAGCTAGCAGTACATGGAACGCTTTAATATACAATTCCAGTTAACAGACCCCTGAAGCAATTTCATAGAAAACACACCAAAAGGAAAAAGCAAAAAAACACCAGATAGATATCAACCCAACAAGTACCAATAGACACCCTTTCACGTCTCCTTACTGGCCTTACTCGCCTGCTCCTTCTTCCATTTGTGCGCCATCTGAAGAATCTGTGACAGTTTAGCTGACGACTCGTCATCCGCAGGGAACATGTAATCCAAGTATTCTTCATAGCGATCATCATCCAGCTTGCGTCTCTTCTTGACCTTGCTAGGCATCTGTCGTTCAATCTTGGCGATGTCATCTGGTGATCCGTGCGTCTGTTCGAATGATTTCCATGCATTGAGAAGAGCGACTCGCTGAGAAAAACGTGTTAGCTCGCATAATTGGCACGTTGAACGAGAAGGAAAGTGTGTGGGGAAAGGGGGGAGGGGGAGGGGGAGGGGGAGGGGGAGGTGAACAAAAATATGAAAACGACATACTTCTTCTTTCATCTCCTTCTCCTTAAATACTTTATGCGCTCGCTCAAAGACCATTCGGGCCCGGCGCTTCGCCTCTTCACTAACCGGCTTCTCTTCCTCATCCTCATCTTCTTCTTCCCCTTCGGGTATATTAATTTCGAATCGTGCGAAATTGATCCAGACTTTGACGTGATTCGTCTTCTCGAGGAGGCGTTCATAGAGTGCCCTTGTTCTATCATACTCTCCCTCATACTCTTCAAAGTCAATATATGACTTCCACAGCAACTCGGGCATGTCGAGAACAGGCTGGGAGATACCCAGCTCGTATATGGCGCGTGCTCGATCAATATCATCAAGTCCTCGTTCGAGCTCCGCAAACTTGATCCATGCTTGGCAATTTGAAGGGCTCCATTCAATTTGTTTCTCAAAGAGCTTCCTGCATCGAACAAACTCAAATAACTGCCGCTCTAAGTCGATATAGCCTTTGAATAGCTTATCCTTAGGACAGGCACCAATTGCATGGCCAAGTGTCTTTCTAGCAGCCTGAAGGTCCATTTGTCGAATTTCGAATTGTGCCTTCATCAACCAGATCTTCGCAAAAGTGAATTTCTTGTGGGGAATCAACCTTATACATTCCTGGTAAATTTGATGCGCACGTTCCATGTCCTTAGCTTCAAGCTCCTCCCAGAGAGCGTAAAATATCCAAAGGTAAATATATCGACGCCAATGCCGTTTTTCTTGCGAGGGAGGCATCTGAGCAATGGCGCGTTCGTAGACATCCCGCACACGCTCCACATCTCCGGAAGACTCCTCGAGCCTGACGAAGTCAAACCAGATATCGTAGTTCTTTGGGTTCTCTTTGATTTGTTCCTCATACTGAACCCTTCGTTTAGAAAGGATGACGTCTTCAACGCCCTCCCGATCACCGAATTGCTTCTCGAAGGTGGTGTAGGCCTTGTGCAAAGCAACAGATTTCGCACGTGGTAGTCGGTCAAGCGCATATTTATAGATAGCTCTGGCCCGCTCAAATTCTTTCAACTTAGCTTCGTAGCGTGCGTAGGCAATAAAAAGCTTCTCATCCATGAAATCCTCGCCCAAAGTCTCAATGGCTAGGCCGTAGACCTCTCTCACCATATCACTGGTTCCATACTCCTCTTCAAACCGTGCCCATTTAATCCAATTCTTCGGCTCCGGATGGACAACAGTGAAACGCTCGAAAATCGCCCGGACTCGATCAAATTCGTTGTATCGCTTTTCAAGCTTAATATAGGCACCCCAGGCACCTTCATCGGGCTCCCATGACATCCATCGCTCAAACACCTGGCGCGTGCCCGGAATGTTACCCAACATCTCCTCCATATAGACATATTTATACCAGAGCTTGTCTACCCGGGGGAGGATTGTCACCGCGCGATCAAGCAAATTCCGGGCATGGTTGATGTTCCTCGTCTTCATCTCCGCCTCGATATAACGTATCCATAATACCACAGCAGTTGGGTCGACGTCCAAGGCCCGCTCGAACACTGACCTCGCACGTCGAAATTCCTTCTGTTCTAACTCCCACTGTGCATATCTCATCCAATTGTTCATGCTAATCCTGTTGCGTCGCACATAATCCTCGAACTCCTTGCGTTTCCGGCCTTGGTATTCATGTAACTCTTCGAGATCGGCGAACCGCTGTGTAGGAGCTTGAAGGGCGGGTTCTTGACGGTCCACAGCTTCGCGGAGAAGCTGTTCAGCGGATATCTGCTGGGGCGCTGGGGCCTTGTTTTTGACCCGCGGAGGGCCTCGTGAAGCTTCCATGCTTGGATGATGGTTGAAGGGCCGGGGGAAAATGTCAAGATTGTTGAAACTTATGCGAATAAATCACACTATCTACAGTCCTGGTAGCACGGAAAAATCGCCCGACCCCACCTCTCCAGTATAAAACAGAGTTTATTTGCACGGTTAGAGGATTTAGTGTTGTTGTAAAGATGATGATACATAGACAAGATAGGAGTTTGTATGAAGGAAATATTGATAACCGCTTTTGAAGTGAACCGGTCACCTGACCACCTCACTGGTGGCGCTAGATTTTAAGCTCCGACCCAAGCAAGCTTCATTCTTCACGACTTCTATCTTCATATAGGAACACGTCTGCGTACGATCCAAGGGATTTCATATTCGACATAGCTGAAGACCATCATGGCGACTTTAGCAGACGAGCTTTTGAATGATTTTGAGGATTCTGGTTCTGAGGATGAACACAAACTAGCCAACAATTTGTTCCAGGATGGCGTCACACAAGATGGTCTTGATGGCGGTATTGAAACTCGGGGTGAAGGGATGGAACTGGACGGGGATGAAGAGGAGGTGGATGATGAAGAAGCTGATGGGGATGCTGTTATAGATCCAAGTGGGAAACTGGCCCAGGAGATGGGAGAAGCTGAGGCGACCAAGGCAAAGGTTGATAAAATGCGCTTTGGGGCCGTGAGCGATGTACGAAACGTGGCAAACTTAATGAAGACTCTACAACCGATTTTAGATGTAAAGATTCTCTCCCCTTTGAACTCCGTATCTTCCATCTCTTTGCGATGTTTTTTGTGTTTACATTGGATGCTATGGACAAATAGACCTGACTTCTCCCTTTTCGCACGGTAGAAAGTATCCCATTACCAATCGATACCACCCGAAAAAAGAACGACTTCAGTCGGCTCGATTGAGGATAATCCTGAATATCATCTGCTTACGGAAGCAAACTCTCTTTCAACCTCGATCGATAATGAGATCATTCTTGTCCATAAATTCATTCGGGATCACTACTCAACTAGATTTCCGGAATTGGAGACTTTGGTGACAAACCCGTTAGACTACGCGAAGACCGTTGCGATTTTACAAAATGGACCCCTCGACGATATCAAATCTTTGTCAACCTCTTCAGATAACTTGGTTGGCGCTACTTTGAGATCTGTTCTTGACGGGCCTTCATTGATGATCATCGCAGTCGAGGGAACAACAACGCGAGGACGAGAGCTGTCTCAATCTGAACTCAAGACTGTTCTAGACGCATGCAAAATGATGTTATCCCTCGACCGTGCCAAGGCTATATTAACCAACTATGTGCAATCTCGAATGAATATCTTTGCACCAAATTTAACTGTTCTTATTGGGTCGCTTACTGCAGCACAGCTGCTCAATTATGCTGGAGGCCTTACGGGATTAGCGAAGACCCCTTCCTGCAATATTCCACCGTTGGGTTCAAAGAAACAAACAGGGACAGGTTTCGCAACTAATGTAGGTGTCAGACATCAAGGATTTCTCTACCACTCGCCTATCATTCAGGGAATCCCAAACGACCTTAAGCGACAAGCGATGCGCATCGTATCCGCCAAAGTAGTTTTGGCAGCCAGGGTTGACCGGGTGCACAGTAGTCCGGATGGATCTACGGGAGAAGAGCTGAAGCAAGCTTGTTTGGACCGGCTGGAGAAGCTAACTGAGCCTGCTCCAAATAAAGGGCCTCGAGCTCTACCGGCACCTGATGATAAACCATCAAGAAAGCGGGGTGGACGAAGAGCACGAAAGGCGAAAGAAGCAACAGCAATGACAGAGATCCGGAAAGCACAGAATCGATTGGCTTTTGGAAAGGAAGAAAAGGAAGTTGGTTACGGAACTGGAGAGAGTACGAAAGGCTTGGGCATGCTTGGTCAACAGGATCATGGCAGGATTCGTGCAAACCAAATCGACCAGAGAACCAAGGCTAAACTCAGCAAACCTAACAAGGGATGGGGAGCTGCCACCCCAATCGGAGGAACTGCGTCCTCACTGCGAGGTTTTGGTTATGGTGCAGGTAATGCAAGCGTACTGCGGGCACAGGGGCTCCGGACTGCTGGGGTTGGACCTTCGCTTGGCGCTGGTGCTGGAACAGCTAGTTCAATCGCCTTTACCCCTGTACAAGGCTTAGAGCTCGTCGATCCGAAAGCCCAAGCCGAGCTTAACAGGAAGCGAAAAGCCGAGGAGGATAGATGGTTCAAAAGCGGAACATTTACACAGGTTGGAAGCAGCACTACGGGCGGTTCCAATGGTGAATTTAAAGTTCCAGAGCTGCCATCTAAAAAGCGGGTCGATGCTGGCGGAAGCAATATGGCACCTCCCCCGGTTCCAATGAAGAAATGATGTTAGAACATTGTGACTCTGGAGTTTTCTGTTTCATTATAATTTTGCTTTTACCCACAATTGCTCTGGATTGATGGGTGTGGATGGCGAATGGCGAATTGGTACTTCTATGGGATGGACAGTGTGATACCGGGTGGGTGCTTAAAGCTAAAATGAATGTTAGTAAAGAAAGAATCCATACACTTTTCGCGGAATACGTGGCCCAAAAAAAATTATGATTACGTCGCAATATGATGTTGGCTCCAGTAAATATGGCCTTTGAATTTCTTGCCTGATTAAAAGCCTAGCGTACGTGATTCAGAGGGTGAATCCACCAACTTTCTGTTAACTATGAACAATTCGCTTCGTAAATACATGGATGCTGTCATTAGGCCTATCAATTTGATAAGATTGGTGCTATGCATGGGGAAAGACGTTGAACTGATCAACATGAATGATAGAAAATGATTAAGGTACCTCCATTACTAAATCTCCTCAACGGTGATCGGCGAAAATATCCCCATGGCTAAATGAGGCTTTTAAGAGCTGGTATTCTTGAAGACTTGCGCCGTTCCCCTTCGCTTCCACCACCCCGCAACACGTTCATCAACCTGGATGTCAATATGTCAACAACAATAGGCAGTCAAGCCTTCCGTCAGGAAGGTAGAAGTTCTATTAGAAAAAGATCAAACTTCAAGTGTTAAGCTGCTGCACACGTTTATGATATTACTCACTTAATTTTAATAGATTGACAATATGAAGAGATTCTCAGTCTAGAAATTAAAAATAATCTTATTCATTAAGGTTTATTTATGAATAAGATAAATCTTTTCAGATGAGTATTGTTCTCTTAAGAAACTGATAATCATTTTTTATTGACTAATTAAACCAATTTTATTATCTTATTTTTGTTAAAATAAATTGATTGATTGATTTATTAAGATAAGGGGACAACGCCGAGACTGGCAGTGTGCCGTTGCGTGGATTGATGGTAGTTAGGGCTTAACTAGCTAAAGGGAAAAAAAAGATGAGCTTTAAGACTGAAAGGGAATCTGGACGATCAAGAACACTGATGGATAGGTAGATGATTGTATGCGTCTTCAATGAATCTGATATATTAAGAACGAATCGCTGACCCTCTAAATGATGGGTCAGATAGCTAGCTCTATAGAGTGTTCATCAGGGAGAGATAGATGTCTTTGACTTAAGATCTAGTTATCTAAGACACAAGAGATCGATGCCAAGAAGGGGTCATTGGCTAGGTCTCGTGATCGTGATAATTAACTACTTATTTGAGTTAAAATCTCAGCTCTCTTAACAATTGAATATTGTATAAAAATTTAAATTATATTAAAAATTTATTATTTTATATATTATAGTTTTTTTCCAATTTCTTTAACTATTAAGTATTATTTATATCCTTTAAATTAAAAAAAGAAATTGAAAACAAAATAATAATTATTAATTATTCATTGTTCAGCTCATATAAACTTTGAGTTAGTAATATTTTAAGTAATTTTGAAAATTAAGTTTATAACTATGTTGAAGTGAATCCTTTCTTATTTGTAACATTTAGATTTGTAATGGGCTAAACGCCCAGTTGATTCTCTTGCACCCGGATTATCCTTCTTCCTCCCTGATTTATAACTCATCGCCCAACCTTTCTAGCTTCCTTTTTCTCATTTCCTTTCTCCATCTAACGAATTCGTTTTATTGTTAGGAAGTGATCGGGCTGTATTCGGTAGCATGCTCATTACGTATATAAATATCTTAATCTTTTTTATAATTTTTCTTAGTTTTTAAGTCTCCTAAGTTATTCATTATATCTTATGATGTGCAACAACTGAAGTTATGGTAAGTCTTAAATTATTTCAAATATTATATGCAGAGTTTACTCGGTGTAATTAATTTAGCTCTAAATCAGCTAGTCAAAAGATGTCAGATTATAGAAAGCATTAAATACACCGTACTTTTATAAGAGGTTTGACTGTTCAAGAAGAGATGAATCATAAAGATTCAATGAAGAGAGAAGGTGAAGAAAATTGAGCATTCTGATCTATGATCATAAAGAAGTATGCAGCAGAATAGTTATGTGACATTCCTGAACATACTTCTTCTTGCACATGCTCTCAGCATAGAGAACAGTTTATTGTGCAATCAGCCGTTCTTCTTTTTTCATTTTTCATTTTTCATTTTTCTATTTCCTGTATAGCTTTTCTGAAATCACATTGTATTCGATAGTGGAGAAGTGAGTGGTGGATTCATTAATCAATTAATACTGTGGCAAAGTAAGTTTATCCCTCTCCTTGGACCACCTCCGCGAGTGGAACTCCATATAGTTAATAGGAATTGCGGTGGTATATTCCGCTCTTATTCCGTAATAGGTATCATTTTCCAGGTTCAAACGTTGACATCAATACCAGGCTCTTGCGTGATCCGCCTAGACATAACTAGCGGTCAAGTGAGTGAGAAACATTGTACCTATTTCTCACCTCGCCCTGCAGCTTTTCGAGGGTCTAAGTGGACCCTGGTCAGTTGCAATATGCCATTCTCCTACTGAATTACGATATGGGCTGCTTGCAAGCGCGGATTTCTTTGAGCTGAGACGCCAGCTTTGTGGCGAGATACGCATGCTATCTTTCCAGATAATGAGACTTTTTTTTTTTCTGTTCCTGTTACAGAACCCAGTGGTTCTTCGTCACTCGTCCATTTCTCGCAAAGAAATGCAGCTTTTTCCCTTAGTTTTGTTTTCAACTAAAGTCGTCTCCGGGCTATTGAGAATGCAGAAAACAATCTACATTTCTCCCTTTTCAATTCCCTCTTTTTAATTTTTAATTTTTAATTTTTTTTTTTTGTTTCTGCTGTTTATATTTCTTCATTTCCGGCAAATTTTATTTGCCTCAGGGTGACTGCTGAATATTAACTGACTCTTAAGTGAGCCATTTCTTTTCACTGTTCCAACTCATGCCCCAAGTTTAAAAGGCAGCTATGGGTCAAATATTCAATGGCTCAGAAGCAACCTACCCACTGAAAACCCCTGTCTTACATCACAACCTAGTAACGGATGACTTCGACGCACTCAAATTCAGAGCCGCTTCATCACTCCAACTTCAACGGGGACTCAGGTATCAAGAAGCCGCAGCTTCAAGTTCACATCTCATCACATCCCCCTATAACCAGGAGGGCCATCACCTCAACCTTCGCACTCTCGACCCATCTGATCAACTTCTCGCAAAGGCACTGACGACTTTCAAACCAAATCGATCTGACTACGCAACGGCAGGATATTTGGAATCGTTCAACTGGCAATTCGTGATAGATATCCTAAAGGACCTGGCTGCGGCCGAAAGCTATGAGTGGAAGGAACGGTCATTTTACGTCGTGACGTTCCGATCTACTCTCCTTGCAACGGCAGATCTCGATAGGCTCCATGAGCTCGATGCGCACTCTCATGTGGAAGCCACTACTAGTGGCGGTTTGCTGAAGTATTGGTTTGGGACCAGGGATGAGAAATTGAGAAATCTGGCGACTTGTAAGTGGGAGCATAGCTTTCCTTTGGGGTTTTATATGATGGTGCTAAGGAGATAATTCCACTTAATTCACTCTTCCGTTCATCAGACTTGAGGATAACTCATTAATACGTACCAGGCATATGGAGAAGCAAAGAGGACGCGAGGCGTGGCGGATTAGGCCCCTGGCACAAACAGGCCATTGCAGCAGCACGACAACTGTACGAAAAGATTGAATTCACAACTTTGAAATTGACCATTGCTGATGGAGCCGAGGCGTGGGATATTGTCGATTGGGTGAATGCGCAGTAGGTGGGCGGTTCGACAGGGTGTCCTGAATTTTCATATAACAAAACTATCTATTCCATTAGCGACTTGTTAGTATTCTTATATCGAAGTATTAGATTTGCTGTTCGGGCGAGGATATAGGTAGATAGTCGAGCAGGCTCTAAATCATGGACAATATAGACATGGACCTTTTACCTTTCTTATTTGCAGCCCAATCGTCCTTGTTTCCCTAGGCATGGCCGGAGTATATGGCAGAATAACCCCCGAACATTCCCGTCCAGGTGTGCCTGTCTTGTTGAGATAGCAATCTTAACTTCCATATTAGTCAAGCGACTTTGAAACTCGAATTGGAGTCCGAATCTGCGAGGCATATTTCCAAAGTTCTAGAAGGCTCTCAGTGTTCAATGGTCATATAAGTTGGCGCACTGACAACGCTGCTGTTTTTTAGGAGTGGGAATTTAGTAACAATATGTCTAATTCGAATTCCTCTCCATGCATCCCAATTTTGAAGATCAAGTAGTTATTAAAATTTTAATGATTCATGATCTCCATCGTTTGTCTTCAGTCCTGTTTATTCGATTTGTAGAGGAGGGTTAGAAGTGCTCCCCGTGTGAGAGAATCATTAAGTTGAGCCAGTGGTCCATGAAAATTGTTACGACACAGGTGCTCACGTAAGGAGGGCAAGAGAATTGGCGTATTCGTCCCATGGAAATATCTGCGTGAAGTGGATGTGAGATACTGGAAGGCCAACCAAGCTGTAGTGACGAGTAAATAGGAGTTCAGTCCTTTGCAAATTCCGAATAACTATCAGATCTGACGGTCCCCACCCACACCTTGCAACCAATTAGGATCTTGTTCAAAGGCAACTATCCCCACAGTTGTTAGGAAAGTCATTCTCGGCAACATGAGGCTGAAAGAGCTAACAAAGTCATGTCATCTCTGATACGAGTAAACTCTTTCATAGAGGGTAATAATAAGAAGTTTGATCTGGACGCTGATCCTGGCTGGCGGCAGGAAGTTAGAAAATCCAGCCAGACGTCGGCCAACAAATGAAGGAAAGGCATGGTTTGTGGTTGGTTTAACTAACTAATTGGTTTAGTTTAACTGATGACAACCGAGTGGCCGGTTAACTAAGTTAACTATGCCTTGGGGGCTGTGTCATCCAAACGGTGCCAAACCAGAATGCTTGACGTGACCTGGAGGGGGCAGCAACTCCGTATAACTACCACCGTAAAACTGAACTCCAGCCTGCCCGCATTGCAAAGCCTGGAATATGGATGGACAGTGGACATACCTATCACCGCAGGCTCTGGCTCCTTAAACGTTTCCCCGTTTTTGGCGGAGGAGGCAGCATCGTAATGTGGATGCCTAGATCGGGACATGATTGCATCGAGGAGCTTGTTCTCTCAGAAACGGGAGCTAATGTTAAGCTAATCCTCTTTCTGCTCGTTGCTGGTTAATGCCCTTGTGGAGACGATGTTTTTACTATCTAACTACGCTCACACAGCCCCTAGGCTGAATCGGGTCTCAATGTGGGGGAGTTAAAAGGCGGGGCTTATTTGTGAAGCCTTCTCACACCTGACATATCAGCGTGTTGATTCAGGGTTACCTGACAAGATCAGGCTGCTGTCTGATAGTTGTTGAGGCTATTTATCTTCTGTTGATATCTCCTCTCACCAGCCATTCAACTTGATCCTGGAACCCAAAAATATTTATCCACGCTTTGGCTGCCCCCAAGGAAGGATAAACTACTTGCCTGCTTTTCATTCGGAACACCCTTGTGAACATCAGAAAGCTGTACAACCGTTGTGGCATCATGAATCCTGCTCAGCCAGCTCTCTCCGCTGATGATGATTTCGAGATCATTGATAGCCAAATCCCAATACGTCCGCGTCTTAGTACCAGCACTACTATTGCGGAAGCACCAAACCCAGATGAAGTTGGAGTCCAGTTGCATCCTCTCTTGGATAAGAACTCCTTGATACTTTCTATCCATCCTCCGCTCCACCCTGAGAAAGATATCTGTCATGTTCCATGTGACATTGTCCTTTGCATTGACGTATCCGGGAGCATGCAACTGAGCGCTCCTCTCCCTACAACTAATGAATCTGGTAAACGCGAAGAAACCGGGTTGAGCGTTTTGGACTTGACCAAGCATGCTGCCAGGACTATAATTGAAACCCTGAACGAAAATGACCGCCTAGGCGTTGTGACTTTTTCAAACGATGCTGAGGTACTTTCCATGGGATCACTTGTTTTAGCTTGATACTTCATAACGGCCGCTAATGATTTGTTCTAGGTCGCGTATAAGATATCACATATGGATGATACTAACAAGAAAGCAGCTCTGGAAGCAGTGGAAGCATTACAGCCATTGGCTTCGACTAACCTGTGGCATGGGCTGAAATTGGGCCTCAATGTGCTTGGAGAAGTGGATCTTCGACCCCGGAATGTCCAAGCCCTTTATGTTCTAACTGACGGTACATACATACCAAGCCTATTTTCCCCAGTACGCCTCATGCTAATAGGAGAATGTTTAGGACAACCGAACCACATGTGCCCGACACAAGGGTATGTTCCGAAATTACGTCCCATTCTGGAGCGGCAAAAGGACCGCTTGCCATTGATACATACATTTGGATTTGGCTACGACATTCGATCAGGCTTGTTGCAGTCAATTGCGGAAGTCGGAGGTGGAACTTACTCATTCATTCCTGATGCGGGAATGATCGGTACGGTTCCAACACTTGCCCCCTTTTGTTTTTTTTATATATTTGCATCATCTAATCCGGGATTAGGTACTGTCTTCGTTCATGCTATTGCAAATCTGTACACGACTTTTGCTACCCAAGCAAGGGTTCTGCTGCGCACGTCCGGTTCGGCAGAACTGGTGCAGGATGAAGGTAGCAAAACAGGCCTTCTGCTAGACGAGATGTCGGCAAAGGACGGTGATATAATAGTAACTGTTGGAAATCTACAATATGGCCAGTCGCGTGATCTAGTTCTTCGGATCAAAAACGTAACAGGAAAGGCACCCGCAGCACAGGCCACGTTGACGTATAACTTCCAAGGCTCCGTCAAATCGGTCACGTCCAACGAGCAGCTGCTCTCTCAATACAACTCTCTTCCCGCCCATGTTTCCAGTTACCATTTGTCTCGTGCTCGTATCTGCGCATTTTTAAGGAGCATCTACCTTCTCCGACAAGATTACGAGTATATGTATCTTGATGCGGACGGCCTTGCAAAGGCGAGAGCAGAGTTGGACATTGTTATCAAGGAGACTAAAAAACTTGGATATACTGACACAGCGAACGCAAGTCTTGGAAGAGATCTTGCAGGGGAGGATCCGGAAGGTCAGATTAGCCTGGCCATCTCCGAGAGAAGCCACTATGAGAAATGGGGCAAGCATTATTGTGAGTGTTTATTTTGTTTTCTACCAGTAACTATTACACGTTACTAAGTTGTACGTTTACCACAGTGCTGTCCCTTCTCAATGCCCATACTCGTCAAATATGCAACAGCTTCAAAGACCCAGGTCCTCTCGAATACGGCAAGGACTCTCCATTTTTCTGTCGTTGCCGCCAGGAGCTAGACGAATTTTTTGATAATCTTCCTGCACCAAAGCCGTCAATCGTTCGGAGGAGAGCTGATGGCACTGTCAAAGCTTATCCGGTTTATTCGATGTCGCGGTATAATACCAGGAATAATCCGTGTTTTGCCGGGCATTGCCGGATCCGCCTTCCTGAGGCGAATAGTAGTCTACCTATTCGGGATCTTCGTCCAGGAACCAAAGTCTGGACTCCAGTTGGTCCTCGGCGTGTTAGAGCTGTTGTAGCCACAACCGTCAAGAACATGACCCTTTGCAAAATCGGTCCTTTGCTCATTACACCCTGGCATCCAATGCAAGTAGAAAGGGGTTGGGTCTTTCCATCAAGCGTGTCGAATCACAACACCCCTTTCACAGGAACAGTCTATTCTGTGCTTCTTGACCCTAGCCCAAATTCAGATGCCCATGCAATCATGGTTGGGAACCATGTCTGCGTCTCCCTTGGCCATGGCGTCCTGTCTGGAAGCGATGTCCGTGCACATGCTTTCTTTGGCAGTTACTCAAACGTTGTCCGAAGCCTCGCATCGCTTCCCCGAGACACTAATGGACGTTTAAGATGTTCTGGGATGAAAAGAAATTCATTAACGGGGTTGGCTTGTGGATTCATTGGTCAGGGAGGACTTGGAACGGCTGCGAGAAAAGTTGACTCTAAGAAAATGCTTAAAAGAATGCTTCGTCGTCGCGTTCACGCCTCGTCTGCGATTTCTGGTCAACGATCTGCCCTTATAGTAGCTTTTTAAGTATGCAAGATATGAAGAATGGTAATTTCTGCCCCTGTGGATGTGGGGTGGATTGGTGATATGTCTCAACTTTATTTTACTACACGTTTGTGAAAATGTCGAGTGTGACCTTTGAGGGTCGATGGAGTCGGAAGCAGAAAGACGTGCGTTCCCCTATCTCCCTATATTGTCACTATCATTGCCCCGGCAATAGCAAAGTTAACTAGCTAGGACCAGAACTGATTGGTCAAATACCATAACTCTCCGTAGCTATGTCTGGAACAGCTCTTCAACCAATGTTCAGGGCCTCCAAGCTCCCGCCTTGAATCTAATATCTCCATGCATCCCTAGGTAAACAAATTCCGACGAAGGAGAGCGCATCTGTAACTAGTTTCTACGCATCCATATCAACCGGCAAAAATCAATTGGCCGTATGAAAAGAGCTGTAATCGATGTCCCGCAATCGGTTCCTCCAAATTTTTTCAACCAACCAATATGTTCCAAAATAAACAGGGTAGGTATGCAACGATGATAACTGCTTTGTCGTGCACACGATCGCCGATTTCCCTTTCGGAGAACAGGGCAGCTTGGTTTTGCAAGTGGGTGCGTTACCTCCATTTATTTTTCAGATTGGATCGAGTTTCCCCCTTGGAACTCAACAACGAGATACATGACGTCATCAAGAAAGGGGCAGATCATGTGATGCCCATGCCTCAGCAAACCATCCCTAAACCCTTATTTCACATAGTTATATACTGACACAGGTTAAGAAACTCTTTTACTGAACCAGAGTGAGGGCTAGCCATGGCGAGGAGGATGGGAACATACATCGCAACGTGGCTAAAATTTTCTCTAATCATACGTTCTAAATATGCAACAATGAGGGGGGGGGTGAACAAAGACAAATTATGAAGTCCTGCCTGTAGTAGGTGCCGGTTTGGTTATACATTTGTGAAACAAGCAACAAATACAAATGGAAAAGGGAGCAGTGGAGATTGTGCCTCATTTTCCAAAGGTTATGCGGAAATACAAATGCAATGCAACATATCGAGAATGTCCCATGTCCCAGGTTATCTCCTAACAATCACCCCCAACAGGTTTTCAACCGACTATCGATTGCTCACCCAGCAGCGAATGGTGGAGCCTTTCAAATTGATAACAGGGACTTTGCTGTCAGAACCATCAACATTGTCGAATGTTTTCCTGTCATCGATTTCCATGATTGTTTTCTTCGTTTTTTCGTCTTCGATTCTGCAATGAGCGCCCGCGATAATTCTGGTCATTTGCATACTTGTGGCTTTAACGGTGCCGTCAGAGAAGACGGGTTTTTTTTGGAAGAGGTCGACAACATTTTTCGGTTTGTTGTCAAGTCTGATTCGAACGGAACCCCAGGCACCGGTTCTGTCGTTTATCAGCTGAACCGTAACTTGGTCATGACCCTTGGAATCTCCAGCGGGGAGCGCGGATATGAAGGTGGTAAGGATGCCGAGGATAATGACAAATGAGATATGCATTTTGAAGATCTGAGGTTGGTGCGTTTTTCTTTCTTTCTTTCTTTCTTTCTGAGTGGAGATAAGTGAACTTTGTATCGGAGTTGAGATGGAAATGTAGGAGATTTTGATATATTTGAAAGCTTTCGATTTTGCGATTGTGATACAGGGTATTTTTCTAATCGTCAGGCAGGACGGATGATTTGCTTTATACGTTTCTCTCGACAGCTATCCGTGGCCCTCTAATAGCTCAAACCGACAGCTATATTTATGTTCTAATACTCCAATCTTTAACTCTTCAATTAATTTTTGATCTTCCAATACATTTAGTCATGTACAGCCCCCATCTCTAGGTGCCAGAGGCAGTGCTATCAACAACGGAGATATGCTGAACTGAACGGTTTCAAGCCACCCCTGATCCCGGATCAATTAATTTTGGGAAATTATACATCAGGCGGTTGTTATAATCACTGGCAATGGATTGGGTAGAGGATCTCCGGAAGTTCCTTTCATGGCTATTTTCATAATCGATAATTGAATCTAAGCTTATGGCTGAGCAGCAGTTCGGAATCATCTCTTAAGGACTGGGATAAGTAATATGCATGGAGTTCAAAAAGAATAAAAATAACATTTATCTCTAGAAAAAGCATACCCCCTTTTCTATACCCAGAGAGGTTGTCATGATCGATGAACCAAAGGTCAGCTGAACTTTTAGCATCTTTGATCTGTTCTCAAAGCCCGTTTAATATAACAGATATTAGAAACAGAAAGGCGAACTCTCGGTATCCTTAAGGCTCCTAACGATGCACACACGAGAGCTACAATATGCTAAACTGAAAGCCTTTCCTAGGTACATTACCCACATATCCATGTAGTTATTTTTAACATGCAGTCAAATACACATTTCTGTTCTGGTGGCTTTATCAGACGTTCCTAAGATTCCATAATTCATTGGGGTTGTGGTTTTGTATTTTTTGATGCACGTACTACACAATCTATGTAAGCACATGTACCGTTACATTTTTATCCAACAGAATGTTGAGTTATCTTCAAGGTATATGTACCTATATATGTGTGTCAGGAGCTGATGGTGAGCAGAGGTCTTCTTTTCTTGAATTGAAAAAGACACCGGCCATTTCTTTGCTTTATCTGACTAAATATTTGTGAGCCAAGGACAGCCGACGGAGCACGGAGTATATGTCTTCAAAAAGTACCTCTTATGTACTCTAGGTTCAGTGTTTATTTTTAAAATGTCCGACATCGAGTCCGAAATCGAGATTGGGCGTCTGAGAGCGATACGGCTACAAGGATACTCAGGTGGGAACCCTCCTCCTACCTTGTACATTTTGGCTGATGACGCCCAAAAGCACCCACCTGGTCACCTTGTGGATTATAAATCTTTCTGGCGAGGAGATAGTTATGTCCATTCGATGCTCAAACAATCATGCCCCGTGTATGTGTGCACACAATTTAAAAGACCAATTTGAACGTGGATATTGACCAAGTTTGGAAGGCTTTTTTAGACACTTGAATCCCCAGATGGAGTAATTGAGAACCCAGGATCGATCATATTACCAAGGAACGACGATCGCTGCCAGTGTCCCTGATAAAACTTGGTGTTGATAGGCCATGACATAGTTCGCCTTTTCACCTCAGCCTTGTCTTTCTCCAGCCGAATATGGTGTAGTAAGCTTGCAGTGGAGCGTCAGAAATAGTTTACGCAGCTCTTCGGGCGGATTTGCTAGCAGATTGCTTTCTACTATTTTTAACTTAGTTTTATCCAGTCCATGAATAACTACATACATTCAATTATTATGCCAATCAATATCAATAATTGTATGTATCTTGGCGGATTAGTTAAGGGGATATGTTGGATTCCTATAATTATTCAGGGCCGCTCTCTACCACGCTAAATGAGGGGGAAATGGGCGTTCGAAGAATAAGCCACACCCGAGCATTGCAGCGGTTTGGTTGAAGAGGATATTCGGCTGCGTCTGGTTAATCATGTTCTATCCTCGCATGGGCATGATAAGAAATTCGTAGGTATATAAAAGCCTTGTTGTGGATGCCCGGTTCAAGACAAATCGCGCACTGCCAGTTCATTCCATGCTGGCTATATAAGGCTGAACAAACACAGTAAATATATTTGCGAACAGTAGAGCTTTGTGCCGGCCCATGTCTGTTTCCAGTACTTCACCGCAGAGGAGATTCCAAATAAAATAAATATAGATATAGATATAACGTTCAAGTAAGCAGAGAGGGCCGAGAGGATAACAAGAGCACTAAAAGAGCGACCCAGAACCCGAATACCAAGCTGCTACCAAGGAATTTAATTAGTTGAGCCAATTTGCTTAACAGAGGGTGTACCAAAATGCTGGAAGATTGTGGCTTCGAATTGACTCGAAAGCGAAAGCGACTGGGCATCGCAAGAGTCATAGAGTTGAGTTGCATAGACTCCGCATGTTCCTCGTTCGGGGTCAATCCACTAAGAAAAGACAAAAGTTTGAATATTTAGCATTCTCAATCGTGATTTAATGGATAGATTATTAGTTCTTCTTTGATCCCTTTCTCTTTGGGAAACCTTCATTGGATTTATAAAACTTACCCAGGCGAGATTGGGAAGTCCAAACCAAGACGTCGATCCCCTTGAGCGCCTGTTTGGTGTTTCTTCCATCGCCAAAATGCCGACAAGCGAATAGTTCCATGTTAGGTTCCCGAGTAGCCCATTTGTCATGGCTGCCTCATTCCTGGACGAGTGCATGAACTTGAGGAGATGCGCACTGGTGGAGAGTTGGGGTTCGAACATATTCGAACGCATCTTTGGCGACAGGAGTTTGCCATCATCCTTCAAAATAGAGATCAGAGGTTTGATGAATTCTGCCGCCGTGGACCAGATGCCGTGACCCCCAAAGTCATCGGCCGGATGGAGGGTTGCCCAGATGTCTACCGGTGTAGTGATAAGTTCTCCTGTGGTTGTCCTGGTGGTTGCTTTGGCCCGGTTCTCTAGAACATAGTTGCTCTGCGAAGGTCTGAATGTAGTATGTTGCATTCCAAGGGGTTCCCAGATATGTGTTTTCAAGTATTCTTCCAGTTTAATACCTTCGTTTAGACGCTCGACGGCTTTACCAGCCCAGTCAAGCCCTACACCATAAACCCAACCCTCTCCGGGTTCAAATAGTAAAGGGAACAATAATTTATCCTACGTAGGTTAGTTTGCCAAGTCCATATTGAATGGATAACGTAGGCCGGAAAAGGTGCTAGAATTGAACTCACAACCTCGACCAACCCGGAGACTGGACTCGTTTTCGTGAAATTTCTCCACTGAATCAAGCTCGGAGTCCACATGTCATATCCAAGCCCAGAGGTATGGGTAAGCAAATGACGGTAAGTTATCTTGTTCTTTGCTTTCTTTAACAGCGGTTCTCTTGTAGCTTCGTCAAAGCCATGCAAAATGTCTAGGTCTGATAGCTCCGGAAGTATACGTCCGACATGTTCATCTAAACCGATGAGGCCCTTCTCAACGCACTGCAGCAGGGCAATTGAAGTGATTAACTTGGAGCATGATGCAATCCACAATGGGGTATCGACAGTGATCGGCCCTGCACTGTTAAAACCAAAGCCTTTAGAGTATACGACGTCACCTGTGCACCCGTCATTGTTATCAATATTTCGAAGCTACATGTAGAGAGAATATGGGAAAACCTTGCCTTTGCTATCAGCCGCAACCATTGCAACCCCAGGGAGGGCACGATTCGGGTCTTCTGCAGTCAAGGACTCCGCAATTTTGTCGAAAGCATCCATGCTTACACTGGTATTTTAATCCTATTTTACTTATAACAAGAACCTCTGCAATAATCAACTCTGGAGCCAGAAGACGGGCAAAAACAAAGGACAGAAACGAAACTAAATAGAAGAAAAGTTAACTGAGGTAGAATGTTAATCTCTAAGACTCACGAAGTGGTTGATCTTATATGCACTTTGATCGCCAAATCACCCCTCACCCTCACCACCTCCTGGGCCCTCCAAAATGAGCCCACAATGATAGAGCCCTTCTGGGGTTGAGCGGCACGGAAGATAAACAGGATAGTACTCTCCGTGCATTAATAATCAGACTTCCATTACTGAAGTATAAACGGGGATATCCAGGAAAAAGCATCCTCGTGTCCGGGATATCGTAAGATGCTCTATCAAGAAGCGGAGGGTTTAGGTATCTGATTGCAGACCGGTGAGCACATCTCTAACTTCTTCGCGATCGCTCAACAAGTCTTCCTGGATGTATATTGAAAGGCGCAAGCAAGCTCGATGCTTACCGCTTGACTTGACATTCTCCACTCGTTTGAGGCAGTCATGGAGGGGTCCGTCTGACTGTGTTACAGCGCAACTTGTTATAGAGGTTGCTTACTGTCAGATCCATGGATCGCATCCATGGATTATGCATAGCATGACAGGGGTACGTCGCCTTATAAACCAGCTGGATTCTTCTTTTTGATAACTAATTAGTAAGAATAGTTAGTAATAATACAATTGTGATTCCGTTTACATTCATAGGGCCTAGACATCGTCCAGCTGATACTTTTAACAGACCGTTGCTGATGTCCCCGTGTTGATGAGCGACGAACTTGTACCTACAACCTCAGCCACTTTGTACCATCACAACTAATTTATTTAGTATGAGAGGCTTACCTCTAAGACAAACAAGACGAACACAAGGTCATGTACCCTTACTACATTGGTGTTACTGCCGAGTCTTCTCAAATTCAACTTGAGTTAGTTTTGGAAAACATTCTTCTCTAAGGGACACAGAACGGGTTATTCCCTCCTCGACGTGATGAATCTGTAATCTCAATATATGAATGCATATATTAACCTAATGCGTATAAATATGCAAAATATTAATTAAAACCAATAAGGATCTGAAAAACTGGTGATATGAGATACCGGGTACAAAAAACCAAACAGAAACTATCACACAAACAGCTTATCTACTCACCCCTTTTTCGAAAAGTACTTCACGTCAGAAATACTCTGTGAAAATAATTATTGTGACTCTTTTTTTGTAGGTTTCTAATCAAACCCTCTCGATGATATCCAGATACTGCAGGAAGTTGCCAAAGTAGTGTACAACGCAGCCACCAACGTTTGCCATTCTCGTCGATCTCATCTCATGATTCATATGTCACTGCCCCTCCAGACAAATCGCGAATCTTCATTTTCCCCTTCCGAGAAATGAGGGGTCCACCGCAGAAAAATAACATAGGTATTGCTGAGGCGAAGCAGATCAAGCCAAGGGCTAAATTCATACCTGCCCACCCAACAGTGGTGATGACAGAGCCTCCAATGATCGGTCCAAGGAGTTGTCCAGAAGCAAATGCCATATTGTACAGGGCGTAGCCTTGACCCATCGCACTAGGACCCGAATACAAGGTCGGGTCTTTCTCCTCCAACTGGTCGATGGCGCGGGATATTTCCGTCATCGTGATTACCTGGACGACTGTAATTGCGAGGCCAACAAGAACCAGTAAACCACCCAAAAGTATATGTTGTCTTGTTGTATTCTCATGTACTAGTCGGAGAAGGATAAGTGGACAACCTGCGAGAGTGAAACCAAGTGTGCCGAAGATGCGCGACCCCCAACGATCTACGCCCTTGCCTATAAAGACACCGAATAAGCACGGAAGCGAGAAGATTAAAAACAGGATACCAGCTCCGCTTGGAGTCCAGGCAAATTTATCCATCACGAACAGAGGAAGCGTCTGGAGGCGGAGATGGTATATTAGTCGAAAACAGAATCAATAATGTTACAGTGCGGACAAAAGAGGAAAGGAAATTCAAGAACATACTGTTTCGAATGCCGTCCAGACAATCGATTGAATGATAGTTGCAAACAAATTAACCTGAATTCTAGAATCCTTGAGCAGGTGGTATATTATCAGTGTTTGTGTTGAAGATTGCTGCGAATTGAGGTTGGTAGATCTTTGGATGAGTGGCGATTCTTCGCTAATAGTATCCCCAGAATCAGAGACAAGAGACTGCGTCCGACTCGAATCCGTCGGGGTTGCGTTGTGGTATGACTGCGCAGAGTTCTCAGCTCCCAATCTTTCCCGCAGCAGCCTTCTCGCAACTAGGTTCGGTTAGCTATGCTTGACTTATACAGAGCAGATTCAGCAAACCTTTTTTTTCGATCATGAGAAACCGTAGAATGATGTCGACGCACAATAATGCTAACGGCACCGCGAATGCTGCGTAGTAACCAGCCTTGGTAAACCTATCTCGGTATTTCAATTAACGCATACTTCGCATCGGTGGAACGTATGTTCGCAAACAACAGAGATGATTGCCAATGATAAAATAAAGGCAAAACACATACATAACTCCTCCAATGATCGGGCCGAACAGCACTCCCCATGTCAACGCCAGAGAGATGTATCCCATTGCTTGTCCAAGTCTCTCGTTAGGAACTGTGTCGACGGCCAAGGCCATACCGACTACACCGACCGCACCACCGGAAAGCCCCTGCATGGCTCTCGCAAAGATGAACAAGCCCGGGGAACGACCGATGAGAAAGAATGAGGTGGCTAAGATCATGGCGGCCAATCCAATAACGAACGGTAGTCGTCGACTTTTGCAGCGATCAGCGAAGTAGCCGAAAAGTGCTGTTCAGGAGGGAAAACATCGATGAGTTAGCATATTTGTAACCTTATAAGTTATCTCATGGAAGAATCGTCAATCACATCCAAAGCCATTTTCACATACGAGATCCAATGAGAAATGCGGCGCCATATGTAGCCAGAAGAATCGAAACCCATTTCTGAACTGCAAGTTATTCTCTGTTAGCAAAGCTATTTTGGCTGTGTTCGAATCAGAGTATTGCAGTAGAGGATATATATATCCACCAACCTTCTTTCTGCGGCACACCTGCCCGGTCTTTAAGTGCCACAGGAACAATTGGGACAATCTGGAGTATCAAAGTCAAGGGAGTTCGTTGAAGGAAGGGGAAATGCTCGACTACTAACCACTCCATATACGAGAGTGTCCTATTCAATTTCGTTAGCCAGACGGTTTCTTGGCTGAGTTCAAATCCAATAAAATCGGTTCAGAATTTTGGATTACCTACCGTGAACAAAGCTGCCGAGACAACAAGTAGAATAAACCCCTCTGAAGATCTAAAGGAAAGGCCCCAGGGCAATTTACTTCCACAAGCCATTTCTCCTTTAGAATTTCCAATGGGTTTCGAGGAGACCCAGCTTTCGATACGCGGGAAATGAAGAAGATATTTTCACACCAGCGGTAGCATAAGACTTTAGCTTATTGACAAGAGTAAGTTTGAGAAATTGAGGTAATTTCAACCTCTCGATGCTCTCAGGATAAACACGGGCAGAGGATTTTGGACGGAGAGGCATTAGTGGTGGTTCATGGAAGATTTGTGCTCAGAAAAAGGGGACCGTTCACACCCCGCTCTCCTCTTGCTCTCTTCCGCGTAGCTGCATTGCGGTTGGTTACATATCTCAGACCTGAGCTTCAGCTGGCGTGGCTGCTCGCCGTGTGGATGGCTCATTATTATTGGAGCGTCGACCAAGACAATAACTGGATAGTGATGATCTTGTGTAAAACGAAAATATCATCCCGTGCGAGGTCGCCTCCCTCTTTTACCAGCAGACTAGTAATTAAATCAAGTTAGCCTCTTCGCCTCTCAATGCAGTCAAAATACGTATTTTTATGCACATCAACCTCCACGCCCTCGTTATTTTAGATCCCGAGCGGGGTTGCGTGCAAAAGTACGGATTCTACCATGGGTCGCGTTCGTCGAAGTCGTCCTTTGTTCGATGGTCCCGATATGATTTTATCTCCAGGTGTGGACTGGAATTTTAAACTGGGCTGGAGCTAGCAAATGCATCGGCCAATAACAAAGGCAAAAATCGCGCTGTTTGCCATGCGGGACAGTAAGCTGACTGAGATTGGATCATTGTGTGAGTACTCAATTTTTGGACATTGATTGTCCTCAAATTGCGAAGTTGAAAAGGCCAGGATCAAGTGATATGACAGCTGAACTGAAGATTTCTCAGATAACGAAGATATTTTGGTTATCTTCTTTCTCTGAAAGGAAAAAATGTTAAGCAGAAAGTAAAAACGAATTTTCAATCGTTTAGACTATCTTATAACATTCTAATTTCAAGTTGATGCGGCGTTCCGACTAATGAAGAGACTTGGGTATGACAGTATTGACGGCAACCTTGCCTATGGTGATGCCGTGGTTGGAAGAGCAGAGAACAAAGCCCAGGCGGCCCGAGCAAGCTGCAGGTTTTAGAAATTACAAAATTGTCAAAACTTTTCCGGGAAACTCATCACCATGCATCGTATTGTTCCACAGAGTTAAATTCCAGAAATCCTGCCAAAGGATAACAAAGGATAGCTAGTTACCGGGATCCCCGGCGTTGTTCATTTTTGCCAATCATCAACCGATTTTATTATCTCCGTTTGGCGAAGTGCCAGACCATTTCAGTTCTTGCTTGACATGGTCATTCATGCACGTCATCCTTGCACGAGCCTCTCATTGAGCAGCAGTCTTCACTTGGAACGTTTATTCTTCTTCGGCTCCTTGTATGATTGGGGCGCTTGAAAGTTTGTAGAGTTGACTCTCGATTGGTTTTTGGGACAGCAGCTTGTCCTGAGCTGGTAACTAACGGGCGAAGAAGCGATTTTTATGCCACGCGAGGACGAAACATCTGCAATTCAGGGAAGAGGTTTGATACCATCCATTGGAAAACCCATTTGTAAGTTGCGTGTCGAAAGATATTCACACATGACGGAATTCAGACGGAAGACATGACACCAAGCTGTAACTAACGTCCATGTACCGTCCTGAATCCTCCTTGATGGTCATTCTCACGGACAATACCAAAGCAACCAACTTGAACACCAAAAGATCCATCAACGAGGTCGATGCGACACGTGATCTCCAGAAGCGAGATACCCTACCTTATGGTAGGTTTCAATGCGATGAGGATGAGGATTACATCATGTTTGGAGACCTTTCACTCGTGTATTCAATGGCAGAGTTTCCTGTGAGGCGTCTTTAGAGGTCGAAAGCAAATGAAGTTCGAAAGGTACCTTGGTTGAGAAACTTGCGACTGCGAAAAGACCTTTTTAGATCGCTTGGCCTGATGTGCCCAAGCTGATTACGGGATATGATGGCGCTATTCTCCCCAGCAATATGCCCATGGCTTTGGAGGCCTCATCGCATCCGACTGCAAAAGGGTGTCCAACCCCCTGTGACCGTTGGATAGGTCGCAATCATTCTGGTCTCCACCCTTTTATACAGATATGTGAGCATACGTTGTTTGGCATTGTTGCTGTCTGAACCTTGTTGTTGATAATAGAGCTGTTGTTGCAACCTTGTAACGTGTAATTGTGAATAGAGCAACATAAATTGCAGGTGTATCTGCCCAATGAGTTAATGGTTCATGAGCTTCAAGGTTTAAGCTTGTCACCGGTACATAGGATGGACGCAAAAAGTGAGAATATAACGTGTTGAAATCATTTTTATTTTTTTGAGGGGTATCTCATCCATTCACCTCCAGATATATTTCAATGCCACCCACGGCAGAGAATGCCTTCAGCAACAAAAAGTCACTTATTTATGGACAGTTATAATTGGTATTGTTGAAAAATACCAATCACCGCAAAAGAAACAGGCAAAACAAAAAGAAATATAGAAAGAACTTAAATATCTACCCAACACAGAAAAGTTTGATGCCAGTTAAAATCAGTAATGGAAAACCCCGAATTGACATCTATGTAATATTTCTGCCGTTGAAGGACAAAATGCTTTTGGTTTGTTCCCGGCACCAGATCTAAAGATGAATTAAAAATTGATCCTCCGTTTAAGTCATAACATCGTAGCCTCATGTTGAAAAGTCTATGTGTCATGCATCCGTACTCCAGCATTTGCGCAATTGTATATGCACTGAAAAATAGAAGAGGAAAGGTTTAATACCGGTAACTGCGGGGCAAACTTGTTAGAAAAGCGTTTTGGTGACAAAAGAATAGAAAGATAAAATTTGGGCAGCTTACATCTCAGCCTTATAAGGGCCATTAATCTCGAGACCCAGGTACTCAGCCTGCTTAGGGGTGAGTTTGGACAATTTGGCATTGACGTGGTCGAGATGCAACAGAGCAACTTGTTCATCGAGGACCTTGGGGAGAACGTAGACACCAATATCCCGCTTGCCACTAGTAATACCGAACTCGACGTACTTGTTGCCGAAAGCCGCATCCTGAGACTTGTAGAGCAAGATTTGGGCAAGGACTTGGTTCGAGAAGGAGCAGGACATGACAAAAGAAGAATGGCCAGTGGCACAGCCAAGGTTGACCAGGCGACCCTCAGCAAGGAGAATGATGTGACGTCCGTTGGGCATCAGGAAGCGGTCGACCTGAGGTTTGATGTTCTGGACGGACTTGGCGTTCGCCTTGAGCCACGCAACATCGATCTCGATATCGAAATGGCCAATATCTAGCTTCGAGTTAGAAAAATTTTATACACACTGTATCCAGACAAGGGACACTTACTGCAAACAATGGCGTCATCCTTCATGACGGAGAAGTGTTCGCCAGTGAGGATATCGCGGCAACCGGTGCTAGTAACAAAGATTTGGCCGATAGGGGCAGCCTCCTCCATGGTAGTGACCTGGTAGCCAGAAATAGCTGCCTGAAGGGCATTGATGGGGTCGATTTCGGTCACGATGACACGGGCACCCATGCTGTGCAGGGCCTGGGCACACCCCTTTCCAACATCACCAAAGCCAGCGACAACGGCAACCTTGCCAGCAATCATGACATCGGTGGCACGCTTGATGCCATCGACAAGAGATTCTCTGCACCCATAAAGGTTGTCGAACTTGGATTTAGTGACAGAGTCGTTGACATTGACAGCAGGAACAAGAAGCTCATTGTTCTTCAGCATCCGATACAGGTGGTGGACGCCGGTAGTGGTCTCCTCTGACACTCCATAGCAGTCCTTGAGCATCTCGGGATATTTCTTGTGCACAAGAGCAGTCAAGTCGCCACCGTCATCGAGAATGAGGTTAAGCTTCTTTCCATCCTTGAATGCCACCAACTGTTGTTCAAGGCACCAGGTGTACTCTTCTTCAGTCTCACCCTTCCACGCGAATCTGTATTTAATTACCTGGTCAGGGTCTGTTCACGGAATGTAGAACAAACGTTCTTGGAACTGGGGTACTTACACAGGGGTTCCTGATGCAGCAATGGCAGCGGCAGCGTGATCTTGAGTAGAGAAAATGTTGCAGCTCGACCAAGTGACTTCGGCACCAAGAGCTTTAAGAGTCTCGATCAAGACGGCGGTTTGAATGGCTGGAGGCCGAGTATCAGTCACAAAAGCCCCATCTACAGATCGCAATAAAAAATAAAAATAAAAATAAAAATATACGTACTCATATGAAGGCATCCGGCAATTCGGGCACCCGCCAATGGCTGGTCTTGGGCATATTTTGAACGAATGGCCATAAGACCTGGCATCTCAGCCTCAGCGAGCTCAATCTCCCGGCGGCCAAAGGCGGCCAGCGACTACGTAAATGGTGAGTACAATGGATCAATTATCCGTATCAGCAGCAGGGGGAAAACAACGTACGATGTCAGCGACTTTGAACTTGTGGGCTGGGGCACTCATGATGGCTGGGAAACGGACTGAAAATTGATGCGGGGTATGGTGGTCTACGCAGCAATCGGCAAGCAGTTAATTTGGAAATCCATTGACACCAAGTGTACCGAAGTTGGGAGCAAACAGATACGGGGAACATACAGACAGGTGCCGTAAGCAATAGATCTCGCAGAAAGACTTATGAGTGGGGAGAGAAAAGGTTTGAAGAGCGTACAGCACAAGTGATGAAATGAAGGTTGAATGGAAGCTGTTGCTTTTTTTTGGAGGGCTTCACTTTTGAGTTGTCCGGCTTTTCCCGCCAAGCGAACCGGGCCATCAATATTCCGGCTAAAGCACGGGGTTGAATGATAGTTAAAGAAAGACGCAGTACGGAGCAAACTACTTAGACAGGGCTTTATTCGTACCTTTTTCCATTCTATATACTCTATGAAAGCATCAAATTCGGGCTGGTCTCGGACTTAGCTCCCTACACTGATCTGCATGAATAAGAGAATAATGTTGCAGACTGTAACTAGGCCTCCGGAAGGTTATCAGATCGATAGATAGTTAGCCTAACCGTTGTTCATCCCGGTTGTCTTTTGATCTGCTTGGTTTTTGTATCTTTTGCGGAAACGATTTTCTAGAGCCCGTCGTGACCATCCCCATTACAGGCATGCCTTGCCCAGCTACGCCAACTGAGGTCCTGGAGCTGGGGAGGATTACGCTTATGCAACTTTCCATAACTATCCATCAAATGCATTTGCGAACGCAATAACGAATCTAACGAAACTTTAGGTATAGGGGCTCTCTGCGAAAAGTCGACAAATGAAGCCACGGGAAAATCAGGCTCTGAGAATAGTTGCTTGTGCCATGCTGAAGAGATATCATGAAGGAGATCATGTCTCATTTTCACCGGTATCGAAAGGCGACGGTGCAAAAATCATCACTTCAAGTGGTGGGATTAACGAGACGAATAACCCCCCTGGATAAATGGGTGCAGAATGGAGCTTCACACCTGCCACACTACATTCCAAGACTGGAGATGTTGATATCGATATCAAATTAGTATCCGACTGGGATCTGGCTTCAGTGGCCGTCCGGCCAGATCCCACGTTAAGCAAACTTGGTCTTGCTACCCAGTGTATCTCGCGGCTCGAACAGGATTTACTAGAGCGGCTAGCCAGGGCCGAGAAAGAGAAATGAGGACGACTCATGCGCACCAGCTAGGGAGCAGTAGCGTCTGAAATTCTGAGTGAAAACGACGGAGACGATAAATGGCCCCGTATTGGAAGAAGAGAGGGTTTGAAAGAGCACGCACAAACCACCCCCCCCCCCCCCCTTGGATTCTGGGGGGCTTATCGGGAGTTTACACTCGCGTGGATGAAGAGAAGTATACCGCATAGAACAAATTTTAGTTCATATGGATCGAAGAGGCATCGTGCAATTATTACACGGGCTTGACAAGGGCTTGCCATGTGGATATGGCTGCGGATCTGGAAGAATGAATTTTTCGCTAGTTTAACAATGCTGAAAACTGGTGTTGTAGTTGAAAGCCAAAACAGATAGACGAATCAGACGTTTAGAGACTATAACCAATGCTAAATGATAAAGGGAGTTCATGTTTTCCTGTAATGCCGAAACCTCCCTATTACATCACGTATTCTCACTTCAATGCTTAAGTACGGAGTATGTCACTATGCCATAGACAAGCGAACCAACGATTAATCCTCAAATCAAGAAGCTATCTATAAAAGAATCCAATCACACGCACCAATCAGGTAACCGGTTTGGCATTCAAGGCGAAACGAGGGCGTCAATTTGTAGCAGACCTAAAGTTTTAAAGCTGGCGATCACGGAATTAATTCAATGTCTGCAGGATTGATTAGTTACATTTGCTCCTAGATTCAGATGGCACGAGATCCTATGTAGAAACACAGTGGGACCATTGAACCCGCAGAATAACACCTCCAAGTAAGAAGATATCCCTGAATCCCAGCAAAAGTATCCCAGCACCCACTTCATGCAACCATCCTCAAGGTTGGACCCTGCGGATGACATAAATCCTGGAACCGAAATGATCAACCTTCACCAAGCCGTGGAGTCTGGGATCCAAAAGATCGCGAAATAGCCCGAATCCTGATATGGTTTGTATTCGTGACACCCATTTTTCCCTTAACAATGTCAAATTCCATCCTCGATTTTTATGCGTAAGCTGGAACAGAAATCAAGTCGTACAACATTCAGTCCATATGATCATTTTATTTATACCATCCATTGACTTGGTGGGGGTCATTCCTTCATTACACGCGCTAATTACCGGAACAATCACCAGCCCAAGAAAAGCCTATTTGAACCAGAAATCGCAATTCCGAGAACATGGATTATGATGCGTAAGATCAAGGAGACGCCGACTATAACTACCCAATTTCAACATAGTCAATTCCCAGCCGAACCGCCGGTAACGGGTATAATTTGCACATTGTTTGTTGCAGGCTGTCTAAATCCAGAAACTCTCTAGCAATCAAAATCGACTTAGCTTCTGTCTGAGCTGGGATTAAAAAGGACGGATTTTGTTTAACGGCGATACGACTATCTCCCAGGCGGCTGTTTGGGTGCTCGTGAGATGAACATAGGCACCCAGGCAAGAGACCCTAAGGTTGGAAGAATGTATATGTTGAATGTAAATTCTTCCAGATGTTGCTGTTCAGAAACCTGTGCCAAACTATCTAGATAACAGAGCTTCCAACCAAGCTTCAAAAAAACACAAACCACCACTCCACCATTTACATTCACCATTCACCATTCACAGTTCACAGTTCACAATTCACAATTTCCACAACCATGATGAAGCTGCCTACTCTGGCTGGGAAAGATGTTGGCCACACCGGCTACGGCCTCATGGGTAAGGACTCAAGCTCCTTGTACAGCATGGCTTTCGACAGCCTTTCGCTCATACGTTGGCGATCAAAAAACAGGGTTTACATGGCGTCAGGTACCAACTTCGGAGCCCCAATACACAGAGGCGATGAATACAGCTATCTCTCTCGGAGCCAATTTTTGGAACGGTGGTGAAATATATGGAACTCCGGAGCATAATTCTCTCCACATTCTTCGAAATTATTTTGCGAAACACCCAGAGGCTGCAGAGAAAGTTGTTCTTAGCATAAAAGGAGGAATGATAAAAGGGCAGCTCAAACCAGACGGTTCCGAGGAAAATCTCCGGCGGAGTGTAGATGATTGTTTATCGATCCTAGATGGTACAAAGGAGATAGATATTTTTGAATGTGCCCGACTGGATCCTAAGTACCCAGTCGAAGAAACCATTGGCCATCTCGCAAAAATGGTCAAGGAAGGAAAGTTTAAGGCTATCGGTCTAAGCGAGGTTGATGCAGAGACAATACGTCGCGCGTGAGTAGTCGTATACAGATGGACCCAGACCAAAACATCAACAGAACTGACCTCGGGAAATTACAGACACAAAGTCCACCCGATTGCGTCAGTCGAGGTTGAATTGTCCTTGTGGACTCCAGATATTCTCAAAAACGGAGTTGCTTCGACCTGTGCGGAGCTCGGGATACCCATTGTGGCCTACTCTCCGCTTGGCAGGGGTGCGCTGGCGGGTGGAGCGACTAAAGCCTCCGATCTTCCTGAAGGCGATATACGACGCAATTATCCAAGATTCCAAGATGAGGCTATGGCCACAAACATAATATTCATCGAAAATGTTAAATCCTTTGCTCAAAGGAAGGGCATAACAGCCGCTCAAGCTGCATTGAACTGGGAAAGGACGCTAAGCAACAGCAGCAACATGCCAACCATCATCCCGATACCTGGAGCCACCACCAAGGAGCGGGTGATGGAGAATATGCAAACGATGCCTTTGTTTTCCGCCGAAGAAATGAGAGAGATTGACGAGATGATTAGCGCAAGCACTATAATTGGAGGAAGATATCCTCCTGCCCACTAGTTCCATGTGAGCACATAAATGTCCATATAATTTTAATAGCATAGATAGATAGATAGATAGATAGATAGATAGATTTTCGGGTACGTTGCTCGAGAATTGTTATCTATTTTTCATGTTCACTTTCGCGCAAACCTACTGTGCTGCACTGTGGCAAGTCAGATAAACTTATACTAAAATACTTCAAAACTGCGAGAAGTAAATCAAGGGGTACGAAGTGGAGCAATCAGATCAAGTGTAGGAATTGTGTCAACAGCCAATTTCACAAGATAAATGGAAATTGTCAGTATTGCAGAATTCTCTTATTTCATCATTTGTAAATTTTAGAAACGCAAAGAAAAGTGCAAGATCATCTTACAAGAATGAGAACCCATGTATCCCGCCAGAATCCCGCCAGAAGTTCTGTCTAGGTGGCATTATTGTGACACACTGCTTCCAAACATCATCATCCAGGGAGGAGAATGACTTTAGGTCAAATGAACGGTGAAGTTGTTGCAAGATAAGTGGGAAATTGTTGAAAATTGAAGATTTTTATAACCAGAGTTAATACTTGATCATGTGACCTTGATTGCCATGAAGCTGCGCACCTCAACCATTCAACATCAAACATTCAGCCATCACAGATTGCGGTAATTCACAGGGGATATTTTGCTCTCTCACTGCTCAAAGATTGGATAACACAGACGTTGCCCCTAACAATGGCTGACTCCCCCGGCTCTCCTCTCTCCTCTCTTGCTTCTGATGAGTTCGCGGAGGACATGAAGTTCGAGGACCATCACTCACCAACTGTTTCGTCATCCCAAATGCCTCCTTCAAAACGTCGTCGAACTGGTATCGCATCATGGGATCGACATACACCCATCTCATCCATTCATGAAGATATCCCACCAGCATCTCCTACCGCTTCGATCTCATCCGATACCTCTGGTGAGCTGCCAAATTCACCTTTCACCCTGTCCCTAATAGGCGGTGGTGTAGAGGACGACTACAGCGGACAGGGACGGGATCAAGTCACTGTTTGCCAATGGGAAGGATGCAATGCGAATGATCTGGGAAATATGGATGCTCTTGTCAAACATATCCATGATGATCACATTGGATCTAGACAGAAAAAGTATCTATGCGAGTGGAGTGACTGTGCTAGGAAGGGCCAGACACATGCGAGTGGGTATGCATTGCGAGCGCATATGAGAAGCCATACAAAAGAGAAACCGTTCTATTGTACTTTACCCGGTAAGCTTTCTTTCGTCCTTGCGCCAGTAAGAAGATGTCAATACGAGATGCCAAGTTCATCCCACTAACAATCTTTCGTCAAAATAGAGTGCGATCGAAGCTTCACACGTTCAGACGCTCTTACAAAACACATGCGAACCGTTCATGAAACTGATGTCCTTCGCCCTACGGATGCTACTTCAAAAGGAGGTGCCAGCGCGACGACAACAGGCAACGCTAAACCAACCCGGATCAAACTAAAGCTCTCCCAACCCGCAAAGGAGGGTAGCCATGACGGAGACAAAAACGATATCACGAAAGAATCGGATCCGTCAACAATTCCCTATCTCGGTCCCGAATTAGGATTCGACGACCACGAACTTTCCCTTTCCCCGGAGCAGTTGTGTCATCTTCTATGTCGCCAGATCCACTGGGCGGAGCAAGAAGCTGCCCAGCTGAAACGTGACTGGGATATAATAGAACCTATTAGAAAGGAGTCATGGAGAGATAAAGAGTTAATTTTCGAAGACGTCATACATGCGGAACTTCGTGTGTTCAGGTCCGCTATATCTGCAGAGGATCTGGCTATTGCTCCAGGGAAGAATGGGGCCATGCCACTTAACGAAGCCTCGTTGTCGGTAATAGCGAGTAAAGGGACTGAGGTGTCGAGATCGAATGGTCCTCCAGACTCTATTAGGCCCGATACAAAAAATTCACAAGAAACAGGACCCGTTGAGGCTTGATTATTGCACTACTGGCAAATTATTTTTGTAATTTGTGAACCTTTTTTCCATTTTGTGTTTCATTTGTAATGAGAGATTTATCTGGTGAACAGGGTATGGGACACGGTTACTGAGCGAAACCTGAGCTTCTCTTTTTGATATTGCAAAGAACATTGGCATGCTTTCCTTTAACTTAATGTAAAATTATTCTTGTCTGACAATTTACTACCATTCCCACTTTGTACCCTTTTATCCTTCAAGTTCTCGGATCAAGCATGATCAATGCGAACAGTTATCTCCTTCACTTTTCATCCAACTTGACAAGCTTTGGATTGAAATAATTAAAACAATACTTAACTTCACCCAACCAGCATGATGAACTATACTCATGATCAAATAAGTATCAAACCATGACATTTCAGAAAAAGGGCTAGATCCCATCTAGTAAGGATGTTTGGCAACGGATCTACGGGGAAACGCCTGTGACAGTGAAAGAGTCGCATCTGGAATGGGTTTTCAAAGTAAGTGCAACAAGTCAACTGGCCCATCAAAAAAGATTGGTTTCCCCATGCGTAAATCTCATCTGTCTTGGAGATATTAACCTCAAGTAATTGAAGCAGCCCAACTCCAGTTCCGTAACCGAGGTTGACCAGAATGGTAAGGCTGCTTGTTGAAATGAGAGCCTCCATTTCAGAAATACGGTTCTTTAGAAGGAAGGATATCTTGCACAAACAAGCATTCATTGAGATTGAGCTTCATATGCTGGGCAAAGTTGGTAGTTCAACGGGCCAACCACACAAAGGATGGGCTTGTGTCGGAGTTCCGGCTTGAAGCCATGTAAAATGGATTCGCGAACCTCCGGTTCGAGAAAAGAGCAACACGAAATATCAATCACCCCTATTTAAATAACTGATGCCCCTGTCGACCGCTTGAAGTAGAGAGATGAGGAACATTTCTTCTCCAACCAAGAGAGCGGAAACTATCATTATAAAACCTCTATTATATAAAGACCCCGCACAATGTGTATGGATAAGCCCTGCTGCAACCCTAACACTATGGGAGATAGGGCAACCGCCTACCTCCTTGCTCTGAATCTTTTCGCCATTGCTCCTCACCACAGGCTCTCTCAGGATTACCGCTCATCATAGGTCCAAAAGGTTCATCTCCACTCAAGACGCACGTCAGGGATCTCAGATATGCTCGGCCCCATTTCCCTGGAGGCCGCAGGACTCTCGCCCCAAACTTGCCCAAACAAACTCGCTAACTGTTTGCCAACCCTGACACCCTCAAAAAGCTAGCAAAACTCGCTCAAGCAAAGCAAGCACAAAAGTGCCGCTTGCAAGAGTTGCTCCCAAGCGTCAAGGAGCATTTGCTGGGAATTGAGCCTAGGCTGGCGCGGCCACAACGTGACATCTTACCACTCGACCACACCGTCGATCTGTATAATTCGATAGCTCCACCTGCTTGGTAACCACCGTGCAGCCAACGTTGATAAAAGTAACTATATTTTGTGCTCTACTATTGATGTCAATCTGGTTACTTGAAGTTGGTGATGACGAGAAGAACCCTTACATTCTGTAGCATATTATCCATTCGCTGGTAGGACAACACGCAAAAGCCCTTGAAGGAGATTGCAATCATCTCAGAAAAAAGTAAAAAACCACGCGGACAAGTGGGCAATGATCAGGGAAAGGTGTATGAATTTGATATCTCAGTCTGCTTCTGCTCTCATCCAAACCGTGCGATATGTTCAGCTACCAAAACTCGTCAAGATCAGTATCGTTGGCTAGCTCTGACGACACCTCTTTTTGCTTCGTCAAAAAAGTGAGGATACGGATCCGAGAAACAACCAAGACCAACTTAAAAGAACGAGAAAGAATTCCATATTTGGCACAGTTCAACCATAGACTAAAGGTGAAAGGATCGCATCGTTGTTAATGGCATCCCTAATATTTTTTGAATTATCCGTCCCTGCCTCCCAAAGCAAGTCGAACCATTGTCGGGTTGAGAAGATTTGTTAGCTCCCTAACAAAACCCGGTGATCTGCCTTTCTCGCGTCAGCCCGCTAGACAATGACCCCACGAGAGATACGATCAGTGCAGAAAATTGTTGGAGACAAAACGATATAATCAGGATATATCTAGCGAAAAAAAAAGATGGTTCCATTGGTTGCGGGCAAAATTTTTGTAGGGCTGTCAAGAGATAAACAGTCCCTAGATGGCACGATTCTAACGTGCCGTAGTCACATATATCAAAAAAAAAAAAAAAAAAAAAAGGAAGGGAAAGAAAAGAAAAGAAAAAGAAAAAGAAAAAAGAAATAACAATGAAAGCATGTTGTATGAGACAGGAGACAATAATCTCATATGATAAAAATAATAAAATGAAGTACACCATAGTGAAAACTCGTGACGCAAAATCTCAAGTAAATATCCCACAATTGAAATGTCTCCTGTAGAGTTCCAATGAGATAGAAGTTAGAACGCCGTCGCCATGCAGGAACAAAAAGAAGAAAAATGGATGAAATAAAAATAAAGAGATGATAGATGATAGGATAGAAAATATAATCCGCAATACACAACTGCGACAAAACTCTACAGAACATAAAGGGACCGTATATGAGCCACGTGCTGCTATAAGACCACAAACTCCAGGCTGAGTAGATATATGCTGAAGAAGAGAAAACGCAAAGAGTAGAGTCGGAAACCAGACATCCTATCAAATAGTTGTTAACAGATAGATGCCCCAAGACAATCGCAAAAGTTGTCATTGACAGGGCTGCCCTGCTCCGCACATTTAAGCTTTGCAATATTGTTGACAAGCACTCGAGGTGCCTTGATCGTGGATTATTGACGTTGTTGGGCCGATTCACCGTTTTCAGCAGCGACAAGACGATCGAACATGTTAAGGAGAGCTGTTGCTGGAGTACCCTTGTTGGGCCAATAGGTCGCAGCGTATCCCCTATTGGAGCTCGTTAGTATGTGAATAAAAAACATATGTTGGATACAAGTGAGAAAAACGGGGATAGAGAAAGGAAAAACAGAAAATAAAGAAAGAAAGAAAGAAAAGACATACCACAACCGCTCCTCCAACGAGGCTGGTGCCTCTCTACCTTCCAAAGTGTCACGAATAAACTCTCCAATGAGACGCAGTAACCGGCGCAGCTCCCCTGCTCGATCAGTCTTGCTTGGGATGTTCTCCTTGGTGACCTGCGATACCCGCTTGAGATGCTCCCGGATAGGCTTGAATATAACCCTGAGCACGCCGTCATTGCTACTAAAGCCGCTTCCACCATGGTCGTTGCTATGGCGGTAACGATCTCTCTCATCCCGACTTCCCTTCATGCGAGGACGGTCAGACCTGTAACCGTCAGCAGCGGAGTTGTTGGTAAAATCAGCACTCTCTCGAGATCTGTGGTGAGCACGAGATCGTGATTTGTCCGAGTCTCGTGGCTTGCGGGGTAGGGAGGGTGCCGGGGACGCCGAGACACTCCCACTCGCATGACCCTTGGAATGCAACCCGTTCTTCTTGATATTGCGGTGATGGTTCTCTACGGCTCTCTTCGCTATCATGTTCGAACCATTGGTCATTTTGTCCTTCAAGACTGACAAGAGATAGTCTGCACGGCGGACCAGATGGACAGCTCCGGGAGACTTAGTTGCACCTTTCACACCACCGTTCATGCGTTCCGCTTTCCGGTCAACCCGATGTTCCTCGAGAAAAAACTTGTCGGCAAGGGCAAGATCGGGGTCATCGCGAATCTGAGCCCAGGCACCGTAGCCGTGGCGAGCGATGCCAATGCAAAGCATGCCATCTTCGCGAGCACCCCATGGGCATGTATAATCAGCACCTTTCGTAGCTTCTGGGATACGAAAGCTTTTAGGATCAGCAAGATCAGCAGTTGCATCTCTCAGGATACGCATTTCATTAGGTCTTTCCACAATCGTCTCTGCATTAAGCCGTTTCACACCTTGATGGTCGAAAAGAATCGCCTTCCTCTCTTTCTTGGTGAAACCCTTCCCTTCGCGCTCAAGGGCATTGAGTCGGTTATTCTCCTCCTTGAGAAGAGCATGTGCTTTCTCGATCACATCACTCAAAGCAGCTTTCACCACAGCTATATCCCGGCCAATAAGCCTAGCTTCGCGAATTAAATCGTCTTGCCGGTCATGAATGTCACCATATCGAAGATATGCACGGATAAGATGTCTATACTCCTTTTCGCTGAGTGGTCGACTGGGGTCTGGAGGAGGCGGTGCATCAGACACATCGTCAGCGTCAATGTTAACTTGCTCTCGTGCACGTCGCTTCGCCTGGCGCTCCTGTCGTCCATCCAATGGTTCTTTCCGTTTACGCGGCTGATTTCGCTCGATCTCTTGTGCCAGGAACTGCTCATGGGCCCGGCGTTCTTCCTCTGCTTTAATCTGCTCAAGCTCCTCCTTTGGAATGATCTGGTCCCAGGTAAGCTCATCCACTTTCACATCAACAAACTCAAAGGCTTTTAGGAACTCTTCTCCACCATCAGCCTCCATGCCTTCAGCTTGTTCTGTTTTGTGCTCTTCAGCGTTCTCCAGCACAGAGTCGATATCCAGCTCCTCCAGTTTCTTTTGGTTCCCAGATTGCTCAAACATACGCTGACCGCGACGCTTGAGAATGCGAGATATGTCGTCAGAAGAGGTGGGTTCGCTGATTTGGGCACCAGCACGGGCCATTTTGTCTTTGAGTTCAATCGCTTCTTTATCAGTAACTCCTCGCTGTATAGTAATGAATTCAAGCAGTAGCTTATTTCGCGCTCTTTCGAGGACCTCTTCTTCAACAGTGTCCTTGGACACAAGACGATACACGCTGACGGGCTTAGTCTGTCCTATTCTATGAGCGCGTGCCATTGCTTGCAGATCAGCTTGAGGGTTCCAATCTGAATCAAAGAGGACAACTGTATCGGCGGTCATGAGGTTAATTCCCAAGCCTCCCGCACGAGTGGAGAGGAGGAAAGCAAAATCATTGCTATCCGGAGCATTGAAGTGTTCGATAGAAAGGCGTCGGGGACCAGCAGCGATTGTGCCATCTAACCGTTGATAGGCGTAGCCACGTACATCCATGTAGTCGGCTAGGATGTCAAGCATCCGAACCATTTGGCTGAAAATCAAAACACGATGGCCATCCTTAATTTGGCCAAAAGTTGATCCAACAACATCATTTTGCCACTGCTCGTGATGATGGCACGCATCATTTCTTCACGGCCAGTCTTCCCCTCTAATATCCTAGACTCAGCGTTGGGAAACATAAACGGATGATTGCTGGCCTTCTTTAGCTCCATCATGATATTTAGCAAGGACTGCTTCTGGCCTTTACTTCCTTGGTTTAGAGCAGCGTAGTTTTTCGTCAGGATGTTTTTGTAGTATTCAAGTTGGACATCTGATAATTCGACTCGAATAATCTTCTCTGATTTCGGGGGCAGATCCGATTCGACCTTTGATTTAGTACGGCGAAGCATGTAGGGTTGAATGGATTTGGTAAGTTCCGCTAACTTCACACTGGCCGCTTCACAACTCAAGTCCATGTCATCGTCAATTTGGATGAGCCCGGGGTTTAAGAAATCCATCAAAGCAGAGAGTTCACCAAGGTTGTTCTGAACCGGGGTCCCAGTGATGAGCAGTCGACTAGGTGACTTGAATTCGACGAGCCTAGAGTAAAGTTGCGAATCCCGATTCTTGAGTCGATGAGCCTCATCCACAGCCATAAACTGCCACTTGATTTGACTGAGGAAGGTAGCGTCAACGAGAACGTATTCGTAAGTGGTCAAAAGGACATGGAACTTGGGCCGCCTAACATTCCCATCCATTAACAATTCATAATCCTTTATGATATTCCGAGAAACTTCGTTGCCATTGTAGACAACGTAGTTCAGATCAGGCGTCCAATTATCAAAGGTCTCCGCCCAGGAAGGCATTGTAGATAGCGGAACAACGACAATGAACGGTCCTTGCTGATTTCTAACATGCCGCAGCCAGCTTATAAAGGCAACCGTTTGGACAGTCTTCCCCAAGCCCATCTCATCAGCAAGGACCACATTTCGACCACGAACCCAGTTATACGCCATGAAGTTCACACCTTTGACTTGGAACTCCTTGAGTTCGCCGTTCATAACATAGCTTGGGGTGCCATGGATAGGCTCGAAGGGAGCTCGCGTTGCAGGGTTTGATTCCATTTTGTTTGATATAGGTGGATGGGAGCAGCGGTCAAGATAACGATCGATTTCCCGCTGAGCAATCTCGCTGACGAGGGACGCAGGTTCCCAAGTACAGGAGTCATAAAAGAGCCGTTTCCATTTGACGTAGTACTGCGTTTCACCATCGATCTCACGAGAACCGATGACACGTTCTGCTAGTTTATAATCTTCAATAGCATCCACATCACGTTCCCGGTCAAGGTTCCATTTCTCCTTTTCCTCGGGAATGACTTCAGGGTCCCTCATGTACTGTATGGCTTGGGACAAGGTTTTGCGGATGTAGTTCTCTAGCCGACGCACGCCCCTACAGCTGGCAAGAGATTCTACAGTCTCCCAAGTTGCATGATAGTGGGATTTCCCTTGCCATTTAATATAGAACTCACAGTCATGGCGACTCAGGTCGTGTCGTGTGATGTCAATGCCGTCCTTGAACCTATGGTTGAGCACGACGTCAATGCCAGGAGTTGTGTCATCGACTGCCGTAGCCCATTCACCTGGTGTCATCATCCCTGATTCATCTTCGAATTCATCGTCATCGTCATCTTCATTATAATTAGATACTCTATTCGCGCGTCTAGTAGAAAAGCGGATTTCGGCATGGGTGGGTATTAGGTTGTCGGCAGACTGAGCCAGTCGTCGACGTTTGGATTTTGAGGTTCTCCTACGCGAGCCTTGATATTCATCGCTATCGGAGTCAGACGCAGATTCTATTGATTGGGAGAGGGAGGGACGTTGTGATGAACGATTTGGGGTGCGTCGTCTCCGCTTTGAAGTGGGTGCAACAGCGTCAGAGTCGGAATCGGAAGTGGTATGGGCTGTCTGGCGCACAGATCTCGCACGGCTACTGCGACGCAACCCATATAAACTTGGATTATTTCTTATAAAGTCATCCTCGATTATGGGGGATTTTCGCTTTGTGCCCCTCTTCAGGTTATGGGTCGATGAGTTGGCCGAAATAGAAGCGAGATGCGCGCCAGAGGCGTCTTCGACAGCGGAATCAGCATCATTCTCACTCATGACCCTTTCAGAAACTGGAGAAGCTAGGCCATCGGTATAATTGTCATTATCCGATGAGTCGGAATTTATCTCCGCATTAAACTCCTCAGCGGGGTCATCGGACTCCGCATCCCCACTCTCAAGGTGCTCTGCGTCTTCATCGGAGGAGTGTTCCTCGTCAGCACTGGCTGCGGACATGTCGCTCACGTTACCGATGTTTGAGGAGGATTGATTATCATGTTTCTCGTTAATATCATTTGTGAGGGAGGACTGGTGGCCGTTGGGCAATGTAGACGGCATCGAGGCGGATGGGATCACCATGCTACAAGCTATGAGATTGAAAAGTCAGCATTGGGGAGCAATTAAGCCTGAAAATGCATTTTAAAGCATGGGACGAGCTACAGGACACATATGCGACTGGAGATACGAGTTGCAGAAGTTCTATAACTGGTAAGAGAGGGTAGCATATGTAGATTTGATGGAATGTATTGATTTTATAGATGGGTTGATGAAATAAGAATGAAGAAGAGATGGCGCGCAGCAAAAGCCAGAATAACGAGACAGCAAGAAGGGCAATCAATACTGTAACAATCACAGCATCGATTTCATCAACATAGCAAACAGCAGAAGGCCTCATCATCCAAACGAAGAGTGTCAAGGGGTAACAGGGTGGGTCGAGGATGGTAGATGGAGAAGTACACAAGCGAGCGGCGCGTGACGGGATTTAGTCGGCGGACAAAGGGAGAAAAGAGAAACTTACGATCCATAACTTGGTGGCCCCGAGGCAGAAATACGTAGCTAGCAATATGGAGGGAAAAAAGAGTGTGGGTGGGGGGTGAAAAAAGGGGGGAGTGGAAAGGGGAGGTTGCTGCATTGGAGTTCTGGTTGGAGAGAGTTTTTAGGAGGAGGGAAGAAACGAAGATGAACGAGCGAAGAGTTGGTGGTTGGCGGTTCCCAAGACTCAACAGCCGCTCCATTGCCAAGGCTTGGGTTTCGCAAAGGGTTTAGCGGCTGGACAAAGGCCGCACTGAGCACCGGGCCAATGACGCTAGGCTGATCTGGGTTTAGCGGAGGTCATTGCAAGCGACTTGGATGACTATGCCATTGGCACTCGGCTTATCGCCTCTGCCCGGTACAACGCACTATGATTGGTCAACTGCCGCGAATACTTATTAGTGTCACGTGAGAATATCTTCCCTTTCCGGTTAGAGGATTGAAACTTACAGAGGTACCACGCAATACGGAGGTGTATTATGGGATAATAATAGTTAAAATGTTTTTAAATCAAGGGTTATCTTTTTTATTTTATATTATATGTGAGGTACTCCCGTGAAAGTGTTCAATTATCGGTGGGTATCAGCAATGGCTGCTTGAGTGGCTGATAGATGGTTTCGCATGCCCCAGTGGCTCTCGGATGTCCAGCCAGTAGAATCCGCTGCATTTCTGCCTGACTAATTTCCAGGTTGGTTTGGCTCTGTTCGTCGCGTAGTCCGTACCGTACGGTAAAATATTTCCTGGCAGCCAAAAAAATGTCCCACTCGCACTTTTTGAGATCCCACAATTCCTCCTCTGTCCGCCAACTCCCTCCCTTCTATCTCTTGGGTCTCTCTCTCTCAGTTGACTCGATTCCTTTTTACTTGGCTTCTTTTCTTTTTCATATACATCCCCCGGTTGGTCCTCCTTGTGAGGCTTCACCTGCTATTTTGGACGGTTTTCAGCGCATATCTCTCGACGTCAAAGCAGGTGGAGGAACAACATCGTCTCCATATTTATTCCTCGACTCTTAACCACACTCGAAACATTCACTACCGTCATCATGTCTGACAAACTGACTAGGTTAGAATATAGCTGTCTATTTCATTATTTATTAAAATTACTGACTGTTGTCCTCCAGAATTGCCATCGTCAATAGTGACAAGGTGTGCAATGCACCTAACCATTCCCCTCAATTTTTTGACCCGAGAAGGGTATCGGGGATAAATATCACAACTACTGCTAATCAATATACTTTATGATTCATACAGTGCAAACCCAAGGTATTTCATATCCCTCCATTCATCTGTCTGCTCTAAACACTTCTCTAATATATCCCTTCAGAAATGCCGTCAGGAGTGCAAGAAGTCATGCCCAGTTGTTCGCACCGGCAAACTCTGCATCGAAGTCACCCCTGAATCAAAGATTGCTTTCATTTCGGAACGCCTATGTATAGGATGCGGTATCTGCCCAAAGAAATGCCCATTCGGTGCCATCCATATCATCAACTTACCCACCAACCTCGAGACCCAGGTCACCCATCGATACTCGGCAAATAGTTTCAAACTGCACAGGTTGCCTATGCCGCGGCCAGGACAGGTTTTGGGTTTGGTTGGGACCAACGGTATTGGCAAGAGCACTGCTCTCAAAATTCTCAGTGGAAAGCTGAAACCAAACTTGGGCCGATATGACAATCCCCCCGATTGGGAGGAGATCTTGAAGTACTTCCGTGGCTCAGAATTACAAAGTAGGACCATACCAAAAAGAAATATCCCTTTTCATTCCCTTTCAACCAAATGTTAACTGAAATTTCTCTAGACTACTTTACGAAAGTCCTTGAAGACGATTTGAAGGCCGTTGTCAAGCCGCAGTATGTCGATCAGATTCCCCGGGCAGTCAAGGGCCCAACCAAGGAGGTGGAGCTCCTTATCAAAGCACGCTCTCAGATGGACAATATGGACCATATTATGGAAGTCCTTGGTATGTGGTCATCTCTTTCATCTGTCGCATCACATCCACTAATGAGGTTATCCCATAGAACTCAATCAAGTTAAGGATAGAGATGTTGGGCTTCTTTCAGGAGGAGAGTTGCAGAGATTCGCCATCGCCCTTGTTTGTGTCCAGCAAGCTGATGTGTAAGGCCCCACCTCCATTCGTATATCTCCAACAGGAAGCTCACTTCGAGTTTAGGTACATGTTTGACGAGCCGTCATCCTACCTGGATGTCAAACAGCGTCTCAGCGCCGCCCGTATCATCAGAGAACTCCTACGTCCAGATGATTATGTCATCGTAGTTGAGCACGATTTGTCCGTTCTTGACTATCTGTCTGACTTCATTTGCGTTCTCTACGGTCGCCCTGCTGTCTACGGTGTTGTCACCCTACCTTCCTCCGTTCGTGAAGGTATTAACATTTTCTTGGATGGGCATATTCCCACGGAGAACTTGCGATTCCGTGAAGAGTCCCTTACATTCCGGATCGCGGAAGCTGGAGATGAATTCTTGGTCGACAAGGGAAGAGCATTTAGCTACCCGAAAATGGAGAAGACACTGGGTGGTTTCCATCTCTCTGTCGCCCCCGGTCAATTCACCGATTCTGAAATCATTGTCATGATGGGTGAAAACGGAACTGGAAAGACGACATTCTGCAAACTCCTTGCTGGTGCAGAGAAGCCAGATGGTCGCACAACTGTTCCTCCAATGAACATCAGCATGAAACCGCAGAAAATCACACCCAAATTCCAGGGCACCGTGCGCCAACTGTTCTTCAAGCGTATCAAAGCGGCTTTCCTGTCCCCTCAATTCCAGACTGACGTCTACAAGCCACTGAAGCTCGATGACTTCATTGACCAAGAAGTCCAAAACCTCTCTGGTGGTGAATTGCAGCGTGTCGCTATTGTTCTCGCACTCGGTATTCCCGCCGATATCTACTTGATCGATGAGCCTAGCGCCTACCTGGATTCTGAACAACGTATCGTGGCTGCCCGAGTCATCAAGCGTTTCATCATGCACACCAAGAAGACGGCTTTTATCGTCGAACACGACTTCATCATGGCAACTTATCTTGCTGACCGCGTCATCGTTTTTGACGGCAAGCCATCCGTGGATGCCCGAGCCAATACTCCAGAGTCCCTTTTGACCGGATGCAACAAGTTCTTGAAAAATCTGGATGTAACATTCCGCCGTGATCCAAACAGCTACCGTCCGCGAATTAACAAGCACCAGAGCCAGCTTGACCAGGAACAAAAGTTGAGTGGAAATTACGTAAGTTTTAACTATCTCCTCCCCCAAACAACCCCTCCACACTTTATTTGATTTCCACGACATTTTTGCATTTTACTAACTTCAATTCCAACGACAGTTCTTCCTGGAAGAAGAGAGTTGAAAAAGGTGTTCCACGAGATCATGACCGTGACGGTCCCCACAACCGACGCCATCGTATACGACACTTGGGTAAAAACGGCGTTGACGTGTTAGCATTTTCTGGCGTTAGCAAAGGCGCTGGAGGCTGTAAGGGGAAACGCAGCTCCGCGGGTCTCTCTGACGAAGACTCATCGGTTGGAGGCGACGACGACGATGAGGACGATCTGGAAGTTGGCATGGACGGCAGTTCGTTCTCCAGCCTTTTGTCCAGATCCTCCTGTGCGATGCATGTCCGTCTACTCCTGATTACGAAGCCGCGTCCCGTACCTTTCATTGCCCAATGCATTTGTTTAGGCCAATCTCAGTTTAATATTTTGTTACTTACTTATTCCCCTGACAAAATGGGTTGGCGTATTTGCATGCTTCGGTACAGGAAAAATAAATGGGTAGAACTGGGAATATGGACTTTAACGAAATTATGAACTTCTCGTATTTGATGAAAAGTTTTCCTCTTTTACGGACTCGACTGGACTTGGTATGTGCTACAAAGGAGGTTAATGGTCAAACAACATAAAATAAGACGACAAACTTGGCTGCCACTCAATACCCCGCGCCCACTTAGTTTACTAGAAGCAGCCTATTTTTATCTCATCGGTCTTTTTTTACATCCTTTGCAACACGATGCGAATATTGTTTGTATTTCCCTACGTGGTTTGTTTCCTATTCCAAGCTTGTTTTTAACTTCTTTGGCGTCTTGCCCTACCAACCCCCCCCCCCCCCCCTTCCATTGCTTTTTAAAGTCATCCCTTTGTCCACGTTCCTGAAGCTCAAACATCAGGGCATCCCCTTTACCCGCCAAAAAAACAAAAATATTCCGCGGTAGGATGGCGTTGTGGATTCTGGGAAGGGAAATGCTCCCTCAGCGGCCACGGAAACTGGTGACGACTGAAGATTCAAAAAATGCACTGTGGCAGCCTTCGAATTAGTTATATAACAGCTTGTGTCCATTGTTTTGCTTGATATAAAAACAAAATTGTCAAAGATATCAATGAAAAGAACTAATCTCAACCTTCGTTCACTTGACATATGTTTATACTCTGTAGAGCCATAAGGAAAATATGCAAAGTTTTCACAAGATATCCGTGTTATGTTTGGCATCCCCTCATCTTTCGGATTGTGGGGAATTGTAGATCTTGTTCTATAAGTTTTCTTTTAAAATAACCTCATTATGGGGCAGGGATCGCTTAACCTAGACAAAATTAAACCCAGGAAGCACAAGTTCAAATATCGCACGGCGACTAGGTGAATATCCCCACACCGTACCTTGACCCCTTCAACAAATAAAATATTACCTAGAAGAAACAATAATACATCCCATAACCTAGCTAAACAAAGCTAAATCGGTCCTCATATTCCATCAACTCAACCTACCCTGTCCCTGGAACGCCAATCACCATCACCTCACCACACCTACACCACCACAATCATTCCTCCTCAATCTCCCCCTCCTCACTGCCCGAATGAACCGCTCTCTCCTCCCTCACCACGTCTGTAACCTTATCCGGCGTCTTCTCACCCTCCCTCAACCTCTCCCTCTCCTTCTCCCTCCTCCCCCCATCCCCATCCCTCCTATACCTTTTCACCCCTCGAGTCCCCACACTCTCCGTCTCACTATCCCTCCTCTTCCTCCGCTCACTCGTAACCGTACCCGTAGTACTACGAGCCGTCTCCCCGATTCCCCCACCACCATAATCCAACTCATCCCGACTTCCCCTAGGATCCGCACGGGAGCGATACAGCCGCTCCCGCTCATCCTCCCTCTCACGCCTGTCACGCTCATAATGGCTAAGCAAATGACGGCTGCTGGGCCTATCTCGGTCGCGCTCCCGGTCGCGATCCCTCTCTCTCTCGCGTCCCCGGTCACGATCACGCTCACGCTCGCGCGATGGTGCGGGGGATAACCCGCTGGCTTTCCGGTAGGATCTCTCGCGATCAGCCTGCGCTTTTCGGCGGTCCGCTTCGTAGGCGTCTGGCTCTGGCGTGCGGCTGAGGCGGCTTGCTGTTGTCCCCCGTCGCTCGCCTCGGTACAAGTGACCATTGCGATAATTGTGATCGCGCTCACGGTCACGGTCAGAGCGATCGTAATGATCGCGACGGCTGTTGGTGCGCTCGCGGTCGCGCTCACGGTCTCTTTCGCGGTCACGATCTCGTTCAGCGTCTTCTTCCTTCTCCTTGAGACGGCGGATGACTTTATCAAAGGCAGTGCGGCGCAGGTCGTCCGTGTCGAGGGCGCGGTATTCCTCTGACTTCTCGACACGGGGTTTTACTTGCTCCCAGGTGTCGGAGGCGCGGATTGGAGGATCGAGATGTTTGATGCGGGATCGGAGCGCGTCAATGGCACGGCGCTGGTGGCGATCTGCAGCATGTTTCTCGTCTTCGGTGCGGCGAAGGACCTTTTCCCTGATGCGGTCGAAAATGAGTTGGAGTGTATCACGGTCGATTCCGGCGGTGCGTCGGTCAGCAGCCATGATTTCGTTGAATTCTTCATATGTAGTCTTTGGTGTAACCTCGTATCGTTTATCCTAGTCTTATGTTAGAGCTGGACTGCAGACAAAATAAATTATAGGCGTCAAGAAGGGGTTCCTACATCTAGAACATCCAACACATCATTTCTCGGGCCTCTCAGAGCTCTCTCCTCCTCTTCCACGATATCCCAGAAGAGATCCAAAGGCGTAGACCCTGGTTGGCCAAGCATTGTGATATATCGAGGATCATCCTGTATTAAGGGAAGAATATTCATCCATTTGCTGCCAGCTTTGATGTTCCCTTGCTTCCTCAACTCCTGCAGTAACTCAATGTACTGATCTCTATTCTTGCGCTCCCTCCTCGCCTTGTTAGTCTTCTGCTGCTGGCGGGCATCATTGAAATTGCGTTCAAGAGTTTTGATGTGGTTTTCGAAAGCAGTTAGAATATCTGATTTAGTCAGGGCTTTGAACTTATCATCATTCTTAACCCTTTCATTCGACTGTATAATCCCCTGCGCCTCTGCCCATCTGGTATACGGCTCCAGTTCCAAAGCCTTCAGAATATCCGCAAGGTCTTCCTTGGCCGTCTTCCGTGCCGCAATTTCCTTTTCGGCATTCTCTTTCTTAAGCTCGAGAACATACTCCTCGAAAAGCTGCCTCCTCTCGTTCTCATCACTGGTCGATCTAAAAATCGTCTCCCCTTCGATGATGGGTCGAATCGTCTTCCATCGCGAGTAGTGTTTGATTTCCGGATGGCTTCTTAGCATCGTACCAAAATCTGTGCGGAGTTTAGCCAGTCTCTCTTTGGCGCGATCCTTTTCCTGCATGCGAACCTCAACGGCATATTTCTCGAAAGCCGCCTTGCGGTCCCTTGGATCTCTCAGGGCGCGGAACTGAGGATCCTTGATAATCGACCGGATTGTCTGCTCCCATGTCCAGTCCGGTTGGACATTGCTGCGCCGTAGCAGCTTCATAAACGCAGCCTCGGCCTCCTCGAAGCTGGGGTATTCTGGTTCATTCTGCTCGGTTCTAACGGCGGATGAGGCTACCATACCATTTGTATCGGGTGCGCCAAACCCACCACGTCGATCTGGTGCGCTCCGGTCATGGTCGTCACGGTCACGGTCACGGTCACGATCACGATCACGATGTTGGTGATAGGTGGGAAATGCGGAGGTACCGCCAGCGACGAAGGTTGGGGCGCTAGAGTTTGCAATAGTTAGAGATGCAACATGGGGGGAAAACGAACAAACCGAACTTACGCAGGAGTAGGTCGTTGAGGAGGCTGCTGAGCAAGTGCAGCTTTGTAAACATCAGGCATCTCCCATGAACTCTGCTTGGTCTCCGTATTATACCAGTACTTTCGCCCGCCCTGCGCGGTATACTCTTTCCATGGTTGATTTGCCAAAGCGCGCTGTTCAAGGAGTGCATCATCAGCAACTGATGCTATTAGACATTTAATACGGGAGGATGATATCCAACTCACCTCTGCCGGAGTCATTAGCTCCAGTGGCTTTGTCCACTGGGTAGCCTTGGTCTGGACATTATAGTAGTAGACTCTACCGTCAGCATTCCTGGCTTCCTGCCACAGCGCTGGAGGAGGCGCTGGCATGCCATTGATGACATTCATGGCCGACATGGGTGAGCAACTATAGATCAGACCTGAACCTGCGCTGCCCTGTTAGTCACAATCTAATCTGTGGAATATTTAGCCTCAGCTGCATGAATTGTGTTCATGGATATAAATTTGCAGATGTTGAAGGCCGCTAAAACGAATTGAGATCGGGGTTGGCTGCATGCTGCTGACTAAACATCTTACCTCTGCCAGTTAACTAACTATAACTAATAAACTGAACCAAGTTAACTGGTTACTCAGAATACTGTCTTCCCCTCAATATTCTGCCTAAAGACTTACACGGTTAAAATGATGCTTTCATACACCCAGATACAGCTGCCCTGAAAGTCCAATATATTGGGTGAGTCGAGAATTGGATCAGGCGTTGACTTGGGCTGTGTTCTCTCGAACTGTTTTAGCCATGATTGTATGTGCTGTGCCATCTCATACACCAACTGTGCATGGTTTCTGCGTACACCTACCGTAATACAATTATGGCCCCAGAGGAATTCCTGCGCCGCGCAGTGCTGGATACAATAGTACCCTATGCCTCCGAAATCAATTTGGAGGAGGCCCTGGATTCCTCAATCCAGGAAGCCATTGACGAATCTTCATCCCTTCTACCTACAATCCGCCAGCGTTCCCTTCTCTTCTTTGGTATTCCTCAGTCCTATTCAAACCCTCCCTCTGCGGCAAAAGACATTGACGCAAGAATCTTACTTATTCTTAGATATACTGAATAGATGAGCTCCTCCCCGTATACATCGTTCTACGCCTTGCGAACTGCTCAGAGCATGCGTTGAAGACCCAGTTGCCGAGATTGACGGTCCAGTTGGAGGCTTTTGCGGTCAATGGAACTATTGTTGAAGATGGTAGCAAACGCAATGGCTCACAACAAATCAGGGACCTTATATTCTCTGGCACAGTGAGCGAGAGCGAAGATCCTCTGGTGGTTGTCAATGAGGTCGAGGGCGATGAGGATGTGGAAAACCATGTCTTTGTTATTTGGAAATTGGATACGTTTCTCAGTCAGTTGCCGCCAAATGGAGCCCAGGAATGAAGAAAATAGTATGAACATTGGAACTAATAGTTTTCCTTTTGTTGTTGAAGGCCGCCCTCGAGTTCGTCTCCAGCACCCATCTGTTGTGTTTAACGCATCTGCTATCCTGAGCCCGATCAATATATCGTCTCAACAACATGAAGATGAATACCTCCCAAGTGGCGTGCCGGGATCTGTCAATGTATTCCAGTCTCTATCGGCCATTTCTTCCCAAGGGCGAAGCAATCCACATCCCTTTCTTCCTGCCTCAAGGCTTCTGCGAGTGGTCCCAGCTACGCATGAAAAAAGATCAACATATCGCGTCCAACAAGTAACAGAACGCTCCATCCGTATCATACCCATTGCCAGCGCGAGAATCCGATATTCGCGGCTGAACACATACTCCAGCAAACCAACCACAATCGCCAGCCTCGACTTCGAAGTCACGCCCTTCACAAACTTCGACGTTATACTAGAAAAGATAGATCTAACCCTCCACAACGGCCAGGTAAAAAGCCTGACAAGAGACAGTGGCTATGCGGCCCCAGTAACCTGCCGCCCACGAGACGACATGACATTCATATATAAACTCACACCAGACCATGACATGTATGGCGCCTCAACAACCGCCGCATCCCCCTACGCCCTAGACATATCCCTGGCAGCCGTAATCCTCGTTTCCGAAACCTGCCGACCACGAATATCCATGCAATGGCGCACGAACGTCGACTTCTCCATACCCCTAAACCCAACCTACGGCACACCCAGCCAAGCCCTCCAGCGAAATAACGGCCCCGCCAGCCTCCCCATGACCCCCAGCCAAAGCGGCGAAGCACCCACGCCCAGCCGCACCACTAACACCAACTCCAGCAGCGCCGCCACCGCAGCAATGGCGATGACGAACCGACGATCCCCTTCGTCCTCCTCCTACCTCGCGACAGAGCTAGACGTGACGATTTCATTCTCAGGCCCGACGAGCGTGGAAGTCGGCAAGCCGTTCCTATGGAACGTGTTCATTGTCAACCGCTCACAGAAACAGAGGAAGTTTGCCATGGTTGCGCTCCCGCGGAGAAAGCGGGTGGATGTGCGCAGGTATATTGCGAGGCCGTCATCGTCGTCTGCATCTGGTGCTGGGGGTCGTCGGAGGGATGAGCAGCAGATTGCGGAGGCGGTGACAGATGAGAATATTGTGTATGCGATGCAGAAAAGTGCTATTCCGTATGAAACGGAGTTGATATGTTTGAGCCCGGATGTTAGAATGGGGTGAGGAACACCTGTTTTGCCCTTTTTTTCTTTCTTTCTTTTTTTTTTTTTTTTTTTCTATTTTCTTTCCTACTTTCCTGCCTATCTATGTTTAATGGCATTGGCTTATAATGAGATTAACTGAGCTGACAACAAGTAGCCCCCTTCTCCCTGGCACATGCCACTCGACAGAGCTCAAGCTTCTTCCGCTGATCGCAGGTGCGTTGCACGTTGAAGCTGTCAGGCTGGTGGATTTGACTACGAATGAGACGATGGATATAAGAGACCTGCCAGATATTGTAGCGTTTGATCGACAGGTTCAGTAATGCATGAGCTGTATATGCATACTACGGTACCTAGATAAATCTATACCCATTAAGTTTTAGAGTTTTCGAGTTCTTCCAGTTGACTTGCAAGTATTATCAAATCTGTTGTGCCTCTGCAAGAAGTTAAATATCCCCATAAAAGCTTGAGTGCCTTGTCACAAGGCTTTGATCGCTTCACGTAGTTATTTGTACGGGAGAACACACGAAAAATCTGTAGTAGACATGAATATTCAGGAAAATACAAGCAACCCATCATTTCTATTAAAGATACCTTGATCCAATATTATTTAGACATCAAAGATATCTATCAGGGTTGTGGCCACTGTACGCTCTATTTACGGGAATATTTAGAGTATTGTTTGTCAACATCGCTGTTTGGCTGTTGGGTCTCGGTTGGATTCAGTCCAAACTCTCACCTCAACCATCCAAACCTCACCATCCACCGCTAGAATCTCCCATCGCCCACCCATCCGTCGAAATCCCTTCATCAGCCTACCAAGCAATAAGTCAAACCCCTTCCTTACATCACCTCTCACGCTCGTACCTCGTTTATCGCCCGTCTATTGCTGCCTGGTCAACTTCCACCTCTCCGGTCCACTCAAAGCTTACCTGCCCAGCTCCGTTGCGTCATACAAAAAGCATATCCTGTCTTCCCAATCCCATCCCATCGTCATAATTATCTCGACAGTTCCTGGTAGAAATCAAGCGAAAATCTTTTCCTGTCTCTCTACCCGCCGCTTCATCATTTCCCCACTCTCTTATTTTTATATATCTCGACACCAGCAGGGGTTTTTTTTTCCCTTTTCTTTTTTCTTTTTTCTTTCTTTCTTTTTTTTTTTTTAAAATACCACTGAGCTCCTCTACATGATGCTCGACTCAGCTAGGCGGAAAGTGCATGATGATTTGAATAGTCGATATATATATGGTCGTGTGGTGAGTAAATTTTTTCTATGGAACCGGCAAACAAGAATTTGTCTTCACAAGGAGATTCATCTCCTCTACCCCTTCTTTCAAGAAACGGATACAGTTTCGTCCTGAGCTCTGGTTAACTGCGCTCCCGACATCGAATTTAGCCGCTCTTGCACACAATTATCTTCCTGGTTGAAATGGCGATAACAATGAGACTGGCAGCCAAGTTCAACTCTTACTATGCGGAGAAGCCAGGTAATATCCCAATTTCTGCTAGCAGTTGGGCCGTAATTTATGAGCTGTCTAAGCTGACAATATCGGGGCATCCAGTGTTGACCACTATGGTCACCAATGCCGTAAGCATCTCCATCTACCACCTTCATTCATTCCATACCGTCCGCTAACACGTTCCTGTGCATCTCCCCAGGTACTGGGCGGCATCGCAGACACAGTAGCCCAATCCATCTCCGCCGTACGGACACGCATGGCCGCCCGACGCCGCCAACGCACCTCCCAAAACAACGACCTAATCTCCATAGAAATACACGACCTACATAAAAAAAAGCCGCCCGTCGTTGGCGAGCTAAGTCACCACAGCAGCGGCAACGGCAACGGCAATGGCAACGGCAACGGCAACGTCAACGGCAACAGCAACGGCAGACACGTCACACCAGCACCGTTTGACTTTGAGCGGCTAACCCGCTTCATGACGTATGGGTTTTTCATGGCCCCGATCCAATTCCAGTGGTTTGGCTTTCTGGCGCGGACGTTTCCGATTACGAAGATGCATGCGACTGTGCCGGCGTTGAAGAGGGTGGCGATGGATCAGTTCATTTTTGCGCCGGTTGGGCTTGTGTGCTTCTTTACCTTCATGACTGTGGCGGAGGGAGGGGGACGACGAGCGATCGTGCGCAAGTTGCAGGATGTGTACACGCCGACGCTGAAGGCGAACTTCATGCTATGGCCTGCCGTGCAGATTCTCAATTTCCGTGTGATGCCTATCCAGTTTCAGATTGTAAGCTCCTCGTTTTGTATCCGCGCTCTCTGGCCCTGCTCCATCTCTACTTGTGAATACCACACTCTCTAACCGGCTTCTCTTTTAACAGCCATTTGTATCTTCCGTTGGAATAGCCTGGACGGCATACCTGTCCCTGACCAACTCTGCCGACGAGGAATAACGAGAAACAAATTTACAAGACAATGTGTTGCCTAAAACGTTGATTTTAGATGGAGAACAACAACCTAGAGTCATTTGGCTTTTTGCTTATTTGTCGCCACCGACTTGTGCAAATTGTTTGGGCCACAGCTGCATACCTTCTTACTGATTTCACAATGGTGGTGGTTTTCTTCTGTTTCCAACACGATATCGATTGTTCGCGTTGACAATTCATTCCGGAGTCCAGGCGGGTTTGCGGAAGCAGGGTTGTATTTTTAACCACTTCTTTCCCTAGGTCTTTCTCTCTTTATGTTTTCTGCGTCGAGATAGGTTGATTTCAGATCATTATTTGCGGGGTGGTAATGGTGCAGCGGATGGGATGTTTTAAGATCCGTTTCGGCTGGTTTCTATCGGGAGTGATCTACTGACGCAAATAAATAGCAATAGCTAACTAGTGAATTTTAGATGTTTAGTGTATAGTTAAAAGCAACATATGATTCATACAGCGCTCGAAAATAAATATCCAAATCCCAAAACAGCTATAAAGCATTGTCTAGTCCTCACTTATTATTCTGATAAATCTCCTTATAAAAACCCCTGTTAACTGGTTCCGTGCCTCCCGAACTGTTCCCAGCAGGTTGAAAAATGTTGGCCAGAATCCAATTGCCTCTATCCCCAACATCAGTCCAACCCGAAAGTAACCCCAAACCCCACCAATGACAGTAAACCCCCCCTCCAAATATTTATATAAACACAACAATAACCTGTATTTTCTTTAAAGATACATACTCACCTACCCATATCAATTATCTTTCCTCACTCCTGGTTCGTTGTTCTCTCCCTCTCTAATATATATCTTTAACTGAAGTATTAATTCCAATTGACTAAATAATTTACTCTTACCTAGTTGAATTGACCAGCCATACCATAGGCAGTTCTGCAGCCGCCATGTCTCTCTCCAACAAGCTATCCATTGCCGACGTCGACCTCAAAGACAAGAGGGTGTTGATCCGAGTATGTTACCTCTCACTATCCCTCTATGAACTGTACCGAACCATGAATACACAAACCCAGGCTAATCACCTACTCCCATAAATCAACATTGAGATACAGGTCGACTTCAACGTCCCCCTCGACGGCGACAAGAAAGTCGCAAACAACCAACGCATCGTCGGCGCCGTACCCACCATTAAATACGCCATCGACCATGGCGCCAAAGCCGTCGTCCTGATGTCCCACCTGGGCCGGCCGGACGGCAAGCCAAACCCCAAATTCAGCCTGAAACCCGTCGTGCCAGAGCTGGAGAAGCTACTGGGCGGCTCTGTCGTTTTCACAGATGACTGTGTTGGGAAGCAGGTCGAGGAGACTGTGAATAAGGCTAGTGGGGGCCAGGTGATTCTGCTGGAGAATTTGCGGTTCCATCCGGAAGAGGAGGGGAGTTATAAGGATGAGAACGGGAAGAAAGTGAAAGCTGATAAGGCCAAGGTGGAGGAGTTCCGGAAGCAGTTGACGACATTGGGAGATATTTACATCAGTAGGGTTCCCTTCATATCTACCCGCATACACAGGGTGTGAGAAACATATATATATATATACACGGTCGGGGAGAATATACGTTCGCTAACAATATCGCAGACGACGCCTTCGGCACGGCCCATCGAGCCCACAGCTCCATGGTCGGCATTAACCTCCCTCAAAAAGCAGCAGGTTTCCTCGTGAAAAAGGAGCTAGAATACTTTGCCAAAGCCCTCGAGAACCCCACACGGCCGTTCCTGGCCATCCTCGGTGGCTCCAAGGTATCCGATAAGATCCAGCTGATCGACAACTTACTCGATAAGGTCAACACGCTCATCATCTGCGGCGCGATGGCGTATACCTTCAAGAAGGTGCTGGACAACGTGAAGATTGGCAGCAGCCTGTTCGACGAGGCGGGCAGCAAGATCGTTCTAGATATCGTGACCAAGGCCAAGAAGAATAATATCAACATCGTCTTTCCTGTCGATCATCTTATTGCAGATAAGTTTGCGGCGGATGCGAATTCGGAGTATAAGACGGATGAAGAAGGGATTCCGGATGGGTGGTGGGGGTTGGACTTTGGGGAGAAGAGTATCAAGTTGTTTGAGGGCGCGATTGCAGAGGCCAAGACGATCCTCTGGAATGGGCCGCCTGGGGTGTTTGAGTTCGACAAATTTGCAGGCTCAACGAAGGCGATGTTGAATGCCTGTATTGAGGCTGTGAAGAAGGGGAAGATTGTCATTATTGGCGGTGGGGATACGGCGACGGTTGCGGCTAAGTATCATGCTGAGGATAAGTTGAGCCATGTATCGACTGGTGGAGGGGCATCGTTGGAGTTGTTGGAGGGGAAGGATTTGCCTGGTGTTAGCGCTTTGTCGAGTAAGTAAGACTTGTGTCCTGGGCACGGAGGGCTATTAGAAAATAAGTGTATAAAAAGCAGGTAGGTTACGTTGTTTTTACAATTGATTGGTGACTGGAGAGGATGACACTCAATTGATCTCCTTTTCTGCAGCTCAGGAGACCAGATGTCCACGGTGAAAACTGCTGAAACTGCAGATTGAGGATTCAGTTCATCAAATACCATTTACTTAATAACACAAAATGACAAAAAAATCCAATTTATTTTCTTCTTATCAATAAATGCATTGCAAGTGGCCTGCTCAAATCACGGTCAAAACCAGCCGGAGCCGTTGAGATAGGGCTGCGCAGAGAAATAGATTTTGCTTTGGAAAGGGGGAATCTTTCCCTGCGCTCAAACACAATAATCACCCTCAACCTTCAAAGAGGGCAGAGCTTTTGGTCGACAACAGATCTCATAGGTAGATGCAACTGAGCTGGAGGTGGATGGGGTAACTCTCAGCGATGCAACATCGATCTCCCTTGGGCAGTGTTTAAATCCAACAACTTCGCAATCTGGAGGTGATAATCCTCTTTAAACAGGTATCCAGCACATACGACCACGTGGAGTGGAAAACAGGGCTTCCCGTCCGCTCAGCCGTACTTAAGCCACTCTTCAAACGTTGGCAGATACGCATTTCTGCCAATTTTGCATCGCCGCCTCCAGGGTGATGGTCGCGCGAGAGCCAGCCAAATGTGGGTGAGTTGATTGATCTTGACTATCTTCTATACTGCTCATTCAAGAATGATGATCATGATCATCAATATGAGATTATGAAAGCATATCTTAGACTCAGTCTGTCACTCTTCTCAGACTCTGAAGCACAATTGAGTGCAGTGATAGAGACAAGTATCAATCATGATTTCAATAAGTGTCTCGACTACAAGGCATGACTTATTCTTATGATAAACATACCTAAACTCAACTAAGCGCTCAAAGAAGCATCCCATATTTAGCATGAAGTGGTCTAAATCTGAAGAGATGAAAGCTGTTGACATTCAGGCTGCCTTTTGAGACTTAGGGCCAAATCTCAGATGCCTTGAAATGGAACAAAGCATGGCACATCACAGGGATATCAATGCACTGCAGCACCTCTGCTCTGCTGCCATCGCAAAATTGGAATGAGACCCAGAAATGGTTGATATAAAGTTGAGAATTGCTGAGTTAATGAAAAGAATAGGCAAACAGCCCCAGGTCCATGATGATCTAAACCACCAGTGGGAGAGACTTTACAACATTTTCACATATTGAATCAAATGATTCATGAATTAGTTAATGTGTAACGTGTTTTGGATTAGTGAGTGTTGTGCTTGCTTGTGGATTCTGTTACTGTATGTGAATGATAATTAACAGAGACGAGAGAACAATGACGAATCAGACATCTTGTGCATGATTCCTCCAACAATGACCTACCATATATCAGGCACCAATGCGTGGAGGGGTGATTGGTGCCGGGTTTGATATTTGGGTATGTGACCTTCCCTGGCCATCTGACGGGGGGTGCAACATCAATGGTAAATTGCGGGATTCTTAAAATTTCCCCAACCCTCTCGACACAGAATTTAGCTCCACAACCCCAGACCCGTCCCGAATAATTACTCATAAGTTGGCAACATTTCTCTAATCATCTGCATAGGAGCCTCATTCAAAGGTGCACAATTGACTGTGTGAATAGGGCACGGCAATTTGAAACCAACAAGATCTTCGGTAATCCACAGCTCGAGTCAAGCCTTCTACGTCCATGATCCAATTTGTACCAGCAATTGACAAAGCAGACATAAAGAAGGATTCCCTCACGGTATCGTATGCGAATGAAAGGTATTAGCCACGAGAACAGACCATACAATGAGTACCAGCTCCAGCAGAAATGGTTGGTGCAATGCATCCGAATGCGGCCACTTGAACAACGTACATACGTACGAAACTTGTAGAGCTCTGAATTGCAGAACATAGTGGAAGCGCCGTCAAGTACGCCCTAACTACGATGGGGTACACTAGAGGATTTGCAAGAGGTGTCGCTCACATCCTGGAGGAAAGCCGGAGTTCTGGGGGCCATCCCCGAACCCTCAACCGGACAGAGTGGCTACCAGATCTCTGCTTGAAGGGATTTGGGGTCATGGCGAGTGTCCAGGGCGCTATATAATCTGGCCATGCCACTCTCCCAGTCTATCTCCTCGCTCATAGCATGCACTATTGTCATCATTTGACACATCCGCCTCTTCATCACTGTCATCCCCAAATTGTACCCAAGCGTCCCTGTATACTTTCTCGGGGGGAGTTCCTTCGCCGTTGACTGTAACCCATCGAAATATGTCAAGGGACGCCTCCCGAGATGCTTCTTGATTGAGTGATTTCTGATGGAACACTAGATCTGCTATCATATCCGTATCTATATTACTCTCCTCTGGAAAGCTGTCGCCAGCCGTACTTTCATAGCCTTGATCTTCAATGACTGTTCCATCCTCCAAAGTCCAGTTCCAGTGCTGGTACCCAAAGTTGTTGGCTCGAACAATTCAAATGAATGATAACACGAGACACACAGTTACGGACAGTAGTGTACCCAATCGGAGCCCATGGCGTAAACGGGCGGCTTTCATAATGTAGATCATCTTCGGTGGCTGTGATAGGTGTAAAAGACGCCACACATCTGCTCTCCGAACCTTGTCAGTCGATCCCTCACTGATATATGATCCTGAACCTGGGACATCCATGAAAGACTGTGGACAACCAGTCCACGGGAAAGCATTCGCATCAAGGGGTGGTCTCTACCCCTCGCCACTTGACAAAGAATTCTTGGTGTCAGCCCACTAGCAACAGCACCGAGCCAAAGTGTGAAAACCTGCGGTTGACGAAAGCTGCACATGATGCCCCTGATTTCCCCCCTTATTCCCTATATACCCCTCTCCATCTCCTCCACCATCTCCCTCCCGTCCCACTCCCCAACATCCAACGCAACCGAAAACCAACTATTTAATACAATTATACGCTGCAATCCTCGCCGTCAGCTCAACAATCTCCCACTCACCTAACACCCTTCCCACACCCACTTCCCAAACCCTGATTTCCCTCGTCATGAGTCCGTATAGATTCCTCCCGTGATAATATCCCTTCTCCTTCCCCTCCCCACTCAAAACCTCCACCTCCAACAACCCCATGTGCATTCCACTCATACACCGCCCCATTCGACACCGCAATGCGACAAATTAGCCAGTTCCATCAGCGACGGGGGGGGAGAATGGATGGAGAGGTTTGATTTTGGTTTGTAGTTGCGTTTTTTAAGGAGAGTTCAAGTGATCCGGGTGGTTGAAGAATGTAGTACCATAACATGTATATAATACCACGGAAGAGGATTCGGGATTGATATGTCTTTGTAGTAAATCACCTATGTATCATGGCATTTGTTTACAGCTAAAGGTGCTTCATTTTTTATTAGTTACTGGCTTTCTGATGACACCCTAATGGAGTTTCACGATTAATTCAGATATGTGAGAAACAAGACGAAACAGCTCCTAATGGTCAAATTTTCAGAATGGCGTTGACGTGATATATTAAAACAGAATAGGGGACATAATTTCGATAACCCATGCATCACTGCTGGACAAAGAAAATCACAAGAACATGAAGGGAAAATGTAGCTGAGGGACAAGGAGGTATTCACATATCACACAAGGAGTTAGAACTTAGAAGTGCCACTGGCACGAGAAAATACAAAAGAACCACCCAGAAGAAATCCCATTCCATGCCCACGCACAAAATAAAATAACAACAATAATAATCTCAGCCGTAGAAAGAAAAACATTATGAGCTAGGAAATGCCATGTATGTTTGAATAAATCACTGTTCAAAAAGAGACGAGAAAAAAAAAAAAAAAAGGGGGGGGGGGGCCAAGAATACATAGGCAAGGGATCGGGAGTGGAGGGAGGTAGTATTACAGATGAGAAATTGTCTTCATAGTATTCGGTGCAAGCCTGATATTGTACTCCAGCTCCAGTTCAGCCTTCGGATCACCCTTGAGCGGCTTGAAGTCCACAACCAGGTCATTCTTCACCGCAAACACCGTATCGCTGCTGAGATACTGATCATCCCGCGGGAAAATCTGCGTCGTAACGCTTTTATACTCCGGATGGCTAATCATGAGATGTATATGCGCTGGGCGGAATGGGTGTCTATCCAGCAGATCCAGCAGGACACCTGCTGGCCCATCGGTAGGTAGGGAGTAGGCGGTTGGATGAAGGATGTAGAGGTGGTAGAAGCCGTTGTTGTCTGTGCGGAACTTGCCGCGGAGGTTATTTGGCTCCTGGTTCTCTGGGTCCTGGAAGTCGTATTTGCCGTTCGAGGAGGCTTGCCAGATGTCGAAGATTGCGTTGGGGATTCCACGCTTTGTGACAAGGTCAGTGATGCGGCCGCGCATCAGGGAGACTTGCCCTGTGTGCGGGCTGCGGACGATGGTGTCGCCTATTTTGCGGAAGGGGGCGTGCGGGCTCCAGAAGGGGCCGAGGATGGAAGAGGAGGTGGGGGATTCGGCGCCGGATTCTAGGACGAGTTTGTGCGCGATTTCGTCGACAAGGCTGTATGGTTGTTAGATTGGTTCTGGGGATTTATGATACTACTGTAATCAAAATGTTTTCCACAAGCTCACGTTTCCAGCCCGATGACGTCACAAATGCGATGTCCTTCATTTCTTGTTGGAGTGCTGATTTGGCCAATGGTGTTGATGAAGTTTACGCCCATCAGCCACTCGTCGTTGGTGAGCTCGACTTCACGCGCGAAGTCGTGGATGTGGCGGATGAGAGAGCCCAGGACTTGTCTGGTTCTGGGGGCTGTTCTGGGACCCATGAGGTCGATCACGGCCTGTGTGAAATCCCGATCATATTTGTGCATACTGGCCCCGTTTGTCTTGACACCGCTTGTGCCAGCGCTGTTAGAAGCGGTGGCCATATTGTCAAATTCTGATAGGTACTAGGGGTAGGATTATCACTGGGAGAAACGAGATATCTGTTGGACAGATGAAGATTTTAAATGGAGAAAGCAGAAGAGAAAGAGGTTAGTTAGAGAAATGGAAAGAGAGAGAGAGAGAAAGAAAATAATAGCAGGGCTAGCAGCTGTTAATATATTTATTCTGGGATGGGCTTGATCTTTTTTTTTTCTCTCTCTCTTCAATGTTGCGTAGAGATAGTGACTATTACCAAAATCCTGGCCTCTTTCACCCGGCAGATCCATCGGGTGTTTGCAGAGGGGAGACCGATCCAACCAGTTTGCGGTGGATCCTCTTTGTCAGGGGATCTCTAAGGGTAAAAGAGAAGCAAGAAGAGGCCATAAGCCATCACAAAACTGGGTAGCAACTCTGTTAGTTAGCTCACTGTCTACTCGAACAACGGGGACAGCCACAAATCCCATCTCCTGACATCCTCATCGCCTTTCATCTTTCGTATTCCTCCGCTGTTGTCTGGTTTGAAGGTTGAATGAGGTTGAGTTTGGCGGCAGTAGCTAGCGCTGAGTCAGCACAACTACCGAGCGCATTTGCCGGGCCCTTATTCCCGACTCGACAGGTGGACAACAAAATTCTACGATTCTAGGATGGATACGCTTGGGAGTATCTTCGGCAAAGGGCTGCGGGTTGTGCGTTTGGCTCCATCCGGACCGTTTGGCCTTGGGAAAAGTCAGTGCGGTTTAACTAGTTAGTTAGTTAACTAACGGATGTGGGAGTCGTTTGATCTCGCCTTTGTCAACCCACCCCCCCCCCCCCCCCTCCGGTTTTGGGTGGTAGTTTCGCCTGCATTCAATCAAGAAAGTCAAAGTCAAGGAATGATGGGGAATCTCCTTCTAGGGTTTACTAGTCTTAAGCATTAATAGCTTAAGTTGATGTTGCTTCGATGATTTAATTGGATTGAATTTATTCCTGCGTATCTTCAAAACATGAAGCACCACTTAATGATTGGCACCTGGACACCACCAGGAAATATCTACACCGTTGAATTCGATGATGAAGCTCTGACGCTCAAATTGGCCAAGAAGACCAGCATTCCGGAAGATGAACCCATTTCGTGGCTGACCTTTGATGTGAGAGATTTCCAGCTCCTTAGCTACGTATATATATATATATATACATCGATATGTATGGCCTGTTTTGTTGCTGACCCCTTGTCGACGTAACACTGCTACATCTACAGCATGCGAAAAAGAACATATACGGCGCCTCCATAAAGAAATGGTCTTCGCACTCCGTTAAAAGCCCCGCAGATATCAGTCACTCTGTTTCGTATCCTTTAGCTGGTCACCGTATGTCCCCTGCTTGAAGCACTCTTGGGGAATTGGATATATACCGGAGAATAAAGATACACACTCATATCTTTTCTCTCCTCTTATAGCCCTAGCATCCAATGCCGATACAAATACCAGAGCCATCTTCATCCTCGCAGCAAAGAAACCCCCCTACAACGTCTACGGAAACCCTTTCTACAACTACGCAGGCTACGGCAATGTATTCAACGTGACTGCAGATGGGACACTCGGCAAAAATATACAAAACTACGAATATTACCCGCATTCGGGCGTGCATGGCATGGTGTTTGACCCTACAGAGACATATTTGTATTCCGCAGATATGGGCGCAAACAAGATCTGGACACATAAAAAGGACCAGGAGACCGGCAAGCTAATTCTGGTGGATAGCATCGAGGCACCTGGTCCTGGTGACCACCCACGCTGGGTGGAAATGCACCCCAGCGGCCAATATTTATATGCATTGATGGAAGCTGGGAACCGATTGGCGGAATACGTAATTGACCAGAAGACGCATACTCCGGTCTTTACGCATAAGATATACCCACTGATCCCACCAGGTACATTCCATCCCCACCGAAACAAAAAAAATAAAAAATAAAAAAAGAAGAAAGAAAGAAAGAAAGGAGGAAGGAAATGCAACAAAGTTTTACTTACCTCTACCTAAAATACAGGCGTCAACCCGTCTAAAAATTATCGCTCCGATGTTGTTTTCAAGAACCATAGCGGCTCGCACCTCTTCGCAACAGCGCGGTCCAACCACTTCGACGTGACCGGGTACATCAGTGCGTTCCGGCTAGGCTCCGCGGGAAACATTGAAAAGCAGCTATTCATCAATCCAACGCCGACAAGCGGTGGACATTCGAATGCAGTCAGCCCTTGCGATTTCAGTGACGAGTGGCTGGCTCTGACGGATGATCAGGAAGGGTGGGTGGAGATATATCGGTGGAAAGGGGAGTTTTTGGCGCGAGTGGCACATTTGGATATTCCAGAGCCAGGATTTGGGATGAATGCAATTTGGTATGATTAGAAGGGCGCAGGGATAGAATTTCGAATTGTCCTTTTCCTCGAATTTCGGGCAGTTGTTGTATGAGTGAGTAAAGTTATGAGAATATCTCGTAACACGTTCGACACACCGTTGAACTGCCCTCACGGTAATGACGTCATGGCGTATTATTTATGTTTGTTTTTAGTTTACAGGCTTACATCGACAACGCAGTCAAGGACTCAATTCCATATAATAAGTATATCACTGCCTTTACGTAACCAGAAATTATTGCGCCTCTCACCCCTCCCAGCCGTGCCCTCATCAAAATGACAATGTTGAGAGTTTCTTTGGCCGTTTCGTGGTGGAGTCCCACCTGATCAGCTCCGGCTCCCGCACTCGGCAACAAACTTCTCGGGCCAAAATCAGAGAGTTGTGTGATAGTTCATTTACTTGCAGCCTCAGAACCTATCTATACAAGATTGAGCATATGCATAGTTCTGCTATATCTGCAGATTCGCGATAATACGATCTCGATTTTAATTTCTTGGAGGAATTAACACTTACGTCCCACTCCACTTGTAGTTATACAAGAGCCTGGGGTTAAAAATCGAGAAACCTTGGAAGAAGTGAAAATATTATACAGCCATTCATTGCCCGTAACTGCACGAGTGCACCAACCCAGCTCTAATCATCTCGAATAAAACCAAATATCCAGGCACAATGGCACCCGGCCTGCTTTACGTAACAATGCAGCCGGGAGACAACCTCTCCCCAGCCCAATTCCACGACTGGTATAACAATGAGCACGGTCCTACCCGCCTCCGCCTCCCGTTTATCGAGAATGGCTTCCGCTTCCGTGCGACGGATGTCACAAGTGGCTCCTCTGGCTCAACCCCAGCGCTCCCCGAATGGCTCGCAATATACGATGTCGCGGATATTGCCGAGTTGAAGCGGGAGCAGTACCTGCGCCTGCGTCGCGATGATGTCAAGAGCCAGCGTGAGAAGGAGACTATGGCCAATATTACGATCGATAGGCGGCTTTACGATTTTGTGGAGAGCAAGCAGGTAGAAGGGTATGTACCGCTGGATGCATTGGAAGCGACACAGGCTGAGCTGGACGGGAGGGGCAAGAGAGTGCTCGTGACAATTATCCAGACCTTACACCCGGATAAGGAAGATGAGTTCAACAAATGGTATCGCGAAGAGCACATGCCACTCCTCTCCAAGGTGCCCGGGTGGCTTCGTACAAGACGCTTCTTGAGCTCTGTCAGCGAACCCACCGAGACGAGAGAGTACCTCTCTGTGCACGAGTACGTATCCCACGACGGCCCTGGTGGTCCGGAATTAACGGCCATAAACGCCACCCACTGGCGCGAACAGGTTATGACAAATGTAGTCAAGGGCCGCTCAAGACGCGTTTATGAACATTACTACACCTTCGGCGCTGCACCGCGGGATCTAGGTTCTCTCTCTTCAGAGGTTGTCACCCCCTTTACATCCCCAGACGGACTTACAAGAACACTGCCCGGCTCCCCATCACCCGCTTCTAGCCCTTCCTCATTCCCCGCCATAGAATCCTATATCACAACGTCGGACGGCGTAATCCTACCCTATCGCCTTGAAGGCTCCACCGACTCGCACGCCCCGCTCATTCTCCTCAGCAACAGCATCCTAACTCACTACGCAATCTGGGACGATTTCGTTACATGCTTCCTCTCCAAACCCGAAAACTGCCAGTACCGGATTCTCCGTTACCTGACCCGCGGCCGCTTGAGCAATAGCGGCGAGAAGCCTGTAACCCTCGATGTCCTCGCAGGAGATATAATCACTATCCTCGACACGTTGCGTGTTCCAAAAACCGCAGCGCTAATAGGCGTGAGTCTCGGGGGCGCAACGGTGTTGAACACTGCGCTCAAATACCCCGAGCGCACGGGGACTTTTATTGCCTGTGACACAAATGCAAAGAGTCCAGAGGGTAATAGGAAAGTGTGGGGTGAGCGAATTGCTATGGCAGAAGGCGAGGGGGCTGTGGCGGCGGAGACTGGTGAGCAGGTTGTTGGTGATCAGCTGGCAGACGCTACGGTTCGTAGGTGGTTTGTAAAGGAGAGTTATGATGGTGGGGAGATGGAGGGGAGGGCGAGAAGGGTCAAGGAGATAGTGAGGGGGAATAGTTTGGAGGGGTTTAAGAACGGGGTTGAGGTGCTGTATATGTATGATTTGGTAGACGAGATGGGAAAGAGTGAGAAGAGGGGCGCCTTTTTAGTTGGAGATGGAGACGGCGTGTTGCCTAAGACTATGAGGGAGATGGTTGGGATGATGGGGGCAGGGGCGGAGTTTTTGGTGGTGGAGGGGGCGGGGCATTTACCCATGGTGGAGAAGCCGGAGAGGTTTGAAAGGCTGGTGAGTGGGTTTTTGAAGAGAAATAGATTAGTTGCTAAATAGATGATGATGGTGGTGTGTATACAGAGAGCCAGACTTCTTTGGATGGTCGGTTTGGACAGTCGTATTACTGGGCACCAAGTGATACGATAGAATTTGCCTCAATTCAATTGCTTGTTGAAAGTTGAAGATGGCCCAAGGTTAAATTTCCAATAGATATAATTGAATAGAGCACCTGGACAGGTTAAGAAAGAATCTGCCCTCTGCTCCTGGACGGGTGCTCACATAAGAGGGGACAGGCCTGCAATGGAGAGCATGATGGATCTCCTTTTTGGGAGGCTGTTTTATGTAGCTTTTGATTACTTCATTGCCTCCCTTTCCAGTCCCCTGAGCCAATGTATCATGACACAATGCCAGGGAAACTTCTGTCAACTGTATGTGACAGAAGTCGTCTTCACAAAAGTCACCAATAAAAGTGAGAATGGCGCATTCTGACATTCACATCTGCAAGTCTGTTGGGTATATGTGTATGCAAGGAAATGCTTTCTTTCTCTTTTTGAATAAATCTTGCAAATTTGGAAAGACAAAAGACAACAATGAAAGGATTTCTAACATGTTTCAGCAGCAGTAACACTTAAAATTAAACAGCAGAGAAATTGAAAAGCTCAGACCCGTAAGAAAACAAAGAAGAAAGGAAAAAAAATGATAACCCCAGTGCTGGTTGTTTGAATTTTTCACATCAAATCACAACCAAATGTTCCCATCATAGTCAGTCAACAAAAAAAAAAAAGGGGTGGGAATCGACGAGGGCCAAGCTGAGGCAGCAATGCTAAATAGCTGCTACTATGACCTTTTCGCCGCTTCGACCTTTTTGAGCTCCTCCCTGCAACAAAAAAAAAAAAAGAAGAAGAAGTCAGCTTTGTAAGAATGTATGCAATAATCAGGAAAGAAAAGCGAGTCCGTACTTCAGCTGTTTTGAGAAATCATCGCTCTGATCATCGTCGTCCCAGCTCTCTTCCCAAAGGTGGTCTGAGGGCGAGACGCTAGCGCCTTCAGCTTCTTCATCTTCTTCTTCAGCAGGCCAATCTAAGTAAAAATAAGAATTGGGAGAAGCGATGTTAGTATCTGCACTAAAATCTGGGTAAAATTAAAGACAAATGGTTGGTTTTAGAAGGATGTATAATCTCTCTTGCTGCGGCGTCGGGTTGCAGGAGGGAATGCGGAGGGGAATGATGGGATATACCTTCCGCTGGGAAATCCTCAAACTCGTCATCTTCTTCTAGAGAAGTAGGCTTCTGCTGTTGCTTTTGGGCCGCGGCATCGGTTTGCTTTTCGGTTGTGGACTGTGTGGTTGTGGATTGGGCGGACATAGCTGGGAATTTGGGCGGATTTGGGATACAGCTTTTTCTTGGAAGGCAGTTAATTCTTAGGTCAGGTATCATAGGCTGCAAGTGTTCGAGAGTCAATTCAGGTAGATCCCAAGGTATCAGCAGGTTTGGAATATAACAACGATATGGAGCATATCCAGGTATCCAGATCTGCTCGGAGTCATCCATCTATGGAGGATGAGGAGGAGGATGAGGATGATGATGATGATGATGATAATACGCGGGGTGGAAGCAAACATGCCAAGCGTCCAAAGCCAACATTTGCTGCCAAGATTTAGGGTTTAGGGCTGGTATATATTACAGCCAGCTGATGCCACCGTACCGTACCATACCTATCATCCGCCAGCTCCGGCGACAGGGCGGCGTCTTGAAATATAAAAACTCCGGGTTCTTTCTGGTCTTTTCTCGGATTCGGTACGGAATATTATCCCATTGGAGTTTGGAAGGCAGCATGCAGATCTCCGGAACAGATATTTAACAGGGATAGAGGCAAAATTTGCACAGAATTAGGGTTGGTAAATTGTGCGCTTGGCAGGTAACTATCTGTATGATTGGTATCGACTCTGTAACTGACGCATGTAAGCTGCGGCGTTCTTCCTAAGGATACTTTGATAACTACGCCTGAATTTGGCTGTCTTCACCCAATTTATCGAAAAGTTTCTCTTCTCGTCTTTTTTAACTCGTTTTTTTGTTCAGTTTTCTTTTCTTCATCATCTTCTATTCCACTCATGCTTATGCGGGCGATGCTGATTCTTGATGTAGCCAGCAATCTGGTCACCTTGCGCTGTCCCCTGTTATGCTGGAGCTGCCGTGCGTGAGCTTAGACCTCTGTTGCCTGTTTAGCGCCCGTCCGCTTGGCTGCTGAGCTGAGGACTTTTTAATAAACCCATGAGATCTCAAATTCAAACTTGAATTTGCTCTGTTCTTTTTCTCCAATTGATCGACCGGTTTCCAAGATCGTCCAGCTTCGATTATCATCCTTTACATTGCAATTACGATGTTTAGAGTGGGAACATGGCTTTACAGCAAAGCGGCCCCCATGAGCGTATCAACGCAATCGCTCGATGCATTGGCTGAAGCGCGAGAGCGTGAGTGGCTGCAGCCCCTTGTACAGCTCCTCAGTATTACGGATTAGACGCTGATACCATTTGTTTTACGTCAATTGGCATGCAGTCGAGAGCGCTCTGGAAGGTATTACCAACCGCCCTTCACCCAGCCAAATCCAGCCCTTGAGATCGATGTGGGCTGACTTGGTGCTATTGCAGCAGCTACTTTTATCATGAATGATGATGTAGACCGCGCTGAAGAGGGCCTGAATAAAGGCGATTCCTCTTTTCATAAGGTGTGTATGCTAGTGTGGTAGTCCATGCGGTGTTGAGGATCAAAAAGGGACTCTCTTCTTTCTCTTAAAGCAGATAGTAATGGAATGAGTCGCTCCCTGTGACATTGCATAGCTTGGAAAAGGAATTGTTGCATTCGTGCGGGCGACGTTGGGTTTTGAGCAGGACATCATGCGTCTTGGTATGGCTACCTGTACCCATTTTTCCACTGATATCATCATCATATATTGACAATACATCCTCTGCAGCGGGCGAACTGCTAGCTGAGGCTGAAACGAGTGCATCAAACGATCAACATAAAGCTCAGCATAATTTAAATGCCCCCAACGCGTTCCGGTCGACAATTTATTCCCCTGGAACCGAATATGTCCTTTGTCGCAGCATGGCTCAGCTCATGGCTGCTCTTGTTGGAGTCCTGAATGAAAGTCTAACGGAGAGCATCAGGGCTTTTTACAAGCTCAGGAAAGCATATATCGCGCTGGATAGTATAATGCAGATGGAGGAGAAATATCTCCAGGCGGAATCTACAAGGAAAATGATGTCCTCAAATAGTTTGTTGTCAGCTAGCCACCCGCAACCAACTGAGCCATTACGGAGCGATAAACTCAAATCTACCGAAGTGAAACCTGATGGAATTTCTGAATCCCTCGAAAAGACCACGCTATCACCCGATGATACAAATAAGTCAATTTCGACTCAGGGGGACAAGAAAGAAATCAATGACGATATTGCGATGCCCTCCCATGCAGAAGCAGGACGTGTATCGACAGATTTTCCAGAGAAACTTTCATCTCCCGGACAGTATCTAAATCACGACCCCGATTCTGATATATTTACACACCCCGTGGATTCATTTGTGCATTCTGGAACAAACCTCTGCTTCGGCCTCCTGCTGCTTCTCATTTCGATGGTTCCACCAGCCTTTTCAAAATTGCTATATATTGTCGGCTTCCGTGGCGACAGAACTCGAGGTCTCCGGATGTTGTGGCAAGCTAGCAAATTTCACAACCTGAATGGCGCGATTGCAGGTTTGGCCTTGTTGGCTTATTACAATGGCTTCATTAGATATTGCGATATCATAGATGACTCTCAAACCGAAAGTGAAGAGTTTATCGAGGGCTACTCGGAGAAACGACTCACAACCCTATTGGCGAAAATGAGAATTCGATTTCCCCATAGCCGTCTTTGGCTTTTAGAGGAATCTCGGATGCATGGTGCGAATAGAAATTTAAACAGGGCCCTTGCGCTCTTATCTAGCGACACGAAGAGCCCGTTGAAGCAGGTTGAAGCATTATGTATGTTCGAAAAGAGCTTGACGGCTATGTACGTTCATCAATATGAATTATGCGCTGAATCGTTTATCAAGGTACGAATTCGAAGTCCTACAGTAATCGCACTTAACACTACGCTATTCTAACCCTCCTGGTGACATGTTATTTAGTGCGCTGAACTCAACTCATGGTCGCGAGCTCTGTATTATTATATTGCCGCATCCACCTATCTTGCTCTCTACCGGCAGAATGCACAGAAGTCCCCTTTGGTCGCCAAGGTATACGCCTCTAAAGCGGTTGATTTATATAAAATGGTACCCTCCCAAGCAGGTAAAAAGAAGTTTCTAGCCCGCCAACTTCCATTTGACGTTTTTGTGGCTCGGAAGCTTTCAAAATGGGAAGCACGCGCCAAGGAATGGAATGTTGATTTCATTGACGCAGTCGGCGTAGACCCAATTGAAGAAATGATATATTTTTGGAACGGTCACAGTCGCATGAACAAAGAGCAACTCGAAGATTCGCTGAGGCATTTAGAATGGTCAGAGAGCCCTCACAATAAACATTGGCACCGGGAGAGTATAGACGAGTTTGCCATCTTAGCTGTGCTCCGCGCTTCCATTTTCCGGGCGCTGGGCAGACACGACGAATCGAAGCAATTGTTACAATCCCAGATCCTCGTTCATGACAAGGCAGTATTCAAAGGCCATCTTAAAGATGACTGGACATGCCCAACTGCCCACTATGAAATGGCCGCAAATCTATGGATGGAGCGATTCTCATATCGGCCACTGAGCTCAACAACTGACGTCCCTGATGCCTCCTCACCCACAAACCTTTCGTCAACGCCATCAGCGCCAAGTTTGCTTTACACTAAACCCACAGACACAGACACAGCCTCAGGTGAAAACACGCAATCCTACGACCGATGCAAGGTCCGAGAGTGCAAAGAATGGATTGACAAGGTTGCGAAATGGGAAACATACGAACTCGACGCCAGAGTGGGGCTCAAAGTTACCATGGCTGAGGAAACGTTACGGAAATGGGAATCGGCCAATCCAAGCTAATGTAGATTTTGATTCTTTCTACCCTTTCAAGGCGTTTCTCCTCGTTCTTCTGGTGTGGTGTTTTTTCCCCATTTGCAGTCAAATACAGCTTGCCGCGGTCTCCAGGCATTTCCTCCTGTTTATATATACTTCTTTCCCGGCTTGCAGGCAAGAAATCTCGCCCACAGTTCAGAATTTCGGACCATACTCCCTATCTTCGGGTCCTGAAACCATCAGAACTTCCAAGCTCGTCTGCCAACCTAGGAGTTTCCTGGTAGGTTTTCATGGTCGTGTGACGTCAATATACAGGCATCCATAGATAGCTTGTTTAGGGTTCTCAGGCAGGATATGACGTTTAAATTCTCCGGAAATCTACCTCAGTGCGGATTAATGTATAAATAGTTAACTTGGCGCTGTCAAAAGTGAAATAACGGCGTCCCCTGGTGTATCCGTGATCAACTTTCTCTGGGAGGTAAGACCATTGTATTTGATTATGATTCTGACGCTCATTGCTCCAGTATTATATGTATCGTGCTTTATTTACAAATTAACGTGATAGTCGCGATGATGCAGTAAAACCCTGTTCCCTTTGACAAACATGGTATTCCCACCTGGCGGTGTCCTTTTCTATATATCCGTATTTCGCGTCCTACCGCTAGAACCCATCCTCCCCCGAGACTGGCCCTAACGCTCCTCCACCTTTTCCAGACATAATGTTCAAATGACGAACAAGCAGTTCAGGATGCTCGCGGGCAGAGAATTGCCTATAGTTCCTCGTATCCACATGCCTCTGTCAACCGAGAGTGAAGTGCCCAGGTCCCACGACGTCCCCTTCGAGCTCATCGGGGAAATCTGCAAGGGCGAACTTTGCTTAAGTCTGTCGACTTTGCTTTGGTGAATGTTGATAATGTAGAGCCTTGGAATAGTAGCCATTTTGCAATGATTGCTTGAAACATGGGATATATAAGATGCTTCTTGGTTTACACACCGTAGAAGCTGGGACGGAACGAAAAAAACTCCACCGAGATAGATTGAATCAGGATATTTCAACTTGTTAACGGACTTGGATGTAAAATGTTATATCTGCTACACAAGTTCGATCCATATACGTCCTCCCAGCTGCCTCCCTGTCATTTATAAAATACATATATGATGAGATTTTGAAGCTTAGTAATTCATCTTCCATTGACGAGTGATGTACGTCCGAAATACCAATCTATACTGCTTGTGAGTGATCACTTCTGTAAATGCCTCTCGTCGAGTTGTGGCATTAGTTAGGGCACTTGGGGCAGGGTCTACGATGCTTTGTTGATCTTAGTCTTGGTTGATCAATTGCATGGATGCAACCTGTTAGTGAAGATTTACGTCACTCCAACTTGGAACATTTCGTCATCCCTTCAACTGCTCGAATCCCATTAAGACCAATAATCCCCTTCGAATTGAGAGTAGGAGTTTCTTGATAGGAGTAACCACCTTTTAACCACAGACTGTAAAAGAAATACCGGTTTTCCATTCCATCTCGCGGATAGAGAAAAAAACAAGCAGAGGGGGATAACTAAGCGTAAGGTAAGCACAATATGACAGGGGTAATATACCGCCCACCATTGAAAGCAAGCTATCAAACAAACAAAAAAAAATGTAAACAGGCCCAAAGGGCGCAGAAGTAATACACGAGTTAGAGAGTATCCATCGCTTCCGTATTATTCACGTTATCATCATTCATATCGGTATCCATATTCTCTTCCGGGCCTGCAACAAATCCAAACTCCCAATCCCCATTCTCAATCCTGCTGACTCGATCCAACTCTGCTTGGTACTCTCTCCGCAGATCCTCTAACGTAACAATGACACGCTTGGGAAACTTGGTTTGCGGCAGCTGTTGCCGTTGCCCTGTAGAATGCTGAGATCCGGTGCTAAACTTTCTTTCGCCGGTGCCAAGACTTGAGCGAGGCGAATAGCTATGCCCCTTGACAGAAGTCGGGAGCGAAATAGAAGCCCGGTGCGATATGGTTGAGGTGTTAGAGTCCAAAATCACCGAGCTGTCCTCCACAGGACCAGCATTGCCAACGACACTACTGCTGCGTGGGCGAAAGCTGTTGCTTGGATCCTCAGCCTCAACGAGGATGTATGCCTCGCTCTTGTCCATGCAGGCGAGAAGGTTTATCAGAGATAGTAGCTCATTGCGCAAATTTTTACTCTCCACGTCATCGTCATCCACCTCCTGGAACTTCGGTGGTGCAACTTCTTCATATGCGTTTCGTCGGATCTTCAAAGTACGAGTGGAGTAGAAGCTGCGATCCCTTGCCTCACGCAGCCGCTGGACTGCTTGGTAAGTTACCTCTGCAGCTCCGCGAATGTCATTACGTGCGATGCGATAGGCTTGGAGAACACGCTGGTAATCTGGGATATCGCCCTTGCCTTGCCAAGGAGTTGCAGAGGGTAATGATTGGCCCTGTGATCGACCGTGTGTTGCTTGTTTCTTTGCTAGCGATAGGAGGACTTCGTCAATGTGAGATGCGAGGTTTGGTTGCAGTGAAATAGGGAAACGGAGGATCTTCTGGAGTCCCGCTGTGCCTGGTCCCGATGCCGCAAGGATAGTGGTGATTAAAGAGGTGAGGGCCGACTTTTGTAACGCAGAATCTGTATATCGGGAAAGGGCAGAGTAGGCTTCATCAAACCGACAGGTTTTCAAGGAAGCGTGGAAAAGACGTGAAAGCAGGTCAGTCCGCATATAAATATAATCAGATTCCGGATCATTCCTTCTCGGGTCAGATTCAAGAGCTTGAAGAGCATGACGTGCAAAATCGGCAACGTGAGCAAATGCCCTGGCCTTCTCAAAAAGAGAGAGTATGTGCTGGAAGTATCTTGGAAGCCCGTTATTGAAGCTGTTAACTGATATTATATCAAGAAGATTCGACGACATCTCATGCAGGTTGCCAACTGCTTTACCTTGTGCTGGATGGAAAAAGAAATTCGCGTCAGTCTGTATTTTTGCCTGGAAGCAAGCCAACGTTATAGAATGTACTTACAGAGAATATATGCTGCTTTCTGGAAATAAATAGCGGCAACATCAAACATAGACTTGGCTACATAAAACCGTCCTTTAACATATGTAGACCATGCAGTGTTTGGTTGAAAGCGCAAGAAATCAGATGCCAAGTCGATATTATCCGATGCCAGAAGGGCACATTGTATGAACACCAAAACATTCGGGAATGACACTTCACCTTGTCTCGTGATCCAGGACACAACATCGCGAACTTGTTGGGTGAGAGTAAATGTCTGAGGCACACCGAATGTCGATCGAGGTTTGATATGGAAAGCAAAGAGGTCCTCAAGAAGAGTCGACAATCTGTGCTCTTGTTTATTTGATCCTTTCTCCTTGGATAATACCGGTGACATCGCATTGCTCGTGCTTCCATGAGATGAATTTCCAGGCAACGGTCGAACGTTTGATCCTAGCCATACCATCATCTCATACTCCTTTAGTAGCTCAATCAGGTTTGCAAACAAATCCGTCCCATCGAAGAGCACGCCATCTTCTTGCGTCAATTCAGTCTCAACAAAAACAGTAAGCAGTAAAAGGTCATACAGCACTTCTCTGTTGAGCCGAATGGTCTCCAGAACACCCTGAACAGTTACCGCACGCCCAAAATCTGTAGACAAAAGTTCGGAGTCCTTTCCTGGAAACTCCAGCGGCATCGTATCGATGATGGAAAGAAAAAGCTCACTTGTGAGCGTCTCCAGCCCTATGGACGTTTCAATGCCAGCAAACATTTTATCAAACATATCATCAGTGATCAACTCCGCGAATTTACTCCGTGAATGAAATGCAGCAACTCTCTCTGGTGCTGAGAGAGAGGGTTCCGTGTAAAGCTCAGCATTCAACGCCATAGAACATGCATGGTTGAGTTCCGGTGTAAACTTCTTTCTAAACGATGAGGCAGCTTCAATAAGCCTAGCTAGCAGATCCGGCCGATCTCTCAACTCCTGATCCAAATTTCTATGATGAAAGGAGTCTTCCAGTGTTCTTCTGTGCTGTTTCAATGCATGGCCATCATTATGTACCAGCAGCTCAGTGCTGCTACATTCGCGAATAAGACAGCATCCATCCGAGAAAAGCAGCCATGGAAGATCAGTAAACGCATCATAGCTAAGGGAGATCGCCTCTCTTCGCCTTCTATTAAGATCATCCGCTATCTGCCAGAACTGTCGCCATTTGGTATCCGTTTCCCGTCTGTATTTCGAATAGTCTACCCCAGCTTCGCTGAATTTTCGCAAAGAAACCGATTCCAAAATTGTATAACAGAGCTGCTGTTGGAGAGGGATAGATTTTTTGTTAAAGCCACTTGCCGGCTTTATCTTCATAGCATCCTGATAGATAGCAAGAGAAGTCGCAAGGACTTCACGCGAGTATTTCCCAGGAAAGAAAAGATACTCCAGCCACTTCTCTGTGGGATCAGCAATGTCAGACGATAGGAAACTTGGTGGAAGTTCTTCGCCCGTAGTCTCCAATGCCATTCCTGTCCAATTGTGGCGCCATGCAGATTCCAGATTATCCAGATCAAAATGGAGGCTGTAAATCTGATAGAGGCTGTTATTCCTCCAAAGCACCCAGAGGACCATATGTCTTCCTTCTTCCATCGACTTTATTTGAAAATCTGCAATATTCCAAAACACGCTGCCAGAAGGGTCTGGATCTGCAGGTTTGAATCTACAATCGGGGAAAAGGTCCTCCACCTCCAGGTCCGATGTCAACGCACCCTTCACAGCCCAGAACTTGAACTGCCCATCATCCAGAGGCGAGTATGTGACAGCGTAATATGCTTCACCGTCCATAGCCCTCTCAGCATTAAACACACGAAGAAAGGCGGACTCGGTGGGATTTAGTGTCGTCGGAGCGGCGTCTTGTTGCTCAGCCGTCCGATTTAGCAGATCCCTCGATGCAACCAGTTTATGGCTTGCTAAATTCCAAATCTTCAGTGTATGGTTGAGACCCACAACGAACACAAAAGTCTGGTCAGAGGTTGTAGCAATAGCATTCGAAGTAGTCGGATCCAATGCTCGCCCATCGTAACGTATCTGCTGGTGACCATTCCATTTAACAAGGCCGCGAAATGAGGAACCCCAAGGTTTTTCATCAAAAGTGATCGTAGACCAGTGAGATCCTATAACATGAGTAAGAAGAATGAAATCAGCCAAAGGATCCCTAACCAAGCCCAGACAATACATGTAACTAGCTATCCCAGGGAAGAACAAAAACAATACATACCGTCATCTCCCACCTTCCTCGTCAACCTTAACAACGCCCCGCTATCCAGCGAAATGAACAACTCCTGAGGGTTACTCGCATGCAAGCGATGGGGATGCGCAAAAGACAACGGCGCCGGACAGCTCATTTTACACCAATCGGCCACATTCTCATCAATCGCCGCAACCCGTCGAAAGAACTCCGGCCGCAAACTAATCGTATACAACTGCCTATCCCTCGTAACCACAAACAAACTCAGCACCTCATGCCCCTCCGAATCAGCCATTGCAACGCCATGCGGTGTTATCCTTTCCTGAAACTCGAGCCGGAGTAACAGATTCACCTCCTGTAGATGGTTGTTCGCCGTCGTTGACGTCGTCACTTCATTCCCGCCCTTGGTCAAGTCCACAGGCCGTATCTCGAGAAATCGATCATCATCACCATCCTCGTCACCGCCCACAACTCGCCAGAGGAAGCTGCGTGGGTATGTTTTTCGCTGGCGAAAATAGACTGAGCCCTGGGTGGCTAGGTAGCGCTTTGCGAAAGCGTTTTCATCCTTTGCCACGTAGTCGAGGTGCGAAGAAGGAGTAATAGAAGGTAAGAGGGAAAATTTCGTACGTCGATGTGGCGGATTGCTGAGGCCTTGCGAGGAGGATGGGATGGGGATGTTGATGATCGAGGATGGCGCCGTTGGTCGGAAGTCGACCTTGGTCTCCTTGTATATTTTGAGCATGCTGAATATAAACAAAGAGACATGGATATTCCAATTGTAGGGGATAATTCCTAGCTGCCTATTGCTGTTTCTTGTGTTTCTTATAGGGGGCAAAGAGGGTGGATGTTCAGTCCAGTGTTCAGTGTCGTGATGTAGTTAATTGATGTTGCTGAATAAATATGCAGTGAGCGAAGCTGTTCGCAATAAAAACTAAGTTTGGTGGATCAAAGCTCCAACCCCAAGCAAATAATCAACGACGGGAGACACAGCAGCATACGAAGCACGCTTATATGAAAAAATCCGTACACTAATTGTAAATAGAGATGAGGATGAAACGCCAAGATACCTCTATAGAGCTAACAGGTGATATATGATCTCAGTTTTTTCCCACAAGGGCAAAAATCGCCTGGAAACGCCCCGCCCTTACGGAGTAAGTTACCTAGCATAGATTCTTTAACATGAAAAACAACAGTATATCGTTGACGAAGCTGCTACATTAACAACATTTGGATGAATTATTTTTCTTGTTATGAAAATACTTATACTAAATAAAACAATGTTCGTGATATGGTTAAAAAATGCTCTCTTGATGATATTTATCCGGTACCAATAGCCCCGGTTTGAGTTAAACAACAAACACCCATAATGAAATGAACATCAAAACCCTCTAACATAAGAATAACATCATCCCCCTCGCTACAACGCCGGGCTCTGGTAAACAATGCAATGGACAGATAAAAAGTGTGAGAGCAAAAAGTTTATAGAAAACATGCGAAAATCTTTCAAATGTAAAAACAAAAAAATAAAGAGAGAGAGAGAGAGAGAGACAATTAATGTTACCTTGATCAATCCTTCTCCAAATCCTTCGGACTCGGATCTCCGATCCCATCCTCACCAATTGCAAATAGACAGTCACTCTCAGGAAGACAGGGACTGTCATAAATCTTGCAGATCCTGGTCTCACCTCTACCCTTCTTCAAACTCAACCTCGTTGTGCTAGCGTGGGCAATGATATTGCCTCCAATCGGCTTCTTCGGGTCCGGGTTGAACATAGCACTTGGCCCACCATCCACCTGCGCAACGACTTGGTTGGTGATAACAACCGCAATGCCAAACTCATCAGCCAGACGTCGCAGTGCCCGCATGAACTTCGCAAGGTGGATCTGTCGATTCGACAGCTCGCCCCGCCCACTGAAGTCAGTCCGGTACAGTGCGGTAGCGGAGTCGACAATAAGCAGAGAAAATCGAGTTTCACACATCATCTGCGACGCTTGGTTAAGCAGCTGCAGTTGGTGGTCGGAGTTGTAGGCCCTGGCATAGGCGATGTTGTCGAGCACCTCTTCACCGACAAGTCCATAGCGCTGAGCGACGGATAGTAACCGGATTGGGCGGAATGTACCCTCAGTATCAATGTATAGACATTTCCCTTCCCCGCCACCCATGTCAAAGGGTAGTTGACAAGTTACAGCTAAAGTATGACAAATTTGACTTTTTCCCGTTCTGAACTCTCCGAAAATCTCAGTTATGGAGCCAGTTTCAATGCCTCCAGCAAGGAGAGTATCCAACTGCTTAGATCCTGTAGTTATACATATCAAGTCGGTTCGTCGAGCATGCATCTCTGTCGCAGTTGTGAAACCCATAGGCACGATTTTTGATGCTAATTACAATCAGTCAATGATAGAGAAATGAAACAGACAATCGAAGATATACAGCATCACATACCCTCCGCAAGGATCTTTGTTGCCTTCTGTTCAGATATACCCTTGATCTGTTCTAGCAACCGTTTAGGTCTGTTCAAAACGTATCACACATGACTATGAGTAAACGGAAAACCAATATATAACACATATACCAAGCACGCCAGGGATAATCTTACGTGTATGCAACCGACTCAATAGTGTGATACCCGCCCTCAATCACCAGCTTAATGTCCCGCGCAGTCAGGCCATTGACTCCCTATAAAACAAGCCCAACGTCAGTATTGAAGAGCAGCAAAGGACAAGGGCATCATGGAATCTGAGTCAGTAAACCCACTTCCAACGCAGACAGTGGTGTTGGTGCGCCCGGCCCCGTCAGCCCATTTTCCTCGTACTCGTTCTGGGTTTCGTCATCAACAGCCATAGTTGCGAGTTGACAGGTTATGGTGGAAGAGTCGAGAGGACTCAAGACGCGTCTCGTTAGCTTCAATCCAACCAGGACTTCAACTTCAACTTCAAGGGAAACCAAAATATCGCAGGTATCGTTTAAATATGCACAGCGAGGTTCTTGGCAGCAAGGATTCAGGTCGGAGATTAGATTTTGGTGGGTGTAGAGGGCGGGGAATTTGGTATCAATTGATGATATGTCGTTGACGTAGGGTTTGACGCGACGGGGTGGGTCGCGACTTCATGTGACTTTAATTTGTCATCAAAACCCAGCTTTTTTTTTTTTTTCTCTTATTTAGTTTAACACTAACTACTGACCGTCGCCTCCAAGTAAACAAATCCATTCATACTAATATGAATCCGCCTCCGTGACTCGTGAACGGAATGATTTTTATTTCTAATAAACAAGGAAGAAAAGAAATGTGGAAGAAAAAACAGAATAAAAAAAGATAATAACTAACGACCCTTTTTCCTGATATACAATGCTGCGCAAAGGAACACTTAGAACATACCACTTTTAGACAAAGACTCTATGGAATTGCCAAAGAAAAGAAAAATAAAGAAAAAAATAGATCTTTTCTCCTCTAGTTATACTCCATCCCAGACTACGTCCAGATTGGAAAAAAAGTAAAGGGGAACAAAAACAAGGTCACTCGAATATGTCCCATCCTGCATTCAAACAGCTTGGGCGAGAGGAACCTGGCTTATCTGGGTGACAATAGCTTCCGTACGGTCCTTTCCGTCATCCCTGTGCACCTCGACAAACCCACTGCGCGTAGCATTACCCAACTGCCCTGTCTCTGCAATACTAAGCTGTCTACGACTGTGAAGAGGCAACAAATCGCGATGTTGTTTGTCATCGACGATGCGGCAGTTCTCCGTCGGGTTCAAATGAGTTTGTTCGTAAGGTGGGCCGCTTGCTGATCGAAATTGCCCGTTTCCTGATGTGTTTTCGAAAATTCCCTCGGAATCGATGGACCGGGTGTGCAAATAGAGGTTATTTTCCGATGCTGTGATCAATCGTCAGCGTTTTTACTTCTTCCTCTTCCTTTCCAACTTTGAAATTACCTGGTTCAACAACTGGACGCCCACAACATACCTGTAGCAATAGGTGCAAAGTCCGACTCAGTGCCAAACACACTGCCGTTTTCAGCGTGGCGGGAATTCATACTGCTGTATCCGCTCTCGTGCTGACCAGCAGACTCCGTCCCCACTTCATCATATTCAGAGCATCCATTATTGTCACAATTCTGCGGGCCCTCCCGCTGCTGGTCATGTTTAGGATTTATTTCACTCTGCGCACGTCTCCCCTTCGTCCCTGAACTCGAAGCATTCGAATTTTGCCCACCAAAATGTGGAAAGGGAGAGCTGACAGAAACGGGCTTAGCACGAGCAAGTGTAGCGGCTTTTGGCGATAGGAGATTGGGCCCGTTTGAAAGAGGAGGAGGAGGAGGAACGATGATGATCGATTTAGACTCTGCACTTGCAGTTCTGCTGGCATCCGAATATGATACCCGTCTAGGTGTGCCAACAGGGGTATTATGGCTTGATATCCAAATTCCTTCTATCTCGATCCCGCTTTCTATCGCCCTGGACCCGAAGGGTATTTCTTCGCTACCCGCCTCGATCATTTCGGGTTTAGGTCTAGTTATGGCTGCGGCAGCAGTGAACTTTTTGAGCATTACGGAGTTGTAGATGTGCACGCCGCTACCATATATAAGCACAAGAACCTGTTATCCGGAAGAATATGTCAGAAAACGGTGTGTGCAGAAATGGTATTTCAGTTGCAGGAGGTGGGAGTAGTACTATAAGACATCCAAGGACCTGGATGAGTTTTTGTGGTTAGGACGGTTAGTGAAACGGTACTTCACATGCGGGATGGTTGCGCAATACACCCGCTGCGCTGCACGCGCGAATGAAACCATCGGGTTAGGGGCAACTCACAAAACACATTTTCGCCCACAGCGCCCATTCCACAAAAAACACCATGTTAAGACGCGTCTTTAGATGTAGTTGCGATACGCAAGGCCGTTGGTATTGATAAAAAAAAATGTTTTAGTTTGAGGTAAGTCTAGTCAGGGCGGAATATATTTGATCGGAGGATCTTAGGTAAAAGGGGGGTTGCTCTGGGAAGGACCTGATGAAGACGATAAATGAAACCACAGAGAGAATTAACGTGATACTGCGGAGGCCCATGGATATTGGCACTCTAGGGAATCCTTTTTATACGGACAAAAAGAGAAGAATCTATATGTATGGAAAGAGACTTAAAAAGTCGACAGAGAATTTTGAGACTGTCGATGTCTCTATCCAAGACGAAGTGCAACTACTCTTTTCCTCGTAGTCGTTACTTCCCCGGATCTATATCGAGGGTGATGAAGATAAACATCCAACATTGAAATGAGGATGAGGATCAGGATGAGGATGTTGAGGAAGAATGTATAGTGCATTCATGCACATCCAGACATGCACAATGAGAATGTGGTATAGAGGCCTTTTTTTGATATTCATGGTTTCGCGATGAGGTCTGCCATTTTGATATTCACTGAAATATAACTTTGCAAGCCAAATAATGAATATTGTATTGGTTCAGTTCAGGGATATATATGGAAAGTAAAAATAAAAAAGAAAAAAGAAAAAAGAAAAAGCATAGATGGAAAGAAATTACAAATCTCAATAAGATCATTTATCACTCAATGTCAACGGAAAAAAATTCCTTCCTCAGAAGGGGGAAAACACACAACATATACAATATTTAGAACATATCAAATCTCATAACTGCAACACATCTTGCAAATTTCATTGCAAGGTATGCTGCAGCAATCAAATCAAAAGTACGGAAATAGATCTTAAGCTAGTTTGTTGGAGGAGAACTATGCAGGTTAAACTGGCCATCATGGCCAGGGACAAAGGGTCTTCCAAGAAACATTGCCAACCACATCGTGCAGGACGTGGCAAAGAAACGACCATCAATCACCCTTGGCCATGGCGCATCCAATGGGTAAACAATGGGATCTAGCATGTCTGGATAAGACGGGTATACCTAGGTCGCAACGCTTGCTCTCTGTCCCAAATAAATATAATGGACAGCTGCTTGAAGCGGGTCAAAACGGGTTGCGGCATATATGAGATTGACTCTGCGCTTCCACAAACAATGAACGCTATTTTGCTCGCAGAGGGAAGTCAAATTGGGTCGAAGCTATTATCGCAAATATCAAATAAAGCTGTTGTTCTCTCCAGTCGCTGCACGGTGTTCGTTATGAAAATCCAGAGAGCGACGATGAGTCGATGATGGCTGACATTTGCGATCAAGGAATAATGAGCTCCCACTATGCATGCATAACCAAGTCATAACTAGTTAATGCAGCAGCTTATTCTCAGGAGAAACCCGAGGCCAGAAATCAGATCTCCAGGGAGCTTCCTTAGCCCCCCTCGACATACCCATAAAGTCCGCTGCATATATCACTCATGAGTCACGAACTTACGCCGGCTGACAAACGGTTGTGGTCGGCTTTTTAGAACAGCTGCATCTAACTATGTATATTCCGCAATCAGGCCCATCCTTCCATCAGTGATGGTGTTGACAGAACAAGTTCTGAGCCACGGTGATCCTGTCAATCATGCACGCGTCCCCCGGGTTAAACCCTGTCTCTGCAGGCCATGATAGGCAGAGCTGGGCGCATGGCAATTGGCCAAGAGGAAATATCCTTAAGCTAGCAACAGCATTTTTCACGAATTGAGAGCCAAGGCTGGTTGTGAAGGTGCAGATTTTATCTCCAGAGAATCACAGGATTAAATAGGAGAGATAAAATTCCTTGGACATATCATGTATATTTTGTTTTACCTTCACCACCGTCTGTCTGCATTGCTGCGTTGCAGAAACGGCTGGGTCGAACGTTAAATTGAGGGGGAAAGCTGACAATTCCACCCCGCAGCTCCAACCTAGGCTTCGAAGGGGGGTTCCAAGGTTCCAAGGCTTCCACGACACATCCACTGGGGCACCGCTAACTAAAATTAACTAACGTGTCCAGCCAACTTGAGCCAGGAGTTAATAACACAATTATATTGGATTGGAACGAATGCGAAATGCGAAATGCGAAATGCGAAATGCGAAGACGAAAATGGAGATAACGGGGTTAAAATATACGGGTTTGCCCCTGGTTCTATGCTCCATTGGTGGATTCAACCAGAGTTGAAAATCCGGTTTGCGAAATTGTATCTTAACCAGGGGACGAACCCCCCAAATGCCACCGATACAGAGATACCATATCGGAGTAGTTACTCCTGAGTTGAACCAAACCATTGAGTTAAACTCTGCTAATATTTAATCGTCCGTCAGCCCCCGGAGACCCTTTAATTCGATCATGTGAGCCCTATAGTTATCGATTAAATAGTTAATTAATCCAATCCCAAGGCCAACTCTATCTTTGGTATAGTTATTTACCATACATTCATTCCAGATATATGTTCGCAGCCTCTCCTTTTTAATAATTTACTCTGCCATTATAGCTTTGCACATCTGGTCCACTCGCTCTAATCATCATGTCCCCGTTCCGCAACCTCTTTCCCAAGCGCCCCCCCGCGGTGACCATTGAGCCAACCAGCGATGAAAACCCCTCGTTGCAGACCGCAACGGGCAATTCCCAAGCCACACCGCAACAATCTTCATTGAGTCTAATTCGCGGCAGAGAGGAACAACCCAATGAATACAAAATGAGCGGTAAGATATTGAAAATATGCTATATTGCATTCAATATATCATTCCAGCCGTTCGTCAACTGATGCTTATATAACTATCGCTTTTCTTTGCAGTTGTCAATGATAGCGGGGTCTATCTTCCGGTACGTACCGAAATATTCACTCCCTCCCAGTCAATGATATATATGTTCATGCCATTATAATAAGTTCATTCCAGTTGACAACATATTTTTTACATAAAAAATAGCCTTCTCCAACAGAGAAAAAGAGCTTCTGGCAAAGGTCTCCTTCCCAAAACAATATGAGAAACCTCGTGAATGAAAACGAACCCTTCTCAATATCTAGAGAGTCCTTCGACTCTTATCGTCGCTCATTTGTATGCTTACCCCCCTTGGCACAAATAAACAACCAAACGGGCGTTCTCTCCGAAACTCACTCACATCTAATTCCGCCATTATCACACCAGGACATCTCCGCCCACTCCACCATCAGTCCACCCAACACGAGCACCTCCCGCACCTCTCTCGACTCCCGCTACTCCCGCCTAAACACGCCCCGCTCAACAATCAACGGAAATACTTTTGACCCGCCCCCAAGGGCTGCAGACGAGGAACCAGAGCAATTTGTCGATGTCGGTCTAAATGAAGAGATCAAACCTAAAAAGAAGGGCTTTTTTGCTCGGTTGACGGACACAACCACTACTAATCATACCAATACGGCGGGAGAAGACACTTCATCGTCGCCTTCGCATAATAGCCGGCCAACTTCGTCAAATCTGGGACTAGGCTTCCATTTTCCAGGTAGGAAGTGGGAGCAGAATGCCGGTGCTGCCGCTAGTGCTGGTGGAATTCAGGCGGCGGAACTGGGGAATATAAATGTTCCTATTTCCGCTGATGTGGAATGAATGACAATGAAACGTTTTTGGTCATGGTAGGGATCGGCATTGGGGTTTCATTTGCGTTCTGACCAATCACCCTTTGATAACTAATGGCTTCCTCTGTTCTTTATTTAAGGGATTTGATGGTTTGTTCCTTGGACATATTTGTAGGTTTATCAATGCCCCACTGTGAATGGGTTGGGATTTTTGAACGGGCTCATGAGGAATAATTTTAATTCTCCTTGAGATATATATTTTGTTAATCTTATGTTGCACCTGGACGAACGACAGGTTTTTTTTTCTTTTTTCTTTTTTTTTTTTTGAATATTTCTTTAGATAGCGGTGTTATACCCAAACCTGTTGGCAACATGATATATGAATCTACTAATGTTAATAGATTATTTCAGCGCCGAATCCCTAGTTAGTTACCCCCTCCTTGGATGTAAATGCACCTTTCCAATTTTGTTCAGGTTGCATTGGTTGGGGGTTTGCCAGATGCAGATGATGAAACTCCTGTTTCTATCCTCCACCATAAATAACTGATGTTCAGTACAATATCACTGGCAACCCAATGAAGGTGGTGGCAATGAAAATAACTAATGCCAATACACCTGCACCTACCATAGATCTTTATGAGAGTGAAATTGAGCAGCTCATTGCGGAGACGGACACGTCCCACTTCGGCAATTCACTTCTGACATTCGCATAATAATTTGAAATCACTGGCCCCGAAGGGGGGGGAGCATCTATACCTAGCAAATGAACTTATGAGGAGACAGCTGTAGCTTTTTCAGAGCCGGTTAAAGGAAAGGAGCTGTTTCGCCAAGTACAAGATGCACAATGTCGCTATGATGCCAAAACACACCTAGCAGAAATGATAGCAATGCTAGGTCCTACCCCCACCACCCAAAGCTCGTCGCGGGATAGCATTCAGTTCTGGGTTTCAAATGGCCCGAGCCTTTAAAGGTCGAGGATGGCAAAACCTATGAGAGTGATTATTCGGCGGGTCCCTTTTTTGACGAAGATAGTATGGCTACCGAAAAACCTCACTGGAAAACAAGCATACGGCACCGAGAGCCAGGCCAATACTGATAGATATGTCAGCAAATTAACAGGGAAATTTTTGCATGAACATTTGATACCCAGTCGAAAGCTAGCGGATGCACTGTCTCTCTCGCTTTTATTGGAGGAGGAGAGAAAGTCTCTTGCCGGTTATTAAGAGGATGGGTGCTTGGATCCAGAGGGGAAAAAATAGCGAAAGAGCTGGTGAATCATCCATTTCTTGAATGGAAATAAGTAATTATAGTTAGGATGTGTTTCGTATGGGTAGTGATCATTCCAGATAGAGAGAAAAGATCACGCCAAAGAAACCACCTATTTAAAGGCTGTCAGCTGAGGATATACAGGGGAATCCAGACAGTGATAAGTGCGATTTACAGCTTCTTCACTTGCTCCAATGTCATAATGGTGCAGCTGATGTTTATTGTCAAGTTGTTAAGAGTTGTAGGATTTTGAGATCAATATTTATCCAAGGCTGGTTGCAAACTGCAAACAGAGCAAACACTCTCCTTGCGAAAACCCCAGCAAAAGTTAAAAAAAAAGATTTCTGAGCCCGTTGTGAAGAGCTTAACTCAGCAAACAACAACAGCTTTCCCCGTTACCCGCCCCAACTGGAAAGAGAAAAGAAAACCATGGTGGGCATTAAGCGGAGAGTTGATACTGCGGACGATCGTGGTGGCAAAAGGACAAAGGTCAAAGATGGAGGAAGAGTGAAAAAGAGCAAGGAGCCCGCGGAGATCAAGCCGAAGCCCAAGAAACAACCAACAATAGTTGAGACCAGTGACGACGACGACGACGATGATGATGATGATGATGATGATGATGAAGGAAGTTTTTCAGTGTCTGTCTCCTCCGGCGAAGAGGACGTAGGTATGGCAAACGCATCATCGGAAGATAAAGAAGATCAGAAATCAGCAATCCCATCGAAAATTAAGGATGATTCGAAACAAGTAAATGGAGCTGGGAATGGTGCTGCCCCTGCGAAAAGTATGTATATATTAAGCTCCCCCCTTCAGATATTATGTTGCATATGCACATCTAACATAATCAATCTTGGTAGGCGGAACCTCATCAAAAGAATCCCATGCAAAGCAAAAAGCACTCGCGCAGGAACGAAAAGCAGCAAAACCAAATTCCGATCTCATCGCCCGCTCCAAAAAGTTATGGGAGCGCCTGCGTCGCAAATCACACGTGCCCCTCGAAGAGAGAAAGAAACTCGTTGAAGAACTCTACTCCATCGTCACAGGTCGGGTGAAGGATTTCGTCTTTAAACATGATTCTGTCCGCGTCATTCAGACAGCGCTCAAATATGCCACCCCGCAGCAGCGCAAGGATATCGCTACAGAATTGAAAGGGGACTATCGCAGTTTGGCGGAGAGCAAGTATGCAAAATTCTTGATTGGCAAGTTACTGGTGCATGGCGATTCGGACATTAGGGATATGATTGTTCCGGAGTTTTATGGGCACGTTAAGCGGCTCATGCGGCACCCTGAAGCGTCGTGGATTATCGATGATATCTACAGAACCGTTGCAAGCACCGCGCAGAGGGCTATGCTACTCCGTGAGTGGTATGGGGCTGAGTTTGTGCTATTCAGAAACGTGGATGGTGCAGCGGAGACAGCGGATCTGGCCGAGATTATTGCGAGGAACCCGGAGAAGCGAGGACCCATCATGAAATATCTTCATGAATTTATCAATCACCTTATTCAGAAGAAGTTTACCGGGTTTACCATGTTGCATGATGCCATGCTCCAGTATTTCCTGAATGCAAAACCTGGCAGTGAGGAGGCGACAGAGCTTATCGAGCTCATCAAGGGCGATGAAGAGGGGGATCTCGTTAAGAATTTGGCTTTCACAAAGTCAGGTTCCAGATTAGTAGCCCTGTGCTTTGCGTATTCGAACGCAAAGGACAGGAAACTTTTGTTGAGAATGTACAGAGACACGATCAAGATGCTCGCCGGCGACATGCACGGACAAATAGTCCTCCTAACAGCTTACGAGGTTATCGATGACACAAAACTCTTATCAAAATCAATATTCCCGGAGCTCCTAAATCAAGGATCCAGCGAAGAAGCCAGGCACGAAGAACTTCTACACCAAGTCACAGACCTAACCGCCCGCATCCCCATCCTCTATCTATTCGCAGAGGACAAAACACGCTGGCTCGTCACAGACCCAGACCACAAGCAGATCCTCGATGAGGTTTTAACAGTTCGATCCGGGACCTCCAAAAAAGATCCAAACACCCGTCGCGAGGAACTAATCAAAGCCACCTCACCCACCCTGCTCGGATTCATTAAAGCCAGCGCAGACTCTCTGGTCGAATCCAGCTTTGGCTGTCAATTCATCACCGAAATCCTCTTCAGCGCCGACGGTGACAAATCAGCCGCACTCGCTGCCGTCGCATCCATCCCCACATCTAAACCTAAGGCCCTGGAGACGCCAGCTGCGGGGCGGATGCTCAAAGCACTCGTCCAGGGCGGCAGATTCAACAACAAGACCAAATGTGTTGTGAAAGTGCAGCCACCCCTCAACTTTCACGGTCTACTCTATGAGCATATTGCTAGCGATGTGATGGCATGGGTTAACGGGGCAAATCCGTTTGTGATTCTCGCTCTTGTCGAGGCGGAGGATTTTGAGAAGACGGATGAGTTGGTGAAAACGCTTAAGAAACAGAAGAAGGTGCTAACTGAGCTTGCAAACAAAGAGCCGGCGAAGAAGGGTGAGAAGAAGGGACCTGTTAGCAGTGCGGCGAAATTGTTGTTGGAGAAAGTTGGGTAGTTAAAGAGGTTGGTTTTTATGTAATGCAATTAGGTGGGAATATATTTTTTTTATATACCAGGCGCATTTGACCTTTTTAATTTATTTAATTTTTTTTTCCCCACCAAGCTTATAAGCTCTTATTTTCCTCAAATCTACTGGCAGGTTGCTAAGTTCGTTCCACACTTGTTTCTATTCTGGCCGGTTCGTAGGCACCCAGCAAATGTCCCAGCCTCAACCCAAATCGTGGAACTTTTTCTTCATTGTTGAGGCATTACTCTGCGTCAATTATTTTTCCCGCGTGGTTCTTGTGTCACACTTATCTTACCCAGTTTCAGTCTGACTGACAGTGTTACTTACCCCTTGTCATACCTGTTAAGTATTCTCTCTTTCTCCGCCCTGACGACAAAAAGATGTAGAATTTAAATGGTCCGAGGTAAAGTTTCAGGTTGCTCATCTCGAGCCATAAGAAGGCCCGTGTTGAACGGATAGAAAGGCAATCTTATTGTCTGTACTGTTTCGTTTAGGTGTATGGTATTCAGGGCTGAGTCTTTGACATAGTTATTGCATTGCACAGTGGTTTGGATGGGATAGACCGGTTTCAGGGACGATTAAACATTTAGTTATACAAGGACACGGAGCAACCTGTCAGCATTGTCGATGAAGTTCACTGCGGAATATACACCATATTCCATATCTTCACCCTTTGTAGATCTATATAAACATAAACATAAGTATATACTCCGCATTTGTGAGTGCAAAAATGTTTCAACCTGTTGATCCTTTTCTCCCCGAGGCTCAACTCTAGCCCAATCCGTTTGGGCCACTTTAACTGCTTCCATTTTCTTTTCTTTTCTTTTCTTTTTTTTTCTTTTTTTTTTTTTTTGCACATTCGACTGAACTTCAACATCCGACTCCAACTTCAGCCTTCAATATCCCCAATTCCGAGTTTTAAGTCAGTCCCGGAGACTACCTGCTCCGCTAAGGTTCCAATGCCATCATCTGCGTTCTTTGACACCGATTGACTATCCTGCATTCTCCCAGATAGTTACATCTTACATCTTAAATCTAGCTATTACTAGTCAATTAATTTTGGGCGCGAACTTTCGCTTCGCTTCCTCTACATCCAATGAACGTCCGGACGAATCAGTGTAGCCAGACATTCCCACGCTGACGCCCACTGTGGCATCAATTGGGACAGGAGAATTAAGTGCTGGGCCTGCAGCCCGGACTAAACGGAGTTTTCACTTCTGCACGATCAGGCAAAGGGATATATCAACTCGACCGGGTTGCTGCAGGCTCACCAACCCTTGCACCCCCTTGCCGCATCATAATTAATTAACAACCATGTCAATGTCAACAACATCTCGTCCTCCCTTTGCTGCAATCACCCCTTTTGACAGCCGACGGAGTTCCCCACCAAGCATCGCAGCTCCAGACAACAGCAATTACAACAAGCACCACAACTGCCGCGAAGACCCTTCTTCTCCTACCGCTAATGGTAATACTAATATCCCGGCTTCGTTCCCATCTCCCACATTGACAAACCCTGACATGATCCTCCCCTACGATGGGGAACGTGAATGCTCCACCCCTTCTCCTCCATTCCGTCCCCTCAAGCTTCCATCTCCGGAGCACTCCGGCTACCGTTGCAATTCTATCCAGGCCGATAATGGAATGCACGCCTCTTCGGGAATTGGCGTAGCTGTCTCCGCTATGGCCAATGCGCCCCATAACTGTCCCCAGAGAAACCCTCCCCCACGAAATAATTGGGTGTTTGCGGGGCATCGAGTTCGTCCACCGTTGTCAGATATTGGAGAGGAATCTCCCACACGGTCGAGATGGGGAGGAGATGATGATGCAGATACGGAGGTAAGCGATATGGTATTGGGCGGCTCACCGGTTCTAAAATCTCAATGGGGTAGTAGCAATGGCGAGCTAGGTAACGACAGGAAACGTGATGGCAATTGTGATCCTGAAGATTGCAGCGCTGAGGATGATGATGATGATGATGATGATGATGGAGCGAGTTGTAGTGCGTCCAGCTCGACAATCAGTGCGCCAAGTGAGATTCTGGACAAATGGGAAGAGTTTCGGACGGCTGGGGGTAGTCGTGCCAGTGTTACACATTCGAAGGATGCGACTGAGATGTGGAACAAGATTCACAGTCATGAAAGTGGCCGGGCCTCTCGGGATTTTGCTGGAATGGAGTCCGGGAAGAACACAGATGATATAGGGGCTATAAATGAGGACGACGGGGTAGCTGATGATGAAATATCCTCTACGATATTGAGCAAGGAAGCGGAGAGAATTCTCGAGAATGCGAAGAAGAAATTAACGGTTTGTCTTTCCTTGATCCCTAAAATGCTTCATTTCGTATTGGTTTTTTCTTAAGAGCTGAGGAAACTGATTTTTCATAATTTTTCATTCAGCATATGGAGGGTAATCTCAATCGAGCGCGTTCTTCATTGCGCATGACTCCGTCGCCATCTCCCCTACTGGGTGCATTTCCCCTGAGAACGCGCCAATCCACTGGTAACATGGGCAGATCATATTCTATAACTGAGAGACGGGCTCAAACTAGCCTTGCTGGAGCTCTGATGCGTCAGAGAGTCTCCCAGGACACGAGTACCAATGGCTTACATTCCAGAGGGCTGAGCGATGTGTCGATCCGATCCTCGCAAAGTAATGGGGGTAATAGAGATAATATGCAACCTCCAATTCGATCTTTCAGCGCACTTGGGTCAACCAATGCATCAGGTTTTGGTGCAAATGACATATCTCCCAAGAGTGATCGCTTCAAACTAGATCGATACGAACCAAAAGCCACTTTCAAATTCCCCGTGTCTACGGTCAACTCTGTTTCTGAAATTTCATCTGAACCCGTTGGCAACGACGTCTCACAAGCCAGTTATTCATCTTTAAAACCAGACTTACTCCCCACCAACGTCAACAATAGTAATCTTGAAGATGCACCTCCTGACAGTGAGAACTGCATTCCGAAAATTTCTTCAGTGGAGGAATTCAATGCTACGTATCCAGCTATTGTTCCGCCTCGTTCCCAGTCACAGCTCCAAGTTCGTGGCCTTCAGGACCAGATGCAAGACCTCAAAAGCAAGGTATCGACTCTGAAAGTGCAGGCACAAGAAGATACCCTTCGCCGACGGAGCCTTCAAAGTCTTCGCACTCCTAGCCCTTTTACAGCGGCAGAGCAGTGGTACACCACGGCCGGCGAGTACGTCGATATACATGGTAAGGGTACTGAGGGTGCCCGGACGGGACAAAATACCGAGAGTCATATTGAAGTTGCTGGTCAGCAGCATGGGGCTCCTGTCAACGCCGATTCATTTCCTGGTCCTGCCGCAGTGGCAGAATCAGCTACGCAGAGTACCTCGGATAGGGATCTGCAAGATGACCAGCAATCCACAATAGACAGTCTTTACGAGGATGCTGGTGAGGAATTCGCTTATGATGAGGATATTGACCGAGTTGCTCTCGCTGAGATTCTAAATGAACCCCTTGACAGCCCAATATCTTCGGATGGCGGGATGTATCAAGATTTTCCCACGATGCCTACTGTGTCCGAAACTACGAGGCATGAGGATCGCGAGGATGCCTTTGACTACGAGCATTTCTTTCTACATAGTGCGCTGGGTAACTATTCAAGAGATAAAGCCCGCCTGCGTAATCGAAGTGTTGACTCTACTGGATCCGTGGAAACTACAAGGCCGGCAAGCGAGACCACCGTTTACGTGGATTCATCTCCACAAAGAAGACAAGGCCACGTACGAAATAACAGCACCGATACTATATCCACGACAGCCACGTTTGCTACGGCAGCGGAGGGTGCCGACTCTCCCGATGAGGGCTATAGCGGCGATGAAATTAACGATGTTTTGTACGGGAATGGCAATGGCAGTGCGATGAAGTATTTTAATACCGGTATGTCCCTTATTCGATTTCCCCAAATGGACCTGATAATCATTACTAACGAACAACCTATGTAACAAAAGACAACCGGTACCGCCAGCAATTCCAAAGCTCCCGTGCAAGCGCCTGGAACACCATGGTCAGCAATGGCTCCTCCTCATCCCCGCCTCTCTCAGCGGCCTCCACCCCTCGCGACCCCAACAAAAGATTCAGCTACAAAAGCCACAACCGCCAACAGTCCCAGGAAGCCTCAACACGCGATGCAGCAGCCCAACTCCGTTCACCAACTGCTATGATCTCCTCACTAATATCTTCGGCCGTGGCCCGATATTATACTCCAGGGTCTGAAAAGGAATCCATAGTATTCGACTCGCAGCTCGGACCGGATGACACGAAACTGATGGAGACACTTTTTCAGAGCCTGGGCAAAGTGGCATTGCAGTTGCAGTTGTCGTCCAATGTCGATAGGCGATCCACCACTGATGAGAGGTCATCCATTCTCTTTCGGAGGAGGTTGGATGCAGCTAGACGGGTGTTGGAAGGGCAGCTGGACGTTTAGGTGGAAATATTAATATGCTTTCATTTTTCTCTTTTAAGCAAGCGACCGAAAAGGAGGCGCTGGAGTGTTTTTGTCTGCATTAACACTACTTTATCCTCTTCTCACTCCTTTCCTGCTTTTCTGACTACTTCTGTCTCCCTCTATCTCGTTTCATTTAGATATTCCCTCCTACGCTGCTCCTTTGGTTCTCATATTTGTGTCATACTAATGTGTTTTTCTAATTTTTTTTTTTTTATTTATTCTCATTCGAGATACCTCTAAATACGGCTGCTGCTTTTTATAGTGTGTAATCATTACACACTTCTCCCTCTTTTATTGGGTCTGCTGTTTTTACCTCTTTTTTCTTTCTTCCTGACTAGCACAGAATTATTTCGTCGCAGCCTCATTGTGCACCTCATGAAACCCACGATTTTATGTCCATTTGTCCATAAATGCCTAACATTTTCATTCAATCTTATACATCTCTCTCTCTCTCTCTCTCTCCCTGTGTGCGTGTGTGTGTCCGTCTTTCTGTAGCCTTATTGCGCCTGTTCTCTGCTGTGACCTGCAATAATATTAGAAGTTATCTACCCACTGAAGATATTCTCATTCCCACCCTTTCATTTACCTTTCTCATCTATATGTCTGTAGAGTATTCGGTGGCTGTTTGTTTCGCGGGCTTTAATTTTTGTTGTCTTGCGTTCTCCTCGGAACCAAATATATTTATTTCAGGAAGTACCTGAAAAAATAGATAAAAAAATAAATAAAATAAAAGACGGACCTACAATTAAGGGAACTAGTAACCTCAAATAGATAAATTATAGCTCTGATGTGTGAGTTAAGAAATAAAGGAAGGGAACAGAAGATTCATGCCTCAAATGAGAGCGAGATTAAAAGACGGAAACCCAAACGAGAAACGTAAAGCCTACGAAAAAGAGAATTATTTGGGAATGACCAGGCCGCGATTCGAACGCGGGAATCTCTCGAAATCAGGGATTTAAGCGAACCTAAACCTGACGCCATAACCACTCGGCCACCTGGCCCTTTATCAGTGGATAAGGTGAGGGGGTTTGCAGTCTTCTAACCAGTCCTGCTCAGTGATAACACATTTTCAGCTTGTTAATTGGAGTGGAACTGGGGGTTCTCAAAGAAAGTGAATAAAGAAAGCATCAAAATGGCACTCACCAAAATATCCAAGAAAGAGATAAGCAGACATTAGAACTGACTGTAACTGATAGATACACGTAAAGATGGAAGTTTGGGAAAGTCAGGGAAAGAAAACTTAAAAGTAATATTGTGTATTACCCCAGAGGCATCAACTTTTGCTAAAGGAGCCGTGTCCAGTTCAACATATGTACTGCATACAAGGTGAAAGCCCAACAAATACACAAACGAAGGAATATAGGACACTTGACTGGTCAGAACACCGCCGTTCGAAAGAGAGAGGAAATGGTCACCAAAGCGCCGCCTATGTTACCGCATTCTTCCTCCATTTTGTCCCATCCCGTCTTCTCACGCCTAACCCCACGCTGTCAATAAAGTAGAGAAACATTCTAGGGGAAAATGAAAGGAAATAGCCAAAACGAAGATATCTGCCGTGAAACCGTCATTATATAAACACGGAGGGTCAAAAACCAGTGGCATCCGCCTCCATAATTTCAGCTAAATTGTTACATACCACCTGTTGAAAAGAACGAAAATCAATGTCCAGGACATAAAAAGATTAAGAAAATATCAACAGCAAATTGCAAAGGGGGGAAAGTAGCCGGGGGGGGAAGGGGGGTTGGTTTCTTCAATAAAACTGAGGGTCAAAAGAAAACGAACAAGAAGGGGAAATGAAATAGTTCAAGACCCAGCATGCTCCGCAACCTTCTCTAAAAATGATAAAAATATAAAATAAAAATGAAAAAAATGACAATCAAGATCCTCCTATGGCTTACTCCTGTTATCCGTTTTCCCATTTATCCATTTCCGGTTCTCAAAATAAATCACAAGAACGAACTGCATGAAAGTAGAACAGCCAACAAGTACAAGGAAAAAAATAAATCAAGGGGGGAATACAAAGCATACAGGTCATTGACACATTAAAGCATTATCATCAACAAACCAACATAGAGGTACAGGGGAATGAGGAAAGGGGGGAAAAAGGAGGGTGAAGAAGTTAATGAAATTCAGCACAGGGCAATCTTGTCAAAAGAAAGACGAAGGGGGGTATATTATATTTATGAGAGCTTCTGGACTGGCTGGAACAGACGAGTACAATACAACAAGTCAAGGGAGCGAGGATTGGAGGGATCGAATTCTGCCTTTTGGCGTTCTTGGAAATATTGAACTAGATGGGATGATAGTTAGCCATGAAAAATAATATATATAAACAAAGTGGGGGATGAAACTAATTAAAAGCCATCACACAAAGGATAGAATAGAACCAACTTACTCGAAATGTTAATCGCGTCAAACCATCTGGTTACCCCTGCGTCGCGGTTGTGAGAGGCCCTTATGTTGCCTGTTTCAACCTCAACGATGCATTCTGGTGCAAGAGACCGCATGCGAAGATGAGTGTTGACTATATCAGCGAATCGATCGTCTTGGGCTGCGTAAACTGCCGGGCGGCTTTCAAGCGGCCACTGGACGATCATGTTAGCATTCAATCGACTTCCCAACAGTGAGAGACAAGAAGTAACCGCTCTGAGATGTTGTGTGCTGATTGGTGTTTCAACCTACTTTTAAATTACCTTGTTCACTACTATCCCAATTTTTGAACAACCATGTCATTCGCTCAACAGAGTTCATCAGTATGATAGCAGCGAGGAAGGTTTGGAAGTGGCCAGAGCTCTGCTTTTGCAGCAATCGCTGTTCGATTTTACCGAGAACGACTTTGCTAATTCGTCCGGCGAATCTCTCTGTCGCGGCACGCATTTGGGCGCAAATGAGATTGTACGAGTGTGGGGAAACTGTCTCATCGATGACGGTGCACGATTCGGTTGAGGTTGAGGATAATGGCTGGGTGGAAGAGGGTGGAAGAGTTGGGTTGAGGTATATTTTCCAATTCAACTCCGTGTCGACGAGGATCCTAGTTGCGATCCAAAGATCCAACACTCCCGCCAACAGCGAGTCCTGCTTTTTGGAGGTATTAAAGATACTATTCCCTCTTCTAACTGTTTAATAGAAATAGGAATGTTGAAAATGAAAATTCTACTTACAGCTTCGTTCTGACAAATTTCCCAAGCCATAGTAAGAGTTTGCTTTATGAAATTACACAGCTCAGATTCGAAATATTGTACCGTCATGGTCTTGATGTACATCTCAATCTTGGTAGATAGCTCGTCGGTATCACCATACAAGATATGTAAGTCCTGCTGGGCCTCAACCTTTGATTCTCCCTCGGAAGTCGATGCGGGGAGTGCTGGATCTACACTTGGCTGAGCCTCAGTTTGGCGCTGCAGGCCGCCGAAAGTGATGAACTTTGGAGGCTGGGAGTCGAAGTGGAAAATCTCAATTCTCCCCATACCATGGTCGAAAGGAAATTGATGTTTGATAGTGGTAATTTCATGATATGCGAGCGTTGTATGCAGACCTACCAAAATATATTGACTGTTAATGGCTTTTGTACATTATTTTGAATTTGGTGATGAGAACAGACCTGCAGAGTAAGCCGTCAATTGCGTCGGCAACCTATCTCGAATACAGCATACTGTCCATACTCGAGGGTTTTGAATTGCCCTGCATTGCTTGCAAGGGTCCTCCGAAGAGCACTGCTTAGATGTCAGCAAGTGCTTAGGTTTCCGAAACACATCTTCCGACAAGATGGAAGACTCACCGTTTTCTTCAGCATCCGACATCTAAGGCAAGCTCCCATTTTCCTAACTAATTGAACCTCCTTTCGACGCTCCTCTGTAAACTGTCCTCTTATTTTTGGTTTCGGCTTATTAATCTCTCCAAAAGCGTCTATGAACCCGGAGCTGGAATTCTGTGGGCTAGGATGGATGGCAATAGGGCGAGGATAAAACGTCGATTGATGAGTCTCGGAACCAAAATCCACCTGAACGTTTATTAGTTAGCTATGGGCATGCCTAAAACGAAACGCCCTAGCATAGATTCAACGGAGCTTGTAGGAGCCAAGACATACCTCGGTGTCCAGGGATAGACCGCCATCCTGCGGGACCATCTCATTGGCTGTTGCAGCAATTAAGGAGAGCTCTGATGAATGTCCAGGGTCCGGGGTATGTTCCGGAGCAAGGGAGAAATTGTTATTCAGAAACGACATCGGAGTTGGGGATTCTGCGACATTCGGTTCATAGTGAGTCGGTGGCGGAGAAGATTGCCCGAGGGCGGCACGGAGGTCGGCCTCTAACATACCCACATACATTTCACGTTAGCCACTGAAACAACAAAATTCAACACTTCCACAAGTTACCAACCAACGGAACCTTAGGGGGTTATACCAATATTTCCTTTCTCTATGTTGGGTGTTTCCAAAGCCGGATCTACCACAATAAGTTTGGATCCTGCAAGAACCTCTCCCGCAAGCTCGTCGTTGTTGTTGTTATTGCTGTTGTCAGGTTGCTTCCCATCAGAAGCACCGACTTGCCTCGAGGCCTCTGCCAGTACATTAAGCCCGTTGAGACCGCCAACTCCATTGAAAACCGTCTGCCTCGCCGCATATGGCAAGTTTCCGGATTTTACACGTCCAATGCGTCCATTAGCTGTTGATTTCTTCGTCCCATTTCCAGTTGCTTTCTCCGGGGACGCTTTCCAATGATGAAGCACCCGCTCTTTATCCGCAGCCGAAATTGCCTGGCAGGTTTTCACCAGATGACCAAGCAAGCTGTCAGCGCGGCCCTTGGGGAACTTCTGCCCGCAAGACTTGCAAGTATGCTCATAGCGATTGCTCGAGTCCATGAGCTTGGCCCCGCGATTAAAGAATTCGCGGACAATACAGTTTGGCCTGCGCCCCATTTTTGACGGGCGGGAGCACCACGGCTTGCTCTTCGCTAACAAGCAAAAAGGGCAGTGTCTGTTTGCACAAGGGGTTCGAGTAACAAGGGGATGGGGGTTGGCTTGTTGGCGAAAGTCGTTCTCACAGTACTAAATGGGTCTGTAGTATATACAAATCTGTGATTTTGACGCCAGTGTGCAGGAGTAAATTGAGGAGGAGAGACCTTAGAAACCGAACAACAAGCCGTAGAAAGATTTGATACAGAGACACTCCTTGTCAAAGGAAGTACAGAAGTGTTTGCAAACAACTCTTGATAGCTCTGAATAGGTGTATTGTGTTGTGGTATTGATACACAGAGAGCTACAAAAAAATGCTGGCAAAACCTTTGCGAGAGCGGAATATGTTGGCTCTATCCAGACCGCCTTGAGGAACGAACTGAACCGGCCTGATAAGACACCGGAAAATATCTTCTCCGGAGTGTATCACGTGGAAATACTTGGCGCGCTGAATCAGCCAGGAGGAACTCGGAACCTCGGAACTGCGGAAGGCAACAACGGCGGAAGAGCTGCTTGGCACAAGTTTTGGCTGGAGGTAAAGCTTAATATAGTCCGCGGATGGAACTGTATACGGAGTATGGGAGAAGAAGAGGACAACGGACCTCGAGAAGGGGAAATGAGGAGAATACAGAACCGCCAAAATCATTATCATATTGCGCATCACGCTCTGCAAATAGTTATTCAAACTGACTAGTTAGCAAATACGATGGTTGGGAGGACGGAACGGCACACCCAGGATCTCAAAGATTCTCTTCTCATCCCGGCTCTCAAGCAGATGTCCGCTGTGCACCTTGACTCTGTTCTCCCCCCGCTTTACATCCGCAAATAAACCCCGCTGATTTAAACACATCCCCTTCTTGCTTGCCAGCAACCTCAAACTCCGGTTGAAAATATCATTGCCAGTGAAGTAAATCAGAGCCGCCCCAATCTCATCCCCAGGCACAAAGAGAAAATCAATCCTGCGCCAGACAGGGTTTCCAGGTAAAGCGCATGCCCCATGCCACTTCGAACCCTGCCCCCGATGAGCCACTGCAAGACTTACCTGCAGGAAATTCTGCTTGAATAGCTCCGGGATAACTCTATCCGTCATCAACACGCAGATCTCGCTCTGCGAAGCGCCATCCTTGGTAATGAGAAGGTCTATATCTCCGCTGCTTGAAGCGCCGCGTCTATAGGAACCTCCTATGAAGACCTGCACAGCTGGATCCACATTGCAAATCGCCTCTTTTACAATAGCAACGTGTGCTTCGACCTCTGCGCGCGGAATTCGTTGCATGAAGTCGTCGTAATGCTCGATGCCAATGCGCTGGTTCTTCGTCAGGGATGCCTTGGATTTCAGATCCTCCAAGGATTGATAGCCCTTTTGGATCCATTTTGACGCCTGTGTGAAGCCGACCCCGTAGATATTTAAAAATTTGGAGAGAATCATATCCTGCGGCTCCATCTTGGCTTCTTCCAGTCGTCGAAGTCTGTTGGTCCAGACGATCTCTTCAATCTTACTCGCGAGTTGTTCGCCAATACATGGAATTGCAAGCGCTTGATCCTTTGTGACTATCTTATGTTTTTGCTTTCGCAAGGCACTAATGGCCCTTCGATAAGCAAGTGTACGCCACCGATCGGAAATGCGATTATAGTATTCCAACATCTGCTGCAAAATTTCAATCGTACGAGCATTTGGATTGTCCCGGTCTGTGTGTCCATCATGTTTGTGCAAACAACTGAAACTCTGCTGCCACTTCGGATCTCCAGCAGAGCTTCTCTTTTGTTTTGCGTCCTTTCGTTTGCTAGCTTCTGAATCCGAGCTTGAATGTGCTTCCGAATCGGAAAGCGGCTCTGCATCTTCCTCCTCCGATTCATCTAAAGGCTGGGGTTTTTTAGCGTATCTCGAAGACGAACAATAGAGACTATCTCGATTTCGCTTACCAGGCCATTTTCTGCTCTGGCTTGTTCAGTTACTTCATCTAGAATATCAGGTTCCCTCACAGAGGACTGCTCGACTACACGATCGTAATCATCTGGGCGGTGAGCATCGGGAGAAGTTGGTCGAAATGGAGTGTTGTGAGGTGCTTGACATATCGTTTGTGATGCAGCGGGAGTTTCCAGATTGTCCGCATGGAGAGCAGGCTTCAAATGTGGCGAATCATCCATTCCAGACTCGTCTGCCCTTAATGCCCTGGTACTCCTTTTACACCCCACGGGAGCTCCATTGACGTGGAAGCGAGTATGGCACGGATTCATGAGTGAACCAAATGTGATACACTCCGCCGGGTAGGATTCATTTACCAAAAACACGGAGGACTATAAAATGAGTGGTGAGTAAAACTAACTCATGGGACGAAACCAGGCAACCTACCGGCAACGCATCTCGCTTCAAATACTTTAATACATCACTGAAGGATATTGTCTTATCTACTACCACATGAGTCACCGTATCATTCCATGAGAGTAAACGGGAAGCTCCGAATTCAAGCGCCTTATTGATCCGCATGCGACGTGCAGGAGCGATGTCATCATTAGGAATGAAAACTGAGTTAAATGAACTGCGTTAGTGCCTCAAAAGCGTCATTTATCTCAACAGCAGGAAACATGTGAGGCGAAACTGACAAAACACCATATCCTTAAAGATTTGCTGGTGCTCCGGCCGGAGGCGAATCGTGGACTTTTGTCTTCTCTTCGCTGTCGATGACTTTCTAGAAACACCATCCACGGTTGATCGTCTCATTAGGGCCGCAGATCTCACGGGTGGCCTTCTGTCTGATGGCACAGCCGTAGGTACGATATCCTCCTGGCCATCACTGATTTTATGTCGTTTCAAGCTATGGCAATCTGAGAACATATTAAGTCTCCCCGGTCCTGGACTTCGTGATAGCGTTCGGTTGGGAGAATTTCTTTTCCTCGCTTGCCTCAGCAATACTGCAAGCTCATCAACATCCTGGGAGCTATCACTGTACCCGTCGAATTCATAGAGAGACTTGCAGAATGTTTCCTTGTCCGGTGAGTTTTCTGTGCCGTTTTCCTGCTTCATCTCGGTCTGTAGTGAAGCGGACCTCGATGCAGCTTGGTGACGTTTTTAGTGGTGTTAATAATGTAGAGGGCAAAATATTATCTATCCTGTAGTAAACAGTTAATTTAAATGTTACATCCAAAACAACAGTTGTATTAAGTAAAATATCAAATTGATATTTTGTCAACGTGAAGAAAACACGGTCAGTCAAAAGTCGGGACACGAACAGTGATCCGGGTCACGTGATCTACATCGTTTCCAACCTGGATTTGCATCATGAACCTCCGGCCATGATTTAACTCCGCCGGAAATGGACAATCGGGCACAAGAGATTGCGCTTGGGAATCTCAATCATGTCAAAACACTCCTCGTTCTTACTGTCCCTTAATTCATTCATTTCTCGTACATCCCGGGGTCTGCAACCACAACTCTATTCTCGCAGTGCGTCGACATCTTCGCCCGCACCACTCGGAGGGGGGCCTTCGGGACCTCACCGGGACGATAACCTTCCTCCCCCCACCAACAACAAGATTGAGACAGATCCATTAGCGGAAAACAAGAATATAATAGGAGAATTTACTCCGAAGCCACTCAATCGCCCTCTGGGTCTTCCTTATCCCCCACAACCAGGACAGAATACGGGTATCGATACGAGGACACTCCGCCAACGACGGGACGATTTTGTAGACTATGAAAAACATATTGAGAGACGGAAGGAACTGTAGAGAAACTACCCCATACGGAACCTTTTTGCAACTTTCCGATTGCTGGCAAAGAGTAAATAATATCAAAATTGCTAATATACTATCCCGCTTCGCGGGAACACAACTATAGGGCCCGACAAGCTGCCAAACCTTACTTTCGTGAATGGACAAATATGCGCTATCACAAGGGCAAAACCTTCATATCCAACACCCGCCTCTTCAAAGCCGATAAAGCCCTTTATTTCCCCAATATATACGGCCGCACACTCTCCCCTTCAACACCCATGCAGGACACCACCCCGATCCTTCGCAACAAGATATCCGTCGTGAGCATATTTTCCAGCCTCTGGGCTGAGCGCCAAGTCGCCACCTTTGTGAACCCGCAGAAAAACCCCACACTGCACCAGATTTTGAAAGAGTCGCCCAATGTGGCTCAGCGGGTTGAGATCAATTATGAAGACAATGCGGTGAAGGCGTGGCTGATACGCATGTTCATGTGGCGGATTAGGAAGAAGATGCCGCCGGAGCAGCATAATAGGTATTTTTTGGTTAGGAAAGGGTTGACAGAGAGCTTGAGGGAGAAGATTGGGATGATGAATAGTAAGGTTGGGTATGTTTATTTGCTGGACCAGGAGTGTAGGATTCGATGGGCTGGTAGTAGTATTGCGGCAGAGGAGGAGATGGAGTCTTTGAATAATGGGTTGCGGAAACTGATTGAGGACAGGAGGATATGGAAGGGTCTCAATGCCCTCTCACAAAAGACTGAAGGAAATGTGTAAAAGGTGTATACCCCAGTTTGGAAGAATGCATATGTATATAACAATCGCGTCAACTTGAAGGGTTGAAACTTACTTATATCCTTCGAAAAAAAAAAATTAACAAAAAAAACATATGCAAAATGAGCAAAAGGAATAAAAATACACGTCTGCTGATTAGTAGTTTCCCAAGTAAATGAATAACCCCGTCTCGTCCTAGCTCCGCCTGCAATAAAAAGGAAATAATAAAAAAAACTCTCAGGTTGTTGCATGTCACCTGAAATATAACACCAACAAGAAACAAATCCCAATAAATGCACCCAGAACAATCCCATCCCTCCTTCTCTTCGCGCCAATCTTATGTATCAACGAATTCATCCCGGGAACCTGGCTCGCGGCACCCACAATCCTTCGATTTATCCTGGCCAGTGACTCCCTCTGCAGACCAAAATTCTCATTCACTGCATACGCCTGGCTCAGCACACTATCCATCATATTGTGGCTGTTATCGAGACGCCCTCTCTCCTCTAACATGTACTCGGCTTCGGCATTGTTCTGGTTTGAGGAGCGGTATGCATCGATGTCTGACCGAACGTTGGAGAGTAGGTTGGCGCGGTCACGGGTTTCAGCGATGGCGGAGTTTAGGCGCTTGAGTTCATGTTGGTGGTCGCGGAGGATCTCACGGTGGCGGGAGAGGTTGTTCTGTTTTAGAGCGGAGGAGGTAAGGGCTGATTCGGAATCGAGGAGGCGGGCTAGTTGGGATATGAGGGCTTCGCGCTGTTATTTTCAGAAAATGTTAGAAATAACAGATGTTTGCGGTTGGATACGATAAGCCAACAGATGGGAATCAGGAAAGAGGTTTTAATATCCGTACCCGTTCTAGAATATCGTTGATTTGTGCTTCGGCTTTCCGTTCCTCGTCTGAAGGGGTTATTGACAGCTGGGTCATGGAGGCATATTGCGCATATGTGTGGAATAAAGATTCTGTCTACGATATATATTGTTAGTACACAACGGACACATTGGTAAGCCATCCCGTTTGGCCATAGAGTAGCTATAGAGATATATATCGTTACCTGAGTCTCAAGTGACCGAGCCTGCTGTCGCAACTGAGCCCATCCAGTCCCCGTTGACACCATTCTCTGTACCTCGAAAACACACTCTCGTTCACTTCAAGCAATTACAAATATATGCGCCGGAAATATCAAGAATCGGTCAGTACTTTCAAAATTAAAATCTCCCCATCATCGCCAGGCCATAGTTGTTCTTCTGCATATCGTAGTTGTCTCCACATACATATTTAATGATGCGATCTTGGAACCTTTGAAGTTTAAAGAACAACACCATCACGTGATAAATCTCGGACTCGCCTATTTTCCGGCTCCGCACATTCTCTCGAAATTAGCCCTAGTCCCACAACGAACGAACGAGCAAGACAACAATTTGACATCTTCAGTTCCAAGTCAACATACACCCAACCCGCCCTCCGCCCGACGTCACGACATTCCGCCATCATGGTATGTTTGAATCTGTATGCGTGATGGATACCGAGTTTATTGCTAATTCAGGGGAAACACTTTTAGTCGACAGCCAAGGTGAAGACCGGCCAACTCTGGGGCAAGAACAAGGAGGAGCTCACCAAACAGCTGGATGAGCTGAAGACTGAACTCGGCCAGCTCCGTGTGCAGAAAATCGCTGGAGGTGCCGCCTCCAAGCTCACCAGAATGTACGTTTTGTCTGGATATCTTGAAACAGGTCCGATTAGGCGAGTTTAAGGAAATGGAAGGAGAAAGAGCCTGTATTTGACCATGGAGAGGGACAGGGCAGAAAAGGAAAACAGGGGCAAAATGGAAGAGAAGAGGAATTACAAATTTTGGACAAAGGAAGATTAGCTGACAATAAATCATTTGGGGACGGTTTTTGCAGTCACGATCTGCGTAAGTCGATCGCCAAGGTCCTTACCATCATAAACGCCAACCAGCGCTCGCAACTGCGCCTTTTCTACAAGAACAAGAAATACCTTCCCCTCGACCTCAGGCCAAAGCAGACTCGTGCCATCCGAAGACGGTTGACGAAGCATGAAGCATCGTTGAAGACGGAGAGGCAGAAGAAGAAGATGGTGCATTTCCCTCAGCGGAAATATGCTGTGAAGGTACGATGATTTGACGACCCCTGGATATTTCAAGGGTGGGCTTCTGTATATTACATGTATGCGGAGGTTGTGCAGTTGAAATGCTAACAATGGGTTTCTTACAGGCATAGGTAAGATAATAGGATGCGGGAGGAGTTGGAGAGCGTTTTCTTGCTGGTTGAACTTGACGATATCATTTTTTTCTTCATATCGGTTGAGAAAATAAACAAATGTATCCTAGCTGATGCAATAGAGTTAGCAGCAGTTTCATGAAATTGTTGTTCTTACGGTTCAAATATGTTTAATCCCTTTAATCCTTCTATATCCTCTTCTCATAGAGCCTATGACACCTGAAGACCAGAAGTGGTTACAGATTTGATTGTCTTCTGTCACACCTTCCTACTGATTTCACAGGTCCCACGATTTCCTCAACGTCGATAATATTCTTTATTCCTTTATTCATGACCACCCCTCATCATGAAACATACAGAGACAACCCCTCGGACAAATTCCCTCTGGATCGATCCTGATTCTCAGAACTGTCTATATATTACGAACTCGTGAATAATCCGAATCCACTACGTGGATGCAGACCAGGACCATGAGATTCTAAACCAAATGGATCCCGATCAGATCTATTTAACGTCAACACTTAGCTATCATACACACAAAATAGCCCCGTTTTTTTTTACACCCATTTCCCTTTAATACATTATTGCTAAAAGAAAGACAAGCACAAAAGGAAAAGTCACACAACCAACGTACGAAACCACCCTACCTATATACCGGAAACGGCACCTGATTCAACCTCTCCACATTCTCCATCGCAAACAACCCCCCACAAACACACATCCTCAGCACCCCAATCTTCCCAATCCACCTATACATTCCAACCGATCTCGGCAACGAGACATCCTCCGAAATTTCGCAGCAGCGTACACATCTCCGCTTCGCCACAGACGCATCCAACAACCGCCCCACATTCCTCTTCAAAATATCCACATCATGCGTCCGCTTGAACAGCTCTGTCCTCTTATCATCCCCAATCCCCAACCAGCTATAATCATACAGTGCCAGTGCCATTCTGTCAACCTCCGGTCGAACTACCAGAGGCATCGTCTCCGTCAATATCGACATGATGACCGGCTGAAGGACCGACGGGATGCTGCACGTGATTAATAGTTCGCGTTCGGGGGCGTTTCGTTCCGCGTTGCTGAACCCCGCGGCTTGGTATGAGCGGGCGACGAGGCTGTCGATGTGCGCAAGCATCTTTTCACATACGTCAGGCTTTAGGGATGCTTGTTCGATGGCGTCGCTGATGCTGGCGAAAATCTGGTAGGATTCGCCGCTTAGATTGTTGGCGGCTTTGAAAGTGAGAGGAAAGCGATTGAGGTAGCGGAATATGTGGCGGAGAAAAGAACGCGGCACGCTAGAGAGGATTAGGACTAGGGAGAGGGACTCGTACGTTTTGCCTTTTTTTTGGGAGTTAGTGTTGGGAAATGAGGGGAGGGGAGGTCATAAGAATGCAATAACTTTACGAACTTGATAGAGAAAACGAGCTTCGATCGGTTGGGATGGTATCAGCGATTTCGAAAAGGTTGTCGACCAAGTATTTTGCAAGGTCAAGGATCCACTTGACATTTCCCAGAACCATGCGGAGTACCTCTTTGATGAATGTTAGGATGCTGTTATATTTTTCTTTTGGAGGGGAGCTTTATGCCTTGTATTGCAGCGGATGCCAACATACCAGGCTCACATGGAGTCGATTCTCTACCACTCTTGAGGTAGTGTGAAAAGGTTAAAATCAGTAGCATAATCTGCCGAATATTTAATATTATCCAAGGAACGGCGGATGTGAGAGCTCGTGGCTGGAATCGTGATCTGAACCCTAGAACGGCTTGCATGCTGAGCCCCTTTTGGATAGACTGGTTGTTTACCAATTTATCTTGCTCAGTAAAGTCGACGCTCATGAATAAAATTGAATAGACTTCTGTGACAAAAGACATTTGCGCATCTAGAATATAATAATAATTAGTAGGGGAACGGATTCTGGTCACCATGGGATTACAAAGTACTAACCAGGATTAAGCTGTCTTATGATCACTGAAAGTATATCGTCCGCACTGGTATCACTCCCACATGCTCTAACATACCCCAAAGCAAGTGCTGCTATTGCGCATGTGAATTTATCTTCGAAACAACGTCAGCTTACCAGCTTGACTCTCTCAAATGCATATCCAAGACAACGCACCGTTGTTATACATTCCATCTTCCATACCATACGAATGTTCCATGTACCGCAAATGCATCTGCCATTCCCCATCAAGAACCACCGCCAGGCAACCACTCGGTGAAAATGCGATGTGTAGGCCTTGCAGAAATATCAGCACAGAACTTTCGACAATTAATATTGATGTAATTGGTGGCTAGGCAAATACCTGACGCGTCAATTGGAAAAGTGAATCCAGCATTTGGCATACTCGTCACAACATTCACGTCTTCATTCTCATTGACGGGTCTCATGGTTTTAGCATCAAAAAACGATATGGAGCTATCATCGTATGTGATGATAACCACGCCGCCGGCTTCCATGTGGTCGATTGATACCACAAATCTGTCGAAATAGATGTCCTCTTGTCTCCTGAAGGCTATTTTAGACTAACAATGGGAGTTTAGTAAGAGGGAAAGAAAAGGCAATACAACAAGTTACTCTGTCAACACAAATCTTCGAATATGTTGGAAACCTCACCTTGGGGTTAGCAGCAATTTTGTTCGATGCAACATCGTCGAAGCTTGGGTGTAAGGTCTGAGCCATTGTGTCTAGCTGCCATCGGATAAGAACGCTCGAGGGCACAGAAGGATGTGGTTGACCAAGTTGACCATGAACGGGGATGGAAGCAAGAGCTAATACGCAGGGACCGGAAGCACTCTGTGCTCCTGGAAGAACCTGAGGTGCGGTTATTATCTCAAGATGAGTAACCCTGTAAACTGCCCCGTTGGCCGCTGAGAAATCTGATAAGTTTTCCATGTCGTGGACCGGCGGATGGAAAACGTCACTCAGAGTATCGGTCTTGGTGCGCAATATTTGGAAACTGGGAGTTGGAAATGGATTGGGCTGTCCACCCTGTTTAAGCGTTTGATCCCACTCTGGAGGATCCCATTTAACTTGAACACGGTAAAAACATATTTCCCTGCATTCTGAATGGGTCGCGATGGAAATCCCGCTTCCTATAAAGGCAAGTTTTCAGATCATGAGCTGGCGTTGTAGAAGTCATATATATTTTTCACCAAGGGAATATTTTACCTTCCGCTGGTGCCATGGCGGCATGCGTCAATATCCCATCTGAATACCCAATAGACGTCAATTCAGCGGATATCTCCGCCCATCTCATGTCTGGATTCTGGTAGATGATTTTAATGTGACCGGATTTGGTCACCAGGACCAGGCCAGACTTATTAACGGGATGCAGAGGCCCCAGAGGGCGCCTTCGATGTGCTGGATAGCTCCATCTATCATCCGTCCGTGTTGCCTTATGGAAGCCAAAGAGCTATCAAAGATAGAGGCAGTAAGATAAGTGAATGTATGAGGAATGTATAGGATAAAATGAAACGCACTTACCGGTCGGTTCACACTTAACCACATCAACCCAACAGGCTGGGCCCAATCATCATCAGGGTCTATGGATGCTTGCCGTGCGAAATTAATAGTATTCAGCGTCGTCAAAATCGTGACAATTGAGATGCGTCCAGAGCTATCCACGATGGCCAGTTCGGAGCCAGCCTCGTTCCAGAGAAGATGGGCTATGGTGTGGATGCCGTGGGGATCAGTGATCTGATTAATGGGGGCTTCATCACTCAATGTCCATTTGCCGTCATCTGGTCTACAATAGAGATATCGCAGATGGACTCTCTGACCGTCTTGTGAGACGTACGCAATTGCCCCAAGCTTTGACCATGCAACTTTTCTAGGTAGCGTTAGCAATGTTATTCGGGGAAAATGAGATAATATTAACATACTGACAACATCCCGAAAGCCGTAGCTCGTCGAGTCTTTGGGGTAGCCCTTTGATGGTAGGTGCTGTGGCTTCCAGCCCTAGCTCCAGGGAAGTTGGATCCCCAAAAAGATCATCAACATCAATACTGTCTTCCATGATCAATGGCATTCTGAGACTGTTTCCCCCTTAAACCCCCTTTCTCACGGTTACTTGCGTAAATGCGCAATACAGCTCTTGAAGCCTGAGTTCTGCAGCCCGCGCCGCATGGAGCTTGAATGGCACTATGCTGGAAATATTTGTGTCAGAACCGACGGACATATTGTAGTTCTACTAAATAATAGACCAACCATAGATATCATCTAAGGCTTCATAGCCGCCGCTGGGAGAACTTGTTGTGTCTATATATACTTGGCCCACCTTAACAACACAGGCACTTTGGGCCCGGACGGTTACCCGAAAACGGCAATTCTAAGCGGATGACTAAGATCTGATTAAATAACGTACCTCACCACCGAGCGGCGGATTCTCTCCGAAAATCATCAAATATTCAACATATTCAACAACCACACACTTACATATTTAAAATATTAACAAATTAAGACTATCTAGTAGTTGAATATATAGCTATTTATTAGGGCAACTGTGTATAGTATGTCCAATAGTCCCACAGCCGCTGCAGTGCAGTGGAGCTTGCTGGTGAAATATAGCTTCAATCTGAGCTTCAACCTGCATATCAAGCTGCTAAACACGCTCATGATCTTCCTGTATAGATAAAATAGTATTCTGACCTAGATTAGCATGTCTCCATGTCTTTTTCTTTGTTCTTTTGCTCATTCTCTGCTCATAGAATCTTGATTTCTTGATGAAGAAGAAGAATAGAACATCTATTTGATCTTATATATTCAATAATTGTGGTCTATTCATAATTTCTCTGAATAACTATATGTGGCCTCTCACTGTGCTCAGCTGCAGTAATGACTTTAGAGATTGTACAAATCATCATTGCAAAGTCAGTCTCATCAAAGTTTCAGATATTATCTTCATGAATTCTATATTTTTGAATAGCTTCATGTATCATCTCTAATCATTGTTTTATAATTTTTGGATTCTCCTGCTTCACCTGCTGATAGGATATATAGCAAGTATAGTGTGTATGTAGTTCAGAATGGTGTTGAATGAATCTAGATGTCCAGTTAACTCCAAGAATGGTAATAGAATCAAGAGTATTTACTTGAAGTAGAATCTATGCCATTCCACATAGAAACTTCAGTCAACTTGAAAAGCCTCACTTATCTGCATTCAGTAATTGCTTGCGAAGGGTTTCCTCTTCAATCTCTGTCAATATGTAACCATTTGTATGTGTCTCTGAGTATGATTTGATACCAGCAAGTCATTTGCACAGGGTAGTTTTAGGAACCTCATATATCTTTGAAGCTTTTATCTTTGATATAATTTTTTTGAATTTATACGAAGCAATGGCCAACTATATGTGAGATTCTTGAGATAAAGACATTTTGAAGAAAAAGTGTAAAGAAATGACGTGTTGAAGATAGTTGGGTTGAATATTTGATGATTTTCAGGGAGAATCCGCCGCTCGGTGAAGTATGTTAACTAACTAGCAATCGGTCACCGAGCGGATAAGGACACCAAGCGGATAGTCTCCCATCTCAAACTCGGTCAATTTGCGAAATTAAGCAACCCGCCAAGATAGAATTTCTCGTATAATTTATATAGATCTATTTCTTAAGGTCTATTGACAGGTTCTAGCAGTATGACCAACTATGTTACACTTGCTGCAGTGTGGTGGAGCTCACTTTCTAGGCAGCTGGTTCAGATTCTCTACCCCCTCTTGTACAGCTTGATCAATTGCATTTCTTTCTCAGCTATTGGAGCTTCATTTTGAGCTATAAATGTACAAGCTTGCTTCTTCTTACATTTTTTCTTTTCAACTGCAGCTTTTAGCTTCTTAATTTCCTTTGCTAAGATAGCAGCACTGCACATGGCCAGCTGGCATATCTTAGCCAGTACTCTCTCAATAACAGTCACTCATTCTCAATTTCCTGCTGGCCTGCCATGTTTCTCAGACTCAGTTATCATCTTGTCTGTTAATATAATTCTCATTTGAAAGACAGTCTCATCAAAGTTATAAATATCCTCATATACAATGTCATATCTCTCTATCATATTCTTCACCTGTTGAAACCACTCTTGTATGATCTTATGATCTTCACGTAAAGCTCACTCATAGTTGTATTTGCACGAGAATCTAGTCCTTAGTTCCTTGTAACATGTAATAAATCTTTGAACTTATTTTTCTCTCATAGTAGATTCAAACTCGGGCAGAAAGTAGTAAATCCGCTATATTTCATACATTTTCAATTCAAAGAGGCTGTCATGGCTCAGTCTAGAGTCAAGATGATAACAAGACAAAAGCTTCGATTCATCTATCTGCGACGAGAATATTAAACTGGGAATGTGGAATGATCGAGCAACTGAATATGAAGGAGTTGAGGTCGGAGCGGATCAACATTAATCCATATTCCAAGCAGCTGCGCCGTAACAGAGGCCCCATGAATATTATCCAGTTTTAAAGGCATTAATAGTTAATAATAGCCTTCCTTCTTAATTAGAAGCTTAATCTTTTGATTAGAGAGGAATATTGAATGATTTGAGAATGCAGATGATTTGAGGTGTGATGAATTATGTTATTTGATGCTTTTCAGAGAGAATCATTATGTTATCAACTATAGCAATTTAAAGTTTTCTGGACAACCATGGAAACACTACACTGTATTCAGCTAGGGGGCTTCTGGACAATTCTGTCTTGAATGTTTTTATCATCTACATATCCACACATTCATATACTGATAACAATATCTTGGATGCAAGAATACTGAAGTTTTGTTTAAAATAAATAATTTCTATTAATTGATGATTGATGTAATAAAAGTGTTAATTGAAATATATTTAAAGTATTTAATTTTTATATTATTCAAAGTTTTTGATAGAAGATAAACTCTTTATTATTCTTAAGTGTTAACATCAATTTAATAAAATGTAACTTTAATAGAATCTAGTTATTAGATCTTACAGAGCTCTTTGCAAATTATATACTTTACAAATAGTGTGAATTATTTAATTACTTCAGTTCTCTTTATATTAGATGATATAAAATTTTTAGCAAACTTTAAAATTTCATATTCAAATTTAATTTTAAATTTTTTTATTTTTAATACTTAATATATTTTTAAGAATAATTAAAGTATTTATGTTTATCATATATCTATATAATATTTATAATTATTTGATTTAATATTAGTAAATAATTAAAATATCTATCTACTATACTTTCAATATGAAATTATAATAATTTTATTAGATTCTTGATATATTATATTAATTAAAGATAATTATATGATTAAGTTTTTTATAATTTGTTAAATTTATTTAATATATTTAACTAATAGTTACATAAATTATTAAAATTGTATTATAATTTAATATCTAAATAAAAATTAAAATATAATAAAATAACTTTTATTTTAAAATTTTAAAAATAATTTAAAATAATTTTTTTATATATTTTAAATAATTTTTTTAAAGTTACTCTAAGTATATGCTTATATTAAGTTGAAAAAATAAATATATATCTAATTTTTAATATTTTCATTGAAGCTATAATTATTATTTAAAAGAAATTAAATTATTAACATCTAATAGATCTAAGTATCAGGAATACAAGCTGTGTCAAAGTGCATAATACCTGATAATAATGGACATGCCTAGCAACTAAGTTTGCCATGAGGATGCCTATATTGCAATAATACTGAGATAGATAGCCACATTTGCAACGTTTCTAATTTTGCAATTTCCCTCGGTTTGGGGATGCCGCGTCTTGTATTTTACAATACTCAAAACAGAACTCATTTCTCCCCTTCCCACGCCACTCCCTCCGCTCCTTGTGGAACAAATAGCCTACAGATGATAAAACATCAAACAAGAAGGATTTTCTCCAGAACACCATCAAAGACAAAATTGTCTGTAATTAGCTCAATAAAGCTTATGATCCAACCTGTAATAAAGTTCGCAGCTGGTTTGGCGGCTTCATCAACTTGTAGAAGATATATATCCTGGGGGGAAAGGTGAGAATAAAAGCCATTCACTAGATTTCTGTCAAACAGACCATCTTCCTCAGCTTTTCCATCCTCTACTATAACTGCATCTTGTCCTGTCCCGTCCCATCAGATGAACAACCCCTTGGTTGTTTTGGTTTTGTCTCTGTTGTTGGTCAAAATAAACCCTGGGCTGTGGCAGAATCGGGACTAGCGTCCCCGCCCAGCTGGCTGCTCTTCCCATGATCCAGTCCCCCCCCCTCGCTGAAACTCCACCTTCAGCATCTTCCCGACTTCAACCCTTCTTCCTCCTCTCTCTTCCTCTCTTTCTTCTCCCACAAGCACCATCAATGCCATCGATGCAGTGCCCATGGGACGGCCTGTCTTATATCTATGATTTAGCCTCCGGTCTTACCTCGCGATCTCATCATTCTCGTCTCCTTATACCCTTCGGTATCTTTCCACACAACACGTCGACACGCCCTCAATGGGGCGTGCTTTCGATCCATGGGGGGATTCTTCCGACCTCAGTTCCCCTCCAACTTCGCCATCCCCTCCTCCGGGCTTCCTCCCGACTCCTCCGCCTTCCCAAGGAAATTTCGAGCCCAATTCAGCTGATCCCCCTGCCCTGACACAAGATTGCGCGCCTCCAGCCAAAGAGAGGAGGAAAGTCGAGCCGAAGCCACGAATAACAAAACACCTCGACTTGTCCCTGCTCACCCAAGATTGCTCTTCAAGTCAGAACACTGAGCTAGGGCTTCTACTAAAAGCTCTCCAGAAAAAGCGCAAAATTGTCGTGATTGCTGGAGCGGGAATTTCAGTCTCTGCCGGCAGTGCGTATACTTCCGATAGAGTTTTTATATTCATTGCTGACACGAATCAACCACAGTCCCTGACTTTCGCTCTTCTCATGGCCTATTCAAGACACTAAAAAAGGATCACAAGCTGAAGGCCTCTGGGAAGCAGTTGTTTGATGCGTCTGTATATCGGGATAATTCAATGACTTCTTCATTCCACGACATGGTTCGCTCGTTATCTAGAATGGCAGCCTCTGCCAAGCCAACAGCTTTCCATCACCTTCTTGCTAGGCTCGCAAAGGACGGTCGCTTGATGCGATTATATACACAAAACGTGGACGGCATTGAGACGTCTTTACCCCCTTTGGCCACCGAAGTACCCCTGAGTGTTAAAGCGCCTTGGCCTCGCACAATTCAATTACATGGTGGACTTGAAAAGATGGTCTGTCAGAAATGCAGACATACGTCTGATTTTGAAGCGGAACTTTTCCAGGGTCCTGATCCACCCTTGTGCCGAAAATGTTGCGAGACTGACGAATTTCGCACAACCACCGGCCAGAGAAGCCATGGCGTTGGGAAGCTAAGACCAAGGATAGTTCTCTATAACGAACATAATCCTGATGAAGATGCTATTGGTTCAGTTGTTACAGCGGATTTACGCGCCAGGCCTGACGCCCTGATAGTTGTGGGCACTACTCTAAAGATCCCAGGAGTTCGACGAATCGTCAAGGAAATGTGCCAGGTTGTCCGCGGCCGAAAAGATGGAATCACCATGTGGATAAATCACGAACCTGTTCCAGTCGGAAGGGACTTTGAGAGTTGCTGGGATCTAGTCATCAAAGGCGACTGCGACGAAGTTGCACGACAAGCCAACTTGAAGCCCTGGGATGATGATAGCGATGATATTGTCCAGGAGTGCACAGCCTCAGACGTAGAACGGGTTAAACAGGAACAAGGCCCCTTCTTCGTTGTCGTTCATACGCCCAAGAAGGCTCAGAAGAACACTGGTATCCTCACACCATCTTCTAGTCAGGATGAAGCATTCGACCCCAAGGATAAACCGCCAATTCCCATCAACCTTGTTGCCAAACCGGCCAAGAAAAACATGACTCAATGGCTATCCGGGAAGGATAACATTAATCCAGGATGCAAACGCAAGAATCCCCCTACGAGCAAAGCCGGGCCTCCAAAGAACGCCAGAATGGCAAATCCTGCTCCGACAAAGAAAATCGATCAACAATTCCGCATTGGCAAATCGACTAAAGCCACCATCACTATTAAGAAGTCCATTAGCCCCATTGAAAGTGAACACTCAAAGCCTATGCTTGCGATATCTCCTGGCGCAGCCCGTAATAATGGTCCGATGTTTCCAGAGATTTCCGCTTCTCCTCCATGGAAGGACAAGGCCACGATTTCCCCATCTGGCACGCTCCCACCTGATCTTGAAAGGATGTTAAACTAAGCCACGAAGAGTAGCAAAAGAAAACTACCTGCTATGGGCCTCAGTATATCTGAGAGAAAGGGTTTTTTTATTTATTAATTTCCTTTTCAAGTTCTCTGGATTCCAAAAATATTCCTTTCTCCTCCCGCTAGTCCTTACCGTCGGCTACGAAACAATGATACCCAGATAGAATTTTAGGTGCCACTACTAACCCTCCTCGCTATATATTACCACGGCTTTTCTCGCAGTTGCTTCTGGACTGGGAGATGATGTAGCCTTGACGTTTAATTTTCATTGCCGTCGCATTGAAATATAATAGGAAGAATGGATGGATGGCGCGTTTCTGTATGTCGCTTGTTAATAATACTTTTTTCCGCCCATTATTCTCTTGTTCCTCAAATTTCATCCGAGAGATTCTTTTCTCTTTGCTTCGAAAAGAAATTCTCCAACTGGGTAAAAGTTTTCTTCTGCACCTACTTTTCTTTTATGTCAGGTCAATTGTGTTTCATGTTTGTTCGGAGGACAGTTTCCCTTATCTTTTTATACAGGGGAAAACAGGGGCGGTTCCTTTTCATTGTTCAAAGTACATACTCTGTAATATCAAGCAGTCAACCGCATAGGGGCACGTTTCTGCATTTGTATTTACATTTTCGAGTCTCTTTGGCCTCTTTGGTCTACTTCTTTGCTTTTTACGTGTTTAATTTTTCTTGTTCTCATTGTCGTTTGCAGGTGTTCGGTTATTAATGGGTGCAGGGAGTTTGTTTCGCCAAACCTGGGCCGAGTCGTGTGTAGGTAGGGTACATGCGCAAATATATTTATGTTTATTCATCTCCTGATGTATATTTGCTATGCGGACTATTCAGCTACCTCTCCTGTAGAGGCGGAGTCGCCTGTTTGTTCCTTGTTTGATTTCCCCAGGAGTTTACACCTTTTTTGCTCCTCGCTTTCTAATCGACCTCAATTTGTTCAGGAGGAGCCAAATGATCAGATCAAACTGTTCATCCTTCCCATCAACGGCAGGCAATTCAATAATTACATCCCCCTTATACCCATAGCAGTCTATGGCGATAAGGAGACTTTCATATCTCTATTTGAGCTTCATTGGTTCGCATTACGAGGCGGATGAAGAGACCAGGCCAGAGCCAAAACATTTACTCTGCTTCCACAGATAAACGGTCCGATCTTCACTGAAAGCCTGTATTTTGCATTGTGTGACATGTCAATCCATTATCATGACGACACTTATGATAAGAAACATAAAACCACAGAGGGAATGTAGCAAAACCATTCATTTCTCTGGCCACGCATGCGCGCTTTTATCCACATTTCCCGCTCAAATTTGATAATAAGAATACAGCATAAAACTCCACCCCTGAGAAGGTGGGTGGGGGACTGAAGAACAATAATAGCAAGACCAAAAACCGAGCTTCCGTTTAATACGAAGAAGAAAAAAAAGAAAAAGAAAAAGTAGGAGAATAATGCAGTCCTCCTCTTCATACCCAGTCACAGCTCATCACTATCACTTTCAAGCCCCGAATCCAGATCTGGATGCATCCCTCCCCTCCTCCTAGCCGTATCGCTCCCATCATCATAAATATCCACCTCATCCTCGTCCCGTCCACTAAGCTGCGTAGTCTCCTCTTCCTCCTCCTCTTCCTCCTCCTCCTCATCATCCAACACCTCCTCCTCATCTGGCCCATCCTCCTCTTCCATCTCCTCAGTCTCATCACCATCATCCTCTGCAGCCTGACTCTCCATCCCCTTCCCACCACCACCCTCCATCCTCGTTCTCCCAACAGCAACCTCACTCCTCTCTCCGTTCCTCTTCACCCGCTTGGCATCCGGTTCACCACCCTGCTCGCCATGCTCATCTGCAGCGGGACTCTTTGTTCCTTCCCCACTCTCAGAAACAGCAGTCGCCCCTGCTGCGCCGCTGCTAGCCTTGCGATCCTTCTTCCCAGTCCGTTTCTGCGCGTTGGCTTCGGTATAAACAGCAAGTTCGCGCTGGAGGCGTGGGACGAAGGCGTCGAACTCTATCTCAGAAAGGGCTGCGAAGACGTCTTGCGGGGTTACGGTTTTCTTAGAGGTTTCCTCGTTTGCGCTGGGGAGTGTGTAGATGGGTTAGTGAGGGGGTTCCGTAAATGGAACTTTTTCTGCGTATGGGAAAATTGGGAGGGGGAACAGGAACCGAAGTCTGAGATTCCTGTATCGGAGATGGGAAGTAGATAGCAATATGAACTCACTGTGATGAGAGATATGAGACGAATACGGTGGCCGCCTTGGTTATCGCTAACAGCGCATCTTTCTGTATTGAAGTATTTGGAGGCAAAACACCCTTGGCCAGTCGCTGTGTAAGGGTTCTCGGTAGAAGGTAGTCCTATGGATGACATATATTTACATATTAGGTTGTTCTTCAAAGATGAATCTCCTCCAACACTCCAACAGGTAAAGAAAAGTGCATATATGTGGGAAGTGGCGTTCTCATATCTCATTATTTGAATCCCCTCAAGTCAATGCACAACTACATGCGTACATGACACATTGATGCGGGACGGACGGAAAAAAGATATAGATAGTATCTCACCTCAACATTCACGCCTGTGTCAATGGGATCTGATCTAGGCACGGTTGCTCTTGAACCCTCCCCCAATGTATTTTGTTCTTCACCATGGCTGCCTCCCTCGACGGAGACCGTGGATTTCCGCGGCATCGTTGTGGGATGGCGAGGGCTTTGTAAGTATACAGTTCGTTGGAAAGGGTAAGGAAAATATGAATCTCCTTCTGCGCTGTTTATTGGCTCAAATAATACGGGGGACGTGCTTCTCTTTTGTTTCAATGGCGCGCGAGAGAAGTTATACACGTTTAAAGTGGGCTATCTGCGAGGCCGGAAGACGCGAAGAACTATACTCTCGGGTGTGTGAGGGGTTGGGATTGGGTTGGTTTTACTGTAGAGTAACGCGATTTTTTGAGTGCTTTCTCCTTTTCTTTTCGAGGGCGAAAAGCGAATAAAGAGTGGGAGAGGTGTGCGCGGGAAATGTAGGGGAAATTTATAATACGAATGTTCTTTGCTGCCGTTGCGTTGCGGAGAGTTTGGGTTTGTAAAGTCAAACTGGCGCAACTTCTTCAGTTTTGCGGAACCATCTATACCAATGTACAGAGCAGAGTATGTGTTAGCAACAATAAACAGACACAATTCAGGAATGTAGGAATACAAAATAAACGTTATGGCACTATTTACTCCTTTTATATTTTGCGTTAATTACAACGTCAATTCAACTTTTTCGTGAAATAAGACAAAGGTGATAGTTATCGGCCCATCCTCAGTGTAGCCATAGAAGAAAGGAAGCTGTAGCGAGTAGCTCTCAAAAGTAATTGTGTAAAGCAACTAGGTACATATTGTCGTATCTCAGTAAATAATATCATTAATGCTGTATCCCTGGAGACCCTCTAAGTAACTGAAAAATGCCACACACATGCGCCTTTTTGAATATCCTTCCAAGTCGTCAGAGAGAAAGCAGAAAACGAAAGCAAAACAGAGATTACTCCACAGACATTTCATCGCCCTGTGAGGTACCATCACCCCATAGTCCCTCGAGTTTAAACTCTTCTGCCCACTCCTTGACAATTTGCTTGGTATCCGTCCCCGTCGTTGCGTTCGCCGCGCTGGTTCCGCTTGCGCTGGGTAACGATGTTGTCCCTGGAATTACAGGAGCATCGACCCATCCCTGAATGCGCCCATTCCGCCAATCGGTAATCACGGTGGTTGCCGCACTGTTGATATTAGGGACACCACCTTTACCGAGCCGGCCCCGTTTTCGAGCAACTTGGATTAGAAAATCATTGACCTTGTCGCCATCGATGGGGAAATGTGGCGGAATGCCGTAGACATCCAGCAATTTCGAGAACAGGGTAGGGTTGGAGGAAAGTCGATTAAGAAGAAGACGGACGGCAGGGACAGGATCTGAGATTTGTTTGGGAGGGATGGCATTGAGGAGAACAAGGCGGGCCTCCTCGTTCATCTTCTTGGATGACTTTTTCCCATTATCTGCGTTCGGAAACACTATCCCCGGAGAGTCGATGAGCTTCAGCTTGCTGTCGAGCTTCACTTCTCTGAGGCTGGTAGTAACGCCGGCTTCTGCACCCACGGGACACGCCGTGGAGGAACCCTTATTCAGACGTGCGATAAGTGCATTGATCACGGAGGATTTGCCGACGTTGGGGTACCCAATGACACCAACTGATATTGATCGTTTCAGTTGCTTGCTATGAGCGTAAGACTTCAAGGCCTTAAATAGTGTCTCCGATGTGCCTTTCACAGTCAATTGCTTGTGGTCAAAACTGTGGGCATTCGGAGCACCGGTTGATGCTCTTAATGGCAGTGTAGGGAAGTATCTCTGAAGGTAGAGAATCCAGCCTTTCAACACATGGGGTGGGACGAGATCGATCTTGTTCAGGATCAAAATGAGTCGTTTAGATCCCCCATCTGCGGCCATAATTTCCCTTTCAACTTCCTTCGACCTTGTGCCTTCTGGGTCTCGAGCATCAAGGACGTATATTACAACATCCACCGCAGAGACAACTTGTTTAAATGCTTTGTCGAACGCCCGTCTGGAAGTCTCCTTCTGCGCTGACTTCTCAAACGTGGTATCCATAGAGACACCCGAAACAGCACCTCCATCCTCATCCTCATCCTCACTGTCGTCGTCCATCTCATCCTCATCCATCTCATCAACGTCTTGGCCTTCATACTCCGCCGCTCGCGCCCGAGCTGAAGCTAGCAATGCGGCCATAGGATTTGACTCGTCGACGCCCTCTTCCATATCATCGTCTGTCAAGTCATCACCCTCGCCCAAAACGACTTCATCATCATCCTCTAACTGCACATCTGGCAAATCTTCCATGTCTCCCTGGCGAGCCTTCCTCGCTTCCTCCCTTATCCGTCGATTTTCCTCTTCCCTCAAGCGCTTTTTTTCTTCAATCTCGTAAAGGATTCTGTCTTTGTAGGGAAATAAATTGGGAATTCCGGGATCCTTCTTCAATTTAGATCGCCATTCAGGATTCTAATAAATAATCGGGACAAGAAGGATTAGTAAATTGCATTTTATACGCAGATCCTATTTATATGTGTTAAGAGCAATCCATCCTGGATTTGTATATGTGTATATAACATACTTTTTTTGCCAATTTTCTTGCTTTCCTTTGCTTTGCTGCGCTCGCCTTCTCAATCTTATGGCGCAGGCGCACTGGCGTGCGCTTGGATTGCTTGCCTATATTAACAATAGAGTCAGCTTTAGATGCGTGAGCACAACAAAGAGAGTGACCTGCCATACCGAGCTTCACCATCTTGAAAAGCCTCTGCCTCCAAGACTAGACTCGGACGCAAGAAAATATTGTTAATGAAGGAAGAAGACGTAAATATTGCCTTCTCTCCTCCTCCAGTTCTTTGGCTCTTCAACCTCTTCATCTCCTTATTAGACTCCGACTTATCAAACATTTTTGTGCGGGTGGAGCAAAACCCGCGCCAAGACTTTCCAATGCCAAGATTGCATCTTGGGTATTTATTTATCCGAAATTCGAAAATCTAATGCTGACTAAGCAACAGCAACATCAAAATGCGGGGTGAAATCAGTAAAACAACTGTAACATCCATAAAAAATAAAAATTAAAAAAATTGGATAAGGGCGGGAAAAAATAGATCTGAGAAAATATTGTACGATAGCTATTTTAATTCTTTCGTCTTTATACAACCCTTCTTTCTTTTCTTTTAATAGCATACTTGCGGAAGGCTGTTTAGTTTTCAATATGGGTTCCTCCACCCTAGAGTCTTTCTCGGCGCCAACACAAGCCTATTCGTTTGATGGTCTCCTTTTTGATTTTGATGGGACCATTGTAGACTCGACAGAAGGTTAGCTTCTCCTTATTCCTTTATTTTGAGCCAGAGTGAAACTTGTTTTTGTCCAGTTTACTGAAGCTTAGTGGCTTGGCTCATCTAGCAATCGTCAAGCATTGGCACAGGTTCGTTCTCCGTACATTCTGTTGATATCGCTGTTATATCACCGCTTCAACCCATATATATATACGTGTATTCTGGATATACTGTAGATACATGTGGATGGCGGGAAAGTATTCTCCTGTGGCCTCAGGATCAAGGGGGGGGGCGCGCTTGAAGAAGTTCGTCCGTGCTAAGTATTAACAAATATAGATTAGGTTCCGAATTGAACTTAGACCCCGAAACGATTCTAAAGACATCCCACGGGCGAAGAAGTATAGATGTCCTGAAAATCATTGCTCCACATAAAGCCAACTGGGAATGTAAGTAGGAAATAAGAGATAGGAGACTCAACGGACCACCACCACACATCTAACCCTATTTCCTGACTAAATGTATTATCCAGACGTCAGTTACATTGAAGGGCAGATTCCTAAAGACTACGGCAAAAATGCTGTGGAAACACCAGGCGCACGAAAGCTTCTGAAAGATTTAGACGATGCCAACGCCCCCTGGGCTGTGGTTACTTCAGGAACCAGGGCCCTCGTCACTGGGTGGCTGGACGTCATGAAACTCGCACTACCCAAGTACATGGTTGTCGCTGAGGACGTGGAAGTAGGCAAACCAGACCCAAGATGTTACTTGATGGGCCGCTCGCACCTTGGTCTAGGAGACGGAGCTGAAATGCTGGTGATTGAAGATGCAGCTTCGGGTATCAGGGCTGGCAAAGCGGCGGGATTCAAGGTTCTGGCGCTGACGACGACCCATAAAGTTGATGAGCTGAAAGAGGCTGGGGCAGATTGGATCGTTCAGGATCTGCGAAGTGTTACACTAAAGGGCTTCAATGGAAAGGTGGTGATTGAGATCTCAAATGCTTTGCAGTAATCTCCTTTCCCTCTCGCACTGGCATGAGGAAATGTAACCTTCGTGTCTATTTTCCTTTTCCAGAAAGAGGATGGATGCTGCATAGAAGGAGGATGGACTGATGTCTCGTGGTGTGGATGGTCAGATTTGAAATATGTAATTGTGTCTCCACATGGGATTGTTTCCATCTTGGACGCACAAGGGGCTATATCTCTTTTTAACTTTTAATTTTGAATTGACTCCACCAATCTATGGTATTGATCATCATGCAGTTCTCGGGCTCCCGCAGCAATTGGGGACTAGACGGTATACCACATTCTTCCAATGCTGCTGTTACTAACTGTTGTCTCTTCTTTCCCCCCTATTCCATCTTACCCACGCAGTCATTTCCAGACTCCATAGGAGCACAAATAATTTTGGTCGATCACACGAGACGGAAGACCTTGAGATAGACAGACCGGTTGCCAATACCGAATGCCGTTGCTGCTGTTACATCTGACTTCTATCCCTTCATCCCTTGAATCTATGCAAGCTTCAATCACGTTCTCATTCTCGGATGTCCTGTCGTGCTATGTATCCATCTCCGTTGAATCTGCACCGGGTTATTGCCGGCAGACATTTGAAACGATACAGTGTTTATTTCCTTCAGGTCGAAAAATAGAAAACTAACTGCGACACAATTTCCGGTTCCTGATTCTAAAAGTCGCAGCATTTTCGGAAGCAGCTGGCGATTAAATATCAAATGAAAGACATTGGTTATAGACAATGCGTAGTTCACTCGAGATTTCCACAAAGGATAATGTCTCTCGACACTGTGCTCTACAATGCCAGATCATACATCATCGACATAGAAATTGGAACGAGGGTGTGACCCAAAGACATCTCTAGATCAGCAGGCCAAAATCCCTTATAGAAAGCCTCCATATTTGCGGGTGTTACAGGTGTGGAGAAACCTCACTGGCCTGCACAATTCGGGGCCATGGTTAACTGCAGTAATCCTTTTCCCAAGTGTTTGAGGTTTAAGAGCGGACCTCAGGGGAAACGAAACTATATTCAATTTTTCGCAAAAAATTTAACTCACTGTTCAGCAGACCATCATTCTCCAGACACCACTCCTCAACTCCGGCGGGCAATTAATTACCTAGGTTCCCAGATGTACGAAGCATTTGAGCCATACGAATGCATGCATTCAAGCTCAACCATTCATAGTTTTTCTGAAAAGAAAAACAAAAGGAGGGGATGGACTGGAAAATGGGGAAGCAACCAAATTCAATCCAACATAATACTGCATTTGTGGGACCCTTAAGGCTGAACCCATACACCTCAGTTCCTCTGTTGACGGCAAGTCCAGTCCCCTTCTTCCACAACAATTCGTACAACGTTATTGCCTATGCGAAAACTATGGGGCAATAATGTCAGTCATTTACTAACTCCCATTGCAACAAAATCATCAATCCCCTTTTTTGGTTCTAAGAGCAGTTTGCAGATGAAAACGTTAAAAGACTGCGCTATTATTGCGGTCTTCTGATTCCAGGTGCTGGCTTTGCTCAGGTGTCCGATATACTAACGGAAAAACCAGGGAAGACTCTTCTATTGACTAGCGACGGTGATGCACAGAGAGAGCCCCCACGCAGTCAAGTCTCAGGAGTGTAATGCAGAGGGTCGCCATGACATGCGACAAGGGCCTTACCCTTCATCAACCAGGACGCGACGCCATGAAACGAAGAAATTGACTGGTGATCGAGATTCGGTCAGTAAAATTTATCCATGTAAGTCGATATTAATATCTGCTACATTCCTGCAATATCGAGATGTCCCTAAACAACTTCAACGGGTCCGGGATGCAAAATTACCCTTGCCCATGCTAAACAGTGCAGGGATAGGGCCATGGACACAATTGGACCTGTGCTCTCGGGAAGTAATCTGTTCTAAATTTGAGTTTTTGTCCACGAGGGTCAGAGGGTGGGACGTGGGACCAGGGGAGGGATGACGGCTTGCATGGGTTAGCGAGGTTGGAAATTTCAATCTCTCATATATATATATATATATATGCGTGTTTATTATTACCCATTTGCAACTGTTCAGGCAAGCCACCGGGCGTGGGATGAAATCGATTGTGAAAAACCTGCTGGTCCAGCCATCTTATTATTATTGTAAATAAGCTGGAGAGATTTCTCTGGATGACGCCATTATTGAGTGTTCTGCAAGGTAGCGGATGACAACGAAAAGGAGCTCCTAACAAGGCTTGTTACGATAATAACGATGATATTTCCATCTTCGAAGTCCTTTCCGTACGATAAGGGCCATGTGCCCAGCGATGGGGGAGTCTGCACCTTACCATATTATTCACTAGAAATAGAAACCCGCTAGACTGAAGCCGCAGGAGCAGTTTCAAAGATGAATCACTCCTGGGCAGTTGAGCTTTCAGCAATAATAAGAAAATATGTGCAATATTCATCCTGCCATCTCTGGTATCAAAGTCCAGGCTAAAGTTTGCCCACTGTCCCGGTGTGATGGTCACCAATGAGTCGAAAGAAGATGTAATCCAGAGGGGGTTAGGCGCCCCCCGGGAACGTCGAGGCTTAGTTTAAGGAGTCGGACAAGGGCCATCCACGATTTTCCTAGGAGTGGTAACTATGTGCGGCAACGTGCGGGTTGAGCAGGTTGCGATCGACATTGTCAACTACTCTTGAAACGCTGAAAATTTCAAGAGACGTCGACAGGGAAGACTTTCCAGGTCAGGGATGACGCGGTACATCCACCGTAAGTGTAATTATGTAGATCCATGCGGTTTTGTTCAGTGGATGGATAAATGAATTTTCTCCCCTTGGCTGAGAGACAGGAGACTTTCTGAATATTGAAACGAGGCCGGTGTAGGTGAGACTTTTCGCATGCTGCATACGGTTTTGATAGAACTGGTTTCTGATGGTATGGATCAAAAAAAAAAAAAAAAAAAAAAAAAAAAAAAAAAAACTCAACTGAAGTCTTACCTGAGGAACAAGTGCATCCATGCCCATTGTATGGAATAGCATTTGACGTTGGCAGCAACACGTCGTCATTGACCGACCTAACTACGGAGGAGAAGTATAAATCGGCGATGAGCTTCCCTTGCCAGGTTGCCAACGAGACCATTTCTTACGGGCGGAATGAAGCTCGTCTTGGACCGCTCTTTACTCCGTAGTTGTCCGGAACATGCGTGAACCTCATCAGGTATTTCTGTTTCAATGTTTGGCGTTCTCCCCAATCATACAAAACGCGCACGTCATAAGTTAGCTGAACTTTCAGAATTATATAGTTTTAAACTGTATAATGTTTTTAACCCTGAAAAGGGTTGTCGTCAGCATATCTGCCGCGTGGCTAAACGCGTCCAGGCCCAATATCCTCACAGGTCATACAGAACCCAAGAAGTCGAACGGCATGGCTATTGATGGCAGACACAGCCTCCATGCATGTCACAACTGGGTAGCATCGACTTCATGCCATTTTTTGGGTTTGGTCACGTCTTCCCGCACTTATGCGGTATGATTTGATAAAAAAAAAAATTTAAAAAAAAAAAAATCATGCAAACCAAAATAGCTGATGTGGGCAGAAGGTGACAGGTTTTATTCTTTTCTTTCCGTGTCATTTCATCTTGTTGTTTTGTGACTTTCATTTTTTCATATAAACCCCCCCTTGTAAACAAACCCCAAGGGCAGCTTTATACCCGTTAATAATTCTCCATATCTGTAAACTAGTTGGTTGGAAAAGCGGGAAGAAGCGAGAAAAAGAACCCAAAAAGAAATTTCGTATGAATAATCCCATGCTAGCTATTATTGCAGCCGTTGAGCCTCGAGTTCAGTAATTGGTTTAAAACCGAGTTGTCATTTTCTCAACATCAGCAGTTGAATGGCATGAAGGCGCTCAAGTAATATCATTGGATTCGCATTTTCCTGCATCTGTGCATCTTCCGCGTTAGGCAAGTGGACTAAGTTAAGATAGGCTTTTCGCCGTTCGGAAGAATAATTTAGTTAAGAAAGAAAACCACTAGGCGCGAGGTTTATCTCAAGTTTTTGGTAGCTTTTGCTCCTTTTGAAGAGGCGTGGAGGATCTGCTGCTAAGGTGCCCTTGTCAGAGTCAAGAGGACAAAAGCTAATCCATGTCTTGGAAGCTAAGTGGTGGATTTCAAATGATCCCGCCGGCGTCACGCACCATGGGGCTAAAGACGAAGAGAAAAGAAAAAGAAAAAAAGCAAAAAAAAAAAAAGAGAAAACTTCCAATGTTTGTGGTTTTGACCGTTACAGGCTGTGGATACGAGTGCGTATTGGTATTTCTGGTACAGTAATTCAAACCCTCACCAACGATACCCCCGAAGGTCCTCTTCCGAACTTCCAAAGCGGAGGGATGAGATTGGAGGAATTCGTCGGCTGTTGCTGGCTCCGGATATCGGTTGTAGAAAGGGATCATTCGGTCAGGTATATATATGTGTTGTATGTGCTGCACAGTCCATCATCATTATTCGTCCAGAAAGGAAGAGCGTTTCGAGCAACAACTGTGCTCGGGAGCAAGACATCAAACAGTCTGAAGAAGAGTGAGGGCTGTTATCAAGTCTACGGAGTTCCCGTGACAAAAAATAATAGTGGCGTCTTTCATGGCCCGACTGACCCTTGCAGCATTATGCTGAATCCTGATGCTGTCCGCCAATTCCAAGCTACCACTAAAGTGATACACACAGGAGACGCACAACGTGATTGTTTGCCGAAAAGATTCCTGATGGACATGCCAGTGCGATCGCGTGTGAATGTGCACAACCATCCTGCATACCTGGCAGGCAAGACGGAGGACTCGTGAGAAAATATTTCTCGCACACCATTGCCACCAATTGGTATGATTATTTTTTTGAGAGAATATTCACTTGCTGGATGCTTGAAATTGCCCAATGCCCTGAATCCCTGAATGTGCTTTACCTCAAAATAATCGGTGTGACAGATGGCGTTAAGCATACCCATGTCTTGAAGGAGTACAGATCCAGAAGACTCACGGTT